TCCTATGTACTTCGTATATGTTTACTTGTGTATAAAGTGCTTCGAAATGGGCAGGTGCGCCGCATCTACTAATAGTTAAGTGTATTTAATTGTACGTTCTGCAGCTACTAACCTTTATATAGTCATATATAAAAAGTTTCTGTACCATCTGACATTTTTGCAGTTGTTGCAATTATCCTTAGTCATTTGTAAGTGAATAAGGCGGGTGGCATGCGATTGAAGTCTACAATACCTGTTGTAGATAGCACCTGCGCTCTGTCAAACCCTTCAGAAAAATGTAGTTATTAAAATATCAACCATTTTATAATCTTTTACTTATGGTCACTTAGAGGGACGTCTGTTCGGGACAGCATAACATTTTACAACACGAAAGTAGGTACTTAAAAAGCGCCTTTATATTCTTCTTCTATTGAACTTGTCTTAATGCTAAGCTACCACAATGGAATGCCAACAAGATTTTATAGAGATAAACTTTTTAGAAAAGCCCAAGTACGCGAGCCATTCCAAAGCAGCGACAGAACAAACAAGGGGTAGTCATGATAGCGCATAAATTACAATACGTGAGGTTTTAAAGACTCTGAACTTTATTCCATATAAAAATTGTTCACATTTCAACGCTGTGCTATGAAAACAACTTCAGTCTTAGTTTCAGCCATAATTTATGCAGCGTCCTGAAAGCACGTCCAAGTTTGCGCACAAGTAGTGTTTTGCACGCAAAGCAGTATACTGAATAAAGTTGGGACCAAGTATTGGCACGTCAGTGTACCCATGTCGTTAATGTCGTATTGTTTGAGCATAACGCCGGCTGGTGGGTGCAATGCCTTTATTTATCGCTACTTATGTGGGTGTTACAGAACGGAATTTCATTAATTTTACACTGTTATGTATTTAGTGTACTGTGGGTGGTTAGTGATTGCTCACCTTAAAACTATTACGAAAATACTTAATATGGATTGTGTAATTGTACTTACGCATACAAAATTCAATTCAAAAGTGGCAAAAAAGGAAATGGCGGACTTGGAAGAACCGTTGCCGTGTTGCATCGAGTAACATTATGAATTCTATCAGAGGAAAAACTTGCTGGTGTGTTTTATGAATACCAAGGTGTCCTAATAAACGTTATAAATGCTAATTGGCCAGTAGCATGACGCAGTAGGCATACATTCATCAGGTCTAACAGGAGCTGTCTACGACCACGAGACAGATGATCGTGATGTGGAACCAAAGTTAATGGTGCATGGAGTACGTTGCACTCGGATATAAGAATGCATGCTTTCTGTTTGCTGGGTGTAATATAACTTAGTGTTTATTAACTAATAAACACATGAAAAACTGAGAAAATTGCATTGGTATGCAGAAAGCATGAAATAGAGGAATGTTAGCACCTTAGTATCCTCGGCAATTGCTAGATTATTAGAAGCAATCATAAAAATAAATCAAAGTTTCTTTGGCATTTCCTAATTGATTTTCTAAGATTAAGTACAGAAACTAAGACAAGGATCTTTTTAAAGTGCAGATATTTTAAGACAGTAGTAAGTACCATGCATTTCAAATGAGCAAGCATGACTGCGACCTCTTCTCAACTCGGCACAGTAAACCGCGAACAACACAACCACTGAAATTGGATGTGCTCATGAGACATAAGCACGCGACATTTTGGAATAAAGAAAGTTTCAAATAGTAAAACAAGCAGACACTCGTTCACCCATAAATAGGTGAAATGACACCCGCACTCGTCGCTCTCGCTTTAATACGAACCATCTGGCAGAATTTATTGCTCAAATCTCGCAATTGGTCGGTAAATGGTGTTAATTTAATTACTACCGCACTGATCTCGCGTGAGCACTTAATTGTACCTACATGGTGCGTACTGCAATGTGAACAGTTAATGTAATCATTGGACGATCTTATTTAACACTGTTACTGGTTGCAACAACCCAGGCGTTGCATTTTAAACGTCACTTTAACTGTGATCAGGGTCATTTGTTATTCTATTTCTTAGGCTCTTGGTTGGTAAGCCTAGAAAGTCTAGCTGCTGGTCTAGAAATTCTTTATTGAACGCTTTAAGTGCAATATAACGTTGTAAAAATGCTAAAATCATGCAGATACGATCGAAAAAATGTATTTACAGTTAAAAGAAACCAATATCATTTTAAAAAGTGGAATTATTAGAAAATATACCGTATTTGAATAATAAAAATTCTACTACTTACTTTCCTTTAAATTATGCAGTACATTAATAGAGAATTGGAGCTTAGGTACGTGTTTAATTGTTTTCTTAAGTTGGAATCAACTCCAAGTTTAAACGGAATTAAGACGAATTCATGAATGCCAGAATTTATACGCCAAGCAATTATGCATATTAGCAACCTGTGGCTAAATGGCTACTGGTTGAAAAGCTGTTTAAGTATAAAGAAAATGAAACATTCGTCCAATCAATATCTAAAATCACTCCTTTTAGAAAGAGACAGATAATCCCTTGACATCTGTTAAGTCAGGTTTTAGATGACATTTGTTGTCCTAAATCCATACAACAGCAAAGTAATCTTATCTTGTATTATTTGCCACCGTATCTATGCCAATGACCAATTTTCTTGTCAGTTACAATAATTTTGCAGCGGTTCTAACCTTGACGGATATAAAGGATCATTTGTGCTTCCCGTGACCGTTTCGATCTCCTTACGACGCGTGCGCAGCTTTAAAATATCCATTTACAGCATTACATCATCTTCGACGAATCCCAGAATTATCCCGTCTGGTGGGATAATAAAAAAAACTTACCATCCTCTCCACACGTGATTCACCACGTTTTAATTTGTATGAATCACCAATTAATATATGCGTATGCGCACCTACTTGTGAACTTCGTTCGGAAGTCATTTTTTTACACGTTATTTTTGTGGCGACGACACGCCCTTTTGCGATAACATGTTTTAACTGAACGTAGTATCTAAACAGAATTGCAATAATATGCGTCATTGTCAGGTCAACAGAATTCAATTTGTCTGACGTATAGTCAGACCATTTAGCGTCTCTTCCTAGGACAACTGGGTCAGTTAGTTATTTTTATTCTAAATCAAATTGTATTGTATAGGTATTTAATGACTAACATAGGTATTATAACAAGTATCATAAGGTTTTGCTCTTGTCCCATTTTGTATCTTTGCTATTAGGATTAATGTTGTTTTTATCTTTTTACTCTTTCTTTCTTAACTTACTTGTCGTCGGCACATGTGTCATCTTTTCAGCTGTATCACATTATCTATCTATTTTTCTTTGGCCTAACTGTTTTACACTCTACAAGCAAAAATATGGAACCATTTAGTAGTAGACGTAAAATAAAGAAATGCACGACAACAACGACAATGTAGAAACACAAACGAAAATGAATCACTATAAAAAGGTTGAGGTCACTCTACTTTCAAGTTTAACTGAAAACATACGACTTTATCTCTGAAATAAATCCTCGAGTTATGCTTTATTCGCGTGACAGGAATCTAATAGTGAAGTTCACGGTTCTACCTTTATACTAATTTTCATAATACACGTTTTCTCTACTTTATTAACAACAGTGATTTATATGTATTAGACGTCATACAACTGGGTAGGACACTAGCCTTTTAATTAATCAAATGCTCTTTACTCATTCATGGCGTGATGTCCAAGAATAAACTTTAATTACACTTCAAAGTAACTATCAGCCGATGTGTTGATTACTTCGGACACATTGTCCACAGAGCATTATTTAATTATATACAGGCAGGAAGAAATAAATCTCTAGACTACAATTGTACGTTATTACCGTGTTCTAGATGATTTAGTTATCTGCAAGAATTCGAACTAAAAACTGCGTAAAAAATCGAACTGTCTTATGGAGATATGTTAGTGGCAAAAAGTATAAATACAATACATTACTGTTGTAATTTTACTATAGTGTTAACTATAAATTATCTCGGAATTGTGAAATGCCGATAATTTGGCTGATAATGAGGCTTATACAACAGGAACAAGGCAAATGATAACAAAATGAGATGCAATGGTTCCCCGACCAATAAACGACGACGCACTCTAATCGACTGAATTACGATCGCTTCCTGACATTGTTTAAAAACTGTTCACAATGGCTCCGGTTTCGCTTACCATGTCACACGAAGCCAAATGTCTTGTTCTGATATTAACACAAATATTTTGATAGGACTTAATGGTCTGTTATTGAATGAAATCGACTGCAATTCTAAGCACTATAGGTCGTCAAGTATGATGCAATTCAAATTATACAAATGTGGTCTTAAACAAACCAAACAAATTGCTTTATAAGCTAGCTGTTCTGAAGTACGTACTTCCAGCGTCAGAATTTCTAAACTGTTTCCTCATTTAGTCGTAAACAACACAAACCTAAGGTGATCTAAAGATTCCTCTGAATATTACATCAATCTTAAGAAGTTACAGGAGGATCTTTAGTTGTTTGTAAGAATAAAGAAACAGTCGAGGTCCCGGGGGACGCATCTCGGCAAAATAATCGTGTACCTGAATATAACATGTATTTCCAGACCTGACCTTTCGTGTTTACACTATGAAGTAGATGTAGCAGGAATATTTTCCTTGCTTTGCTTATTTTCCAGCGAGTATCACAACAATAGCGCTGCCAATAAGAACTGCCTCAGCGAAGTGAGCGTTGTTCACTTTTCTGCCATTCTTATTTTCAAGTGAAAAAGTAAGCCGACGCACATCCCCGCCTTTCTACGGCCATGTTTATAGATATACGAAAAGTATATTCTTTTGATTGAAAGTGGTAGACCACTATTTCAGTCAGAAGAAAATAGTTCTGCAGTTAGTTGACTAGAGTCCACCTATAAAACTAATCTGAATCAAATAAACCGTGGTTGGTATTCGAATATGTATTGTTATGAATAAGGGCTTCTTCCAAACTTCCTCCCTTGCTTGTGTGATGAAACTGGTGAATGTTGTAAAAAAAATAATGAGTTTTATTTTGTCGACAGGTAGTCCCACGGTTGCTGGGCTCGCTAGTGGGCGGGGCGATGAGTCCCACGCAGCACCTTGAACAACAGCAAGCTCTCGTCAAACAGTTCGCAGAAATTTTAGAATTTGTGCTCAAATTCGATGAATATAAAGTAAGTACACAGAACTCCGAACAAGCCCCTCTTGTATCCCCATTGATTTAAACAATGAACGACCTTATGAGAGTTTATAACAATTAGGTACATTTCGTGGGCAAGCCTGGTGATCTCAGCACAATATTATCAGCAATCTCGACGTATGATGAAGTGGGTGGCGGCAACTTATCGTTAATATACGCTATCGTTATCATTATGTATTGCCTTAAATAACACCCACGTCGAGACGTGTCGCCTATTCTTTGTATCAAGCCACAGAGCTTATCTTCGCAAGAACCTTCAGTGTGTCGCATCAATTATGCATGTTAGCGGTTACCCACGCGTCCCGCTGCTATAACTATTATATTATGACAAACCCTACTTTCTGGGTTAAGTCATAATTTTATATGTTAATCTCTTACATGAACACTACGTAATTTATTTAGCTGTTGCTTTGTGCCAGTTGTTAAGCAACATATTCCGCGTTTAGCCCGTTAGGCTGGATGGTAAATGCATTACAGAATTATCTAATGAAAAGTGGTTCATAAATACGCGAGATAGCCCATGCACGAATGGTTGGGTAATGTTATGCAGAACTGTGAATTAGGTCGATATTCTTGAATATGAGACTAGTGAAAGGATGAAACTGGCTTGAGATCCATGAACAGTAGAGTCCATGTGTTGCCTCTGTTGATTATTTGGAATGATGTCTAAAAATTTACGGATCTAAAACATTGATTAGGTCGCAAACAACCGAGTCTAGTTAACTTCTGTTTTTGTAAAAGCTCTTTAGTTTATATATTTCATTACTTAAAGATGCTTCAATGGAACTTTATTTACAAAAACTGTATATTATCTACATAACAAGTGACTTATTGTTACAGTGTATCATGTTTCAAAACAGGAAGGTAACAAAATTATAAAATTAATGAATCCTTTCATTATGTCGACGATTAGGAACTATTGTTTTGGGTTTAATGGTCGCGGTCAGCGTAGGTATCAAATAGTGGTGTACAATTGCGAATGTAATAACAATAATTATGTAAAATATTATTTGCAATATTTGCATTTGTAAATGGCTGTCGAGTGTCATTTCTTTCAAGTTGCCTAAAAAGTACATTATGCCAGTTTGTAAGTTGAAAATTGAGCAGCCTATAAGTGTCCAATGCTTAACAAAGGCGTCGTGTCGCAAGTAGGAGATTTAAGTAGCCACCACCACGCAAAGCGTATTGAATTGAATATGCAGAAGACTCCAAAATGTTGATTATCTTGCTATCTTAGTAAAAAAACTTATAAGCGTAAAGTCGACGAGCACAGAATCACGTAAAAGTTGCATTTGCAACGTGTAATCTGACAATCACAAGTGAAGCAATGTTTGCTCTTTATACAGTGACCAATAACAAACAATAAGTCACAATCATACGAGCGATCGTTCCCAGTGTATCTGATGCAGCAAGTAATTCAATTGCTGGGCCCTTTTGACCCCAACCTTGCTGTGTCGTTGCTCCTAGTTCACTGACTCCTATCAACTTGCGAAACTATTCTCCTCATAGAATCAGGATAAGACATGTTAATATGAAATTAATTACCGTATTCAATAAACGAGGAGGAGACTTTGTGCAACCGTTTGATGGACCTGTATCGATATGTAGTATCATAAGTAATTCCTTTATGACAACTAACATTTCTGAAAATGTTATGAAAAAACACGAAACCTCAACATCATAGGTTATAATTATAAAGTGTGTCCGTCCAACCCCTGAGTTTGTAGAAAAATTATGAACGACACAAGACTTACCTGTACCTACCGTCCTTGGCCCAATTTACTAAAACGTTTATTAAGGTTCCGCCAAGGTTTTTGCAGGAGTATTAATATCAGGTGGTAAAAGCATCCACCACTAAACTGCCAACGAACATCCGCGAGGAATTATTTATTATTTTTTATTATCCCATCGCGACAACGTTAAGCAAATCCATTAGTGAATGCGTCCCCACGTTATGTTGTCACAAAATAGGTCGCCATACTCGCCATTGTTCATTCTTCTATTGCCTGTAACATAGAATGTGTTATTATAAGAATCCTCCGCATTCCTTTTAATTAAAGTCACTTTTTATGTTTATGTTGAATTACACTGGGAATTAAACTCGCAAACTCTATAAAGACAGCTTAGTTTAAATTATTGGTTGCAAATCCCAAATTCTGATGCCTAAATAAGGGTACAGCTACAAACGCACATACATTCATTTAGTATCCTGACAAGAATAAATTGCAATCTGCGTTTTCCCCTATCACAACAGAACATTTTAGTGCATATAAATCAGACCAGGCTACAAAAATATCCTTGTATGGTCATGGTATGTTTAGATAATAATGACTAGTATTGGTCGTAATGGTTGTCTGGCTATCGACATAATTAATCTAGAACGAAGCTATCTAAATGTTAGTCATCAAGTATATAAGGGAACATTTTGCGAAGGCATTGTATAGAAAGCGAGGTGAGGCTTGGCAAGCCGCGACCTCGCCGGTGACTCACGAGCCTGCATCCGATTTATTTCTTTGTCACTCCAAACAAGACCAGAATTTGGTAATAACTTTCCGAGAAACTCTAAATGGTGTCTAAATTTATGTTGGTTTAGGCTCTGTTTTCGCTTCGAGAATTCGTTTAATGGAAACGAAGATGTCCCAATCCCAAAGTACCAATTTTGTATTTACCGAAAATATTGTTTTCTGTTGGTACAGTTCTTTCGAGTTATCTTTGGTAAAATTAACATCTTTATTTTTAACGTCTTCGCTTAAAATTGTCGTCAACAAACCTTTGTCTGGGTTGGGTTAAATCATAAATATTGATTAATACAAATCTGAATCATAACAATTCAACGTCGACTCTAATAAAACCTTCGAGCGTTATTTTTCCAACATTTTACCTACTCTTAACGAAAGTAATCAAAGTATGACAAATAAAAAAGTAATCATTGTTGTTCTATATGCTAATGTACTTCTAGACTCATTGCTTCTTTTATCTTTCCAATAACATTAAAAGGCCCCGTCTACTGTCTACTAACAGATAAAGATTTAGGTTTATGCCCTCATTAAAATTACATCCATCAAATTTATTGGGATATTTCTATTCAACGATTCTACGAACAAATACATTTTGCGGAAAACTGCTACATGGTGTCTTCTAGTAATCGGATCTCGGCTAAGAAATTCGATTAGTAAACTCGTTTCGATCTTAAGATTAATCGTTCAATTTATTTACGAAATTCTATTTGGTTTAAATCGATTACATTGTGGAGTATAAGGTTTAATCTGAATTGTTTATAGGTACGAATAATAGTGTCTCGTGTTACTTACAATCAAAGTGTTTGAACCCTTTCTGAGGGCATTGCCCGTAGGCCTTTACGTAAGACCTGTGCATAATTTAACGTCTTTGGGTAAACCTATAGCGTGGAACATTGATCGATGACTAGCACTACATACAATATGGCCATACCACTCGTAACAAGTGTTCAAGTTGTTTGACGACGTAATTAGAAATCGATAATAACAATTGAAATCCGAATGTAAAAACATGGTCATTGAATAGTATTAACGTCAGGATATGTTATCAAAACACTGTCCTTTTGACTTCTATTGTCTCTTGAGTGAAAGTTTAAAAAACTTCACTGTTTATTCAAATCAAATTCTTTATCTCCTTCGATTACTAATCGACTAAACGGTTAAAGGTTGTGTCGTGCAAGTCGTATCGGCTCTTTACTGTTCGATCTAAGCTTCTAGACTCTTAGGCCCTGTTTTAAGACTTCTAATTAAAGTTTCATAATTGATGGATAATTTGACGTAAGAAATGTGTCAGTTAAGCAAACGGCAACTTGGCAGTGGAGAGACATGCCCTAATTTATCAGAAACTTAGAACTTCTGTGCTATTCTATCTTCCAATCTAGGTTTTCTAGTTAGCTGTTTTGAACTTCTTTGTTTTGCTTTAATATAATTACTGAGCAAATATTAATGAGCGGCCTGGGCCGGTCGGTTCATTATAAGCTACCAGTTATTACCAGCCTGATAGGATTACGACACGGCCTTATGTAAACGAAATTAGGAACAGTGATTAGCCGTGCTTGATTAGATCCGAGTGTGTTTACATATACTAACGATATCTAACGAAAAATTTAAAATATTTAGGAGACTAGTTTGCATTTCTGTGATAAGATTTTCTAATCCTTCTGGATTAAAGTTGTATTATTATGTATATGATATTGTTATGTGTGTTTGGTGTTCTTGCGGTATAATTTGAGCTCAGAAATTTTACTTAAAACTTCATTACACGTAAGCTTCACCTGCGCCTGCACACAGATGCCACATTTTTTTACGGCAAACGTCGGTAAACGAGATTACGGATCACCTGTTGGTAAGCAATCGGCGTCGCCCATGGAAACACCAAGGCGTTACAAGTGCTTTACCGGCCTTTTGGGAATTGAGAATTTGATGATTGTGGAGGATTCGGGATTGCGGAGACCGACACAAAGAAACATAACGCAAGCGTTGTTTCACGTCGGTTTTCTGTGAGGCCGTGGTATCACTCCGGTCGAACCGGCCCATGTGGCTCTCCCACACTTAAAGCATGACTCTCTCACACATGTATCTATCATACATCATCCAGGCTGTAGTATTGTACATACTGTTAATATTAAGTTATTAACTTGTTGAAATCACATCATCTTTAGAAGGTAATTCAAAGAAAAACTACTAATTACACGCTTACAGATTGCCACATCCTTTCCATTTAAGGTTTGCCTTGCATTGCATTTAAGGTTTCTATAATGCAGTTTGAATGGATACTAACTACAACACGAACAGACAATGTATCGTTAAAGCATTATCTCGCTACGAATTAATCGCAAGCGCACGCGTTCGTCTTTGCGTGTGGTCTACTAAAAATAATCGACAATATGTGCGCGTAAAATTACTAGCTTGTAGCTTGGAACTGTGGCTGATTGAGTGCCGCAATACTGAATGGGCGGCATCCTAATTCATCTTCGCATTGTCCGCCCTTCATATCTAGAAAGTATAATCTTGCGTGCCCATTGTATTTACCTACCCAGTCTACCCACCCCCTCATTGTGTACCGCAAAAAGTACCTTTTATTGCCCACATGTCGAGTTTAATCATCATTATGTCAGCATGTTGACATTTTTATTATTCAAAATGGCTCCCAAAAAGGTTAAAACATAAAATTCTGTATAAAATGGCGAAGCTTTTGGATGTCACATCAATTTATGAGAAAGTGATATAACGATCGGAGTGGATCGTCTCATTATGAATAAGGGTTCCGTTCTCAATCATGACCCTTGCTAAAGTGGTACCGGTTCAAATAAATTAGAAAATGAATTTTTATGTTTGATATGAGCATATTTTAGAACAAAATCCCTAAAGAACAAATCACTAAAACGACCCAGAAGGGTAGAAAGGGAGTTATAAGACCCATGTTTTACTACTGATATGATTAGTCTCATGACTCTCATGTACTTGTAATAGGGGCTATATTGCCTCACCCTAATTTCACATCAGTTGCAATACTAACTTTGTGCTTGTGACTCAAAAATCACGTCCAGTAATAATTCTTTGTCCAAATTAAGACAGAAATAATTACAATAAATAAATGCTTATCTTCTATTTCCACAGATGAAGACACCAGCGATACAAAACGACTTTAGTTACTACAGACGAAGCGTTTCGAGAGGCGGGCTGATTAACGCAGAGCTACCTCCTGGAGAGGAGCCTCACATAACGGCAGAGGTCGCCAACAGAATGTCCCTCTTCTACGCACAAGCCACGCCGATGTTAAAGGTGCTATCAGAAGCCACCAGCCAGTTCGTGAATGATAACCAGCAAGACTTGGAAAATACGACGGAAACCCTCAGCACCATGGCTAAAGTCTGCCTCAGGATGTTGGAGAACCCGTAAGTACATTGTTATTTAATTTCATAGTCCTCCGGTACAATTATAAGGACCTTGTTTTCTAGATAAGAGAGATCTACCATGATCTTCATAATTTGGAAGCGAGGAATATTCGTAATTTGAAAGATACAATTTGACCAAACACCGCTGCTGCCCAGTCTGTCAAATGTAGTATCATGTATAGTTAAGTAATGTATATTTGGTCGGCTCTTAGGCTGCGTCAGGACTCAGACTTAGGAGTCGCGGTGGGTCGCGCAAGGGGAATCCACCACGGACGAAACAAATACTCGATATGTTTGAACTTGTCCGAAGTGCGAGCCGGCGCGCACACGATCCGGCAAGTGTTTGTTTCGGGCAACACTAAAATGAAGAGTAAAGGTGGTCAAAAATGTTTTCCGACACCATACGGCAGTACCACATAGCTATCAACCCTCCAATAAATACACAGAAATTCTTATTACAGCACGATACTCCTTACAATCGAATTCCAATAGACCTCCGGCCATTTCCTTTTTATCTATTCAACGTGAACGTGATCTTTCCCAATTTCCCATGAGAAACTATTCAGCACGTTTTCGAATTTATAATGGGCATTGGTCTTGCCCAGAAGTCGTATGAGTACTTACTAGCCTAGAATTTTTACACATAAACCTTCTTTTTGCGCCATATTTACATTAAAGTATTCATCGTAGATGAATTTCAAAGCAATGAAACAAGAAATGGTGTCAACAAGGCATAACAATGTTTACACTGTACCAGTATCCAGAACAATGCTCGCAATGAGGATCAAAAGTCGTAATACTCTCGTTCCACCCGTTTCCAAACTAGACCGACACTATAAACCTACCTATGAGAAACTATTCTCATATTACAACCTGATTCACGAACTTAGCTCTTATACCAACGCAATATGGTACACCTGTAATAGCTTTCAGCTTCGAAAATCTATTTACGTCAAACTACGATAGGTCCAGACCTTATCGAAGTTAGTTCAGTAGATCAATGTTGAACAAAACAGTTCTTAAACTTATTTTCTGACATCTGTCTCCGAGTTCCTTTGGCCGGGGTAACAGCTGTATAGTACGATTAATGGACTTTGAGAACTTCTACGAAATTGTACTACTGTTATTTGGAACGAATATCATGCTATTTGTTGCTTTTAATATGTAGAAGGTATTAGTTTTGATTGTAAAGTATTATCGGAATGGTTCAATAACACTTTTATTTCCTAACAAAATTCCTTATGCGTGAACAGTAGCTATTTACAGGTGGTAAAGTAAACACTAGGACGGTAGTGCGTAGTAGCATCACCGCAGTGTGCTGTCCGAGTTATCCTTGCAACAATAGGGGCGTATTCATTACACGAGATCGTGTGTCGAGCCACGACATCGATACGCTCGACCCACCGTCAGAGCACAACAACGTCGGAACATATAAATAAAAGATAAATCAGCTGTCACTTGTACCAACACGTGCTGCTCCAGTCATCTTTGGAGTGCGCCGCACCACTCTCGTTAGCTATCACGACCGCTCTAATCACCCATCGTCCATGTACTCAACACCACTCCATTTTGACATTATCATGTTACTAATTAACGCAAACTTGCTTGTCCTCACCCTGACCAATTTGTGAGCCTGCGGACGTCCAAATGTTAAAAGTTTCAGTTATAATTACGGCACAGTTTCAAACAAGTTACTGTTCTGTTTAGCTTTTGACAAAATTAATTTCGTTCAGATTACTGAAGTTAGAGAGCTTGATAAATAGCTGTATTGTTTATATTAAATTGCTATCAAATATCGTATCTCCCCCGAGAATTGCCGATCGGTCAGATACTACTGAGAAACTAATTTACCACCCTTCCCCTCGTCTATTTAGGGGTGGTAATCGGAAATGCGCTTGCAAGTTCCGAGTAGAAAGCAATTCCTTAGATTGCTTTCAACTTCCGACTATTTTCGTGCTATCGGCGAAATTTTCCGAAATTAACCGAGACAATAAATCAATTGCGGAGGTCGACACTCATACCCACGCCACATGTTACTTGATAACTAAAACATGTGTCTTGTTTATCACATATCGTATCAGGATTAATTGCACATGCCGTTATAGCCATAATAATGTTGTTACATCAGCATCACCGTAAACGTACAGGCGCCATTGAATGTCAAGTTTTATTTCCCAATTACTTAGAGACTTTCTCGAGGCCCCAGTCGAGGGCCTTTCGTGTAAAATGACCTCCTACGCTTTTTGTTCTCCTTTGTTAGTGTTTCCTGGCTAAACACCAAGTTTTTGTCTGTTTAGGTTACGGATTGACTTGTTTACATAGTTCCAACACTTCAGACTAAACATTCGTACAGGTTACTCTGTTCTGTTGTATTTTACGTTCGGTTTGTTATGAACAGTTCGCTTTCTACTTTCGACGCAGTTTGATGGGAATATGTACGTTTTTAATTAAGCCATAGATAACAGTTTCCTCTGTTGCACTTCCTTATCAATACCATACGCGTTCCTCCGGTTGTACGCGTAATTTCGTCCACTACCTCGCATCGATTGGCCCCAAGTGACCGCTTCCGCGCTGCAGCATGTAGTTATGTATGATTTAGCTTCGATATTATGTACTACATAATTGATACTACCTATTTGTTCGTTCTGCTTTTCATTTTCAGACGTAATAGCACCCCTTTTCATTGCGTTACTAATGGACAAATCCGGATGTCCTTAAACATGCTTATTATTATCCTTCTCATTAATCGCTTTGACGATAAAATTCATTGACTGTGTAACTCGAATTATGTTCCTATCTAAAATACTTAAGTAAGTACGTAAACGGTAAAATGGCAACGTTATTGAATCATCGGAGACGGAACGCTAAAACATGTCCTATTTAATTTAGAATAGAGTCGTTATCTTTGTAAACGAACGGAATGATATTACACACTATGACACACTGTAATGTAACATGATTCTGTTTGAATTTTCTTTGAATTAGTCGAAATATGTTGATTGAAACAAAGGTTAATGTATGAAATATAAGTAAGTACGTTAGACGTACTCGAATGATTCCCTGTCGCCATAAATACAAAATTAGCAGTTCCTTCATTGAAAGTGACAATACAGACGTGATGAGAATTAATTATTATTGTCGCCATTTTTTGTCCACCGATTTGTCAGCCAGTCACTTTGTACTGGACCGGAGCTTGTAATAGTAAACTGTCAAAATTGAGTCTCCAATTAAAACCTGCCGTGCTCGTGTTGTCTCGGTATCAAATTATTTCCGGAATTTATTTCCTCGAAAATAATGTAGCTCTACTTTACTTCATTACTATTATAAATGATGTGTGATTTCAGTTTTGACTGATAGCGTAATTTATGCCTAGCATTGTACGTACCTATTCGTTTACTTCTTTCCCCGTTTTGAACTCCGCTGAATATTACAATATTTTATCAAATAAAACAATATTCTTACGGAATATTTTTCTTTGCTATATTCAAATGATAATGTATGTGCATATTTGATGAGTGCTCTAAGTTATACATTTAGATAGACAGTGATATCGGTGTCGCTCGATGCCTAGATAGTCGGCAACAAGACGATAAAACCATCAGAGTTGTATACTCATCCAGTAGGTACGGCTACGTGAGACTGCGTAACTTTAAACTAACCGTCTAAACATTTTCACCCAGCGACTGAATATTCCGCGAGATAAATTGAGTTGATTTATGTGATGTGATAATATTACGCTATAGTCAGCACTTACTGCTGGAATCACGCCCTAGTTAAATTCCAGCGCAGGAACTATAGTCAGAATTTTAATTAGATTCCAGATTTGACAATAGCTACTGTCATTTTGTGAAATAATGATACCACATATAATAGTGTAGTGATGCACACAAAAATCGATAAACAATCAGTGTGTGTGTTTTATAATAAATGTTACAGAAAGTGACAGGATAGCGTCGCCGTCATGGCGACAATTTATAAAATAACTTATTACCATATCTGTTTTATTTGTCATGTTCCTTCATGATTACATTTTTTAATTTATTTCACCCACAATTATAAAAGAAACGTCTCAGATCGTTAATTAATCGTCAAAACTAAATTATCGGTTCAGAAATATTAATTTCCTGATATACTTAGTTCACGAGAGTAAAATTATAATTATTATAAACGAGAAGAATCGATCCAGAAATATTGCATTTCCATATCGAATAATTTCGCAACGTCACTATTTAGTACTTGTCATAACGTTGCCACACTGAAATTGTCAAATCTGGAATCGAATTAAAATTCCGAGTATAGATACAAAATTGTAGGTATAAATTGTTCCTGTTATTAGGCCTAATGTAGAACATTAGATTATGAATTAACAAAACTTCCGAAATGAATCGCTGTTATTCAGATTAGCAGACGTGGCTTCCGTCGTGCACAAATAAAGGTACAACGTACAAGTAACATTCAGCATTGTACAGTTTAGTGGACGTACCTGTCTGTGCGGTGCATACGGGATCCGACAGCCCGTGGGCGGCGACCCAAATCCACAGCACGCCAGTCGTATGTAGCTTTATTGTGTCGTAAATTCAGTTTCTTTACGTAAACATAACGCGAGACCCAAAACAAACAAGAACGGAACTTATTTATTTACTTGCAGCCATATCAAAGCGCATGTAACGTATTTAACCCGAAAATTTAGGACATCCTAGATATTCTGCTAGTTACACAAATCTGTGTTTCTAGTTTAAAGCCATTCGCTCGAGTCCGGGTCGCAGCATTTAATTACACTTATTTCCCTAAATAAATTAATATAAATAGATTGAAGCTGACACATATTTTATTAATGTTTCAGGAAATTGGTCGCACAGTTTAGTCGCGAAGAGACGTCGCTGCTAGTACTGCGCGTGATGGTGGGGCTCATCATCCTGTACGACTGGGTCCACCCGTCCGGTGCCTTCTGCCGCTCCTCGTCCGTGGACGTGAAGGGCTGCGTCAAGTTCCTGCAGCAGCAGCCCCCCACTAAGGCGGAGCCCCTGCTGAACGCGCTGAGGTATACGACGAAACATTTGAACCACCAGTCGACGCCGAAGAACATCAGGACGCTGCTGGCTGCGTGAGGACAGCACTCGAGCCTTGCATGTTGCTGTGGGGAATGATGCGACAATAATTACCTGTGGGGATACCTCGTTGGCACGCCTTTATTTTGCTCCTTAGCGATACATACCTTAGTATACGTCTAACACCGTCTCTCATCGCTACACTTCGAACGTCGAATGACGATGGACCACGACATAACGAACGTTTAATGTAATAATACATAAGATTTCCATTGTAACATAGATAGGGGTAACTGTATCTATATCTGACGAGGCAGTCGCTAATAATTCCTGAGAAATAAGAAAATCATATCATTGTGAGATATGGTCATACACTGTGGCACTTGGATGAGAGAATGTTACGTGTCGTCTAAATATTGTTCTATCTTATAATTCCTACGGGTGAACAATAATATAAGAACCTGTATTTTATTATTATCTACGGTTTCAATTAACTCTTATTAAATTCGGAAACGTTAATAGATATTAAAATGAAATGTATCTATCAAAATTATATTTTCCTTACGTTATGTAGTTAGCTTGCTTTAAAAGCAAAAATGTGAAATGTTATAATATTGAGAAGCTATCCCTACACTCCCACGTTCATGCAAGGTTTCACTGGACCCTTCTTCGTCTCTACAGAAGTCTAGCTGCCAGTCGCAACTCGTAAGTTAGCTTATAAACTATCATAGGAAGGCTTAGACACCTCTAACGTATAATGTAATGAAAATGAGTATTATTTACATTTATTCTACGATATAAAACTGCCTTGGATCATATTGATTGGTTACCACACAATTTATTAGTGCAATTCATTCGAGAATTTATTGTTATTGTTTAGATGAGTACCTTGGCGTATCCTTTCTAATAATGCACCTGAGTATCGCAGAATGCTAACATTTGATTTATATTGTGAAGTTGATATAACGTTATTAGGTAGGTAATTAGTCATTGTATTATGTATTTTCCTTGATACTTAGGTGAAAAGGATATGATTGCTAGATGTACTCAACAAACGTTTGGTCCCAGTGTTGGGTGGTATTAATAGATATTGTAAATTTTATATACTTAGCACAAATTTTATTGTTACGCACATCTCCGTACTTGGAGGGCAACTTGCGTATGTATTCGGTTCCAAAGATTTATTCAGAACGTTCATTACTACTTATTTCGCTCACTACATAATTCGTGCGATGTATTATTTTTTAAAAGACTGAGATAGACACTCGCGAATATTTCATTGCGTTTCTCGTTGATACAGTTCCATTTCTTTTGATTAAGAAACCAGAAATGTATGAATCATGATATGCCTTAATGAATGAAAGAAATGGGCGTACCTTAAACAGATATGAGTAACATGCCTTTTCTAAAATTATAATAAAATGTTAAGTATGTCGTGTTAACAATGTTGAATTTATGCATGTACCACTGCCTTGATGTTAACTAACATAATAATTTTAAATTGAAATTTATAGGAATAATGTACACAAAGCACCGCTAATTAGTTGCAGCGCTACACATCGACACAACTGTCATTTACACAGTGTACATGTGTGCGTAATTTCATATAACTGTATATAAAAATATTCGTCCACCACGTTCACATTGGTATTTTCATTCTTGTGTCGGTATACGTATTTTTATAATTTAATGCATAGGTAAGGTTAAAACTATTTACAATCATTGATATGACCCGACATTTTCACTGTCATTATCGTAGTGCTCGTGGTCGATTGGTTAATGAGCACGCTTTTATCGTCTTTCAAGGATCAATGATGTGGGTTCTATTCCAGCTAAAAGTTAATTTTATTTTACCTTGTTATTTTTCTTATTTTTTTTTTTTTTTGTTTTTTGTCATAAAATATAAATATCAGGCTATAAAAGAAGCAAATGAGTTGGTAAATAAAACAATACTATTTTTTATTACAATTAATTTATTTATTATACAAATATGTTGTTTTATATTCAATATTTATATCTAATAATTAATTATATACCACATGTTAAGTTTAAAGTTCTTTAAATCATAATTAATAGATATGACAATAAACCTCATAGTCGAATCGGGAAATATCATGCGGTACAGCGGTAATACGATGGCAGCAACATTTTTTATTAAGTAGGTAATAAACAAATATACAACATTCTTGTTTTGTAATTTAATAATATAATGTATTATTAAATTACAGTTTTACAGTAATAAACAAGTAAAACATGTAAAAAATTACACTGTCAAATATTTCTTGAAATGGGCGACTTTTTGTCGTTTGAACTTCCATTAATTATCTATTTTACGACGGTTGTTATAAGGTTCAATATTCAGTGGGCTGTATGATAGTAAAAAGAATGTGACGAATGCTATGGAACGATTTTAACTTTCATGACCTTTAGAATCAGGGAAACTTTAAATTAATTGAAGATGGGCGTAAATATAATATGTCAATCAAGTTCGAAAGCAGTTAAATAAATTTGTTAATGAAAAATTAAAGTGAAGTGAATAAACATGTTGAATAGAAAGAAATTATGACAATTTCTAACCACAAAACAATAACATCACTTCACCGTATGTTCTAGACAGCATTTTAATATTCTTAAAAAAATTAAACATTATTTTATGTTAATTTTAATAAAGGCAGAGTTTGACAGGCTCAATAATTGATTCCGAAATCAATACAATCACTGATCCTACAAGGCAGAAGGTTGCAATTCGTATACCTTTCTCCATCTTTTCTTCACAATATTTTACGCCCATCCTTATCCGACTTGAAAGTCTTTTCGTCGCTCAATATGATTACACTGTTCGCCCAATCAAAATTAATAAAGTCCTTAGCAAATTCTTAGCGCTTTTGCTGGTGAACCACAGATAACAATATTTTCTTCTCTGGCTTCCTGCACCTTAAACCAGAATGCAGGTGTCTCCGTACAGTTTGTATTAAAACATTCAGTGCTGTCGCTGTAGTGCGGGTTGGCAGGAACGGATCAGCCATGTGCCTGGCTACGATGTCGTAGTGCCGAGCCGATGAATTTGCCTTTGGTTTAGGCCCACGTCGACGATGTTTAACGTCACCGGTCTCCGCATATCTGTGCACCCATAACTGCATGGATCTCCTCTGTTGATACCAAACAAATAAGTATTTAAAATACCAGGAAATACTTTACAGGAATTAAAGTTACTTAAAAATAATAATAAATATAAGTAAACACAATGTTAGAATAATAATTATAATTAAGTAGTGGCGTAAGGAATAAAAATCCCTAACCAGATATGTTTTAAAGAAACACTCCTAACAAAAACAAGTCAAGTTACAATACAATTAATAATAAATTATTAATATATCTTTATAATATTGAACTTCATAATAAGTTGCAATAATTATTTTATTCTAGTGCAAAAATTGATAGGTGTGTCGAGTTACAAAATGAAATAAATATTATTTAGAATATCAACGTAGTATCTTATTTACTCACCGATATCATTAAACGCCTTGCTATTTCAGTTATTGTTAGTTATGTTTTGCTCATGCAAAACAATGGTTTCAGCCTTTTTAAATGTTGATAGGTGTTGGAACATCTTGTAAAAATAAAAATAACTTTGCACACGAATATAAGTAGTGTAGCAATAAACTATGAAATCCTCATAAATTGACAACTAAGAACGCAATTATTTTGTAAGTCGGGTGATTTGAAAAACATGTTTTAAATAGTCGGTAGTTACTTCATAAGCGTGTAAAATAAAATGACTCGAGATTTCTATGGTCGCCACAAACATTGCAAATATACTCAGGTATCGAACCATTAAGAAATCACAGTTAATTACTTTTTTACTGTTTTTATCTTATTTAAGTTGGTTGAAATGCATGAAGCAAATGAGATTATTCTAAATAATAAATAACTAGAACTAAAATATAAATAAAAGATATTATAGGTATAAATAAATCTAAAGTATTTACTATTAAAATTAACATAAGATTTAGAACAATAGGAAAGGAAAAAAAAAGAAAAGATTTAATTGTTTCTAATTTCAAATTTCAAATATTTGATAAATTAATTCTAAAACAACATGTGAATGTTGGAATCGATCCGGCGGCACTTTACTTGACAATTGGAGGCGATAACCATTGCGCCAAGCGCGCTGTAGATGAGATCATCGAAATATTTTATATCATTCAGTAACATAAAATTACAATGAGAAAGCACTATATTTATATGGGTATTGTATAGCTCGATCGTTCATTATTTTTGATTTCGATTTATTCAAAGTTTGTTATGAGTAATTTTATCTTTACCCTCGTTTTTATTTAAAATTATTTACTAAATTATTGCGTATACCGACACAAAAATGATTTTTAAATACCAAGATGTGTGTGATAGACGATTGTTTCTATACATATCTATTGATATGAAATTACCCACACATGTATATTGTGTAAATGATAGTTGTGTCGATGTGTAGCGCCGCTAACTAATTAACGGTGCTTTGTGTACCTAATATGATTCACTATTTGATGTATAAACTCATATGTAAGTATAACGATTAAGCGTGTATTGTTTATTTACAAGTTTATAAGTATTTACATCATTATCCCAGTTTAGTTTGACTGGCTAGGCAGAGTGCTGGAACGAGATACACTATATTTTTTAATTATATTTAAAGCCGCTGATTACGCTCAATTGCATGTCGAATTAATTCTACGTAAATAAGATCTCGATCTATTGATCAGATTGAAATTTGTGTTTCAATCAACTCCGAGATAAGTACGCAAATGTAAATGGAATTTATTATACGAACGATTTGACGAAGATTGAAACAGTTTGACTTATGTTACGTCATTTCTGGTTTTACTGCCACTCACCTGAAAATCGTTTATAAGATTGAAGGTCGCTAATCTGACTGGTGTGAATATACGTCGAACCAAAATATTCGACTGTTCTGTTGACCTTTGTAGGTAATGGCAATGTCTTCAGATCGGTGAGAAAATTTGGCTCGTCGTTTATGCCCTAATGCTAAGTTTACAAATGATAATAACAACCTTATTTGTTAACCCATTCAATTCATATTTATTGATACCTAACATAGCTGTCAGTATATCACTAAGCACAAACACTTGTCTTATGTATTGTGTATGTTAGATTAAGTAAAATTATTAACTTAGGACGGTTAGTTATATGATGCACAGTCAGCACAATACTTTATTATAGTTATTATTATATTTAATATAGTACCCTTGTTGAATATTATCTTGTAATTGCGACTGTTGCTTGCAATGAATAGGTACGACGTACGACTCAGATGTGCACTCCGAATTGCATTTACTGCGAGGAATTGAAGGTTTGAATAATAATATCGTTCCCTAAATTAACACTGCCCAAATAAGTAAATTTTATACAATATTTTTTTAATAATACATAAGTTTTCTAAAATTATTCCAAGATTATAATAATTCCAATCACTCCATGTTGAGTCTAAGCATACTTTGAGCAAAGTGGTAGTGTCTAGATGGGCGGAACTAAAAGTATTGAATGCTTATGATTGTAGAACATTAAATTATAGAAGGGACTCTAAGGTCGCCATGAATGTTTGTGAGTAGAACGAAGCAGTTATAGTACTATTTACGTTAAAACTTAAACAATTTACTTGCATTGTTTACACAGAATTTATTATAGCACCGGAATTTGTTAACAGTTTAGCAAAATGTTTAGTAAATTCTTCTAGAAAGTTAATGAAATGCAAAACATAATATTTACTATGTAGTTATGAGAAATTGTTGTATGTATTATTTGAACTGCAACATTTTGTTATTGTTTAAGGTGGTTTTGTATGATAGACCTATTTTTCTTAGTTATCATTTATTTATTGTATATAATAAACACACCAAAGTTAAAAGTAATAAATAAACTTGGATAGATTCTTGTAAACTGTTGTTTTATTTTAAGTAAAAGTCGTATAAACAATGAAACAATTTATTCTTAGCTTAAAAAATATGTACATTGATGTGCTAGGTGTTGGCGGGGCGTGGCTTGAGGATGAGCTTGCCCGTGTCGTCACAGGACATGTTGAAGTCGTTGAGCACGGAGCGCGTGCGAGCCGTGATGATGCTCGGCGCTACCACCTTTCTGTGCACTCCCATCATGAATAACAATACTGCAAAATATAAAAAATAACTCATAAACTGACTAGTTTACAATTATTTGTTTACCACTTAGATAGTATTGTAGATAGTAATGCACAATAAGATCTAAATGATATTAACTCGTCGAGTACCGGTTTTATAGACACAATTAAAGAACAATAGGTCGCGGTCACCGGTGACCGCTTTGTGTTTGACAGTTTAAAACAGGATTGTTTCAGAGCCGGATTTAAATTATCAAGACACATTTCTTAGTAATAATTTACAAAGTGAAATTATAATAAACGTAAGTTAAATCTGCGATGGTAAAATAATTAACAAGATCTATATTAATAAGGTACTCACAAAAGCAGATAACCCTAAGGTTACCTAGTATAATAAATACCTGAAAATTATACCAAAAATATTTAGGTACTATTAACTTACCTAGAAAAGTGGAGGTAAAGGCAAAAACCGGATGATTCCAGAGAGACTGTGTGAGGGAGACAACTGGTGTGAGCGGGTCCATCAACCAATGGTAAGCCGCTATTGCTGTGCACACTGATACCACTGTCAGTAAAACTGAAACCAAAAGAAAATTTATTATTAGTTATACTATACTAGATATATCTGCCTCGTTTCATTCGCTCTCATCTGCTCCTTTTGATCATAGCGTGATGTTTTATACCTTTATAAATGGATAATCCAATACAAAAAGAATTTATCAAATCCAATCCCAGTAGTTACTGAGATAAGTAAATTCAAACAAACAAACTCTCGAGGTATATGTAATAGTATAAGATATTATACTAGCCCCTAATATGACTTCAAACTAGTCGGGTTTGTAGTCAGTTACGCGAGGAGGTTGAAATAAATAATTTACAATGCCTCATAAAAGTTACAATATAAACAACAAAAAATTCCATAAATAACAATAAGCTTTAGTGATATTTTCTCTAGCTAAAATGAATTTAATTACTTGCTTACTTAAAATTAATAGGCTTTCTCATATAAAGTATTGCAAGAGTTCTACTAGTCCATGTACCACATTAGTTAATATACAAAAATATATTCACTCATTGAAATGATTTTTTGTCCAAATATTTTCTAATTTCTTTTAAAACATTAATCGGGAAGGCGCCTATCTATAATGAATAATTGCTGAGTAATCCAATAAGAATCTAAATAGATTACTCCAAGTCTAATGAGTCTAATAATAGCAGCTAAAAGCAAAAACACAGGAAAACAACATTCAGCATGATATGCACAAATATTTATATTTAATATTATGATATAATGATTGTGCATTCAAAGTTAGACATAAGGCACCATTGTCTATTATGTTAAAGAATTCTTATACTATAGGAACTATATTCTTTACAATATAGGTACTAAAGAAATAGACAAACATGAAATAATTTAATTATGAATATTAACAACTTAACTATAATCCTTGTGTAGTATTTTGAACATAACAACCAAAAGATTTTAGTTAGATAGTAAGGAGTTGAAAACATACTTCTCCATCTCATAGTAGCTGGCTGCAGACATCCTATAACTTCAGTCAGGCGTCGCTCGAAAGCCTTTAGATCTGAAACCACACAACATATTTTGTTACAATTAAAAATAACTAACAGGTTGAAGGTTACTTTATAAATGGAAAGACAACAATATATTAATGTAAGGTTATTAAAAAATATTCAAAATGAACTATACTACTTCATAATATTAATTCCGGCGCCAATAAAAATAAATCGAGTGCATCAACGAACACTTACCATCGCAAGCTGTTTGTTCCAACGACATTTTGTTTTCTTTCGTACAAACAATTAACATCAATCTTAACTATACTATACTACATATTGAGCAATTATCTATCGATTATTTAAATAATTTCAGTATAAATCTAATCTAAAACCTAGAAGTCACTTTAATCAGTAATTTACCCTTATTTTGACAATAAATGACAGCTGAAGCTGATTGACTACGATACTTGACAGAAAACTGCTATGTTGACACTGTCAGTGAAATGACACATTGACATAAACCGCGTTCATTGAAGTATTTATTTATTATTTATTTATTTTTTCTTCAATAGATTTCCCTGCTGGCGCCCTCCATTACATAAATTTCCCAATAGTATCATACCATATATGCCGCAAAGAGGCCAGCACAAGAGCTTTTGGATACCTACTCATTACGTATCGATAGGTGCCCAAAACATACCCAAAACGAAATCGCGACTTCTGGGTCAAGGAACAGCTAATGGGCAGTAATAGAGATTTTTCCAAGATGCAAAGCTCTATAGGTATCACAATTATATGAGCATAAGGCCTACCTAATACCAGGTAATGTCGTGGTGGCTCGGAGATTTAAGACGCCCGCTTCTCATGCATGGGGGTTCGATACATACCAACGGCAAGTACCAATGTGAATTTTTCCGTGTCATATGCACTTTCTAAGATTATCTACACACCACTGACAAACGGTAAAGAAAACATTATGAGGAATCCTGGGCTTTAATTTCTAATTACAAGTTTGTAATCGCCAAGCCGCATTGAGCAAACGTGGTGATTAATGCTCAAACCTTCTCCGTGTGAAAAGAGGCTTTCCTCAGCAGTGGGCATTTAAAGACTGTTGATAATGAGGTAGGTAATGTACTATTTTAGTAAAAATTTACGTAGTATAGTACTTTTCTATGTTACAAAATTATGTTGATGGTTTTAACAAGTATTTTTCAGTACTTAAACCGTACATTTCACTACCGTAAATATATATTTTATAATTACACTATCTGATATTGAGCTATAAACCGTGCTATCCTGGAATATTCGCTATAAAGACTTTAAAATATTTGAGAATAAGAAAGAAACGATATCACAATATCCTATATCTTAAAGTATGAAATAAAATTTGTTTGCATTCTTTAAGAAATTCGAGCAAATAAGTAGACTCTTCAGTCATAAGAATTCATTATGAACACATTAAATATTGATTTAGCAACTTCAATCATCACAAAAATATCAAAAGTAAAAGAAGATTGACATAAATGATATCAAATAGATAAAGTTGCTATTGTTAGGCCGAATTGGGCTGGCTGATATCATAATATTAAAATTTGCCGCTCTTTTTTCGGTCTCTAGTCTAGTGTCAAAACCACTTCTCCGTCTGGTTTGCGTTTTAAGTAGGTATACATATATACCTACCTATGTGTTTTATAATTATTATTTTGTCTAAAGTCTAAACGGATGCCGGTCGCGGACGGATCATTTTATAAGAGGGGACAAAGTCCAATAATTTGACACTTGATAAACTACTATTCTGGACTTTGGAACCAAACATAACGTTACGTACCCAACTATTCAAGGTTCGTAAACAGGTTAAACCTATTATCTTTTTATTTTCGCAATATTATTGTCTACCAGATTGCATATAAATAAACCTAACCTTTGGAACCACAATCAGTTTGCGATTTAATACACAGAACTAACATTTAACATTTTTTTCGAGATTTAGTTGAACATTCTGTCATAGTAATTTCTTATTTGCAGAATGTTTCCGCTAAGGCAGTTAGTTAGCAATGCCACCAGAAGGGTTGTGCCTAGTTTTAGGGCTATGTCCAGCTCAGGCCCTTTGGTGGACACAACTGTTGACAATGAAGGAATAGCAACTGTGACGATGCAGAGGCTACCGGTAAACAGCCTCAATCTAGACCTTCTACAAGCCATGGATAAAGCACTTGATGAAGTTACCAACAACAAATGCAAGGGAATGATTTTGACATCTGTAAGTTAATATTTTTGTGTTCTATTTTCAAATTTACTGAAGTGTCCATGAAAGTTAACTTGTTTTTTTGATTTAGTGTTAAATGGAATGAAGCCATTATTAAACCAATACCTAAATGACAAATTAATTTCTAGGCATCACCTACTGTGTTCTCTGCTGGGCTAGATATAATGGAGATGTATAAACCAGATATGAAGAGGGTTGAAACTTTCTGGAATACTTTACAAGAAGTATGGACCAAGCTATTTGGATCCAGTTTCATCACAGCTGCAGCCATCAATGTAAGAATCTATATATTTATCAATATTCTTAGTTAACTAATGATTGCGGTTTACTCACATGAATATAATGAGAAAAGCTCTATACTAGTTTCATGAAGAAGAACCCCTCTGTGGTTCAAAACTAGTAGAGGTTTTCTCAGTATATTCATGTGAGTGACCCACGATATTTAGTTATTTTGTATGTCTCATGATAGTTATTATAATAAATATTCTGAATATTCTGAATTTAGATAAAATCAAGACATATGTAATTTTAAGATAATAATGTTTTAGGTATATTTTACTATCAACGACAAATAAGCCTGGTTATTTTCTATAATAAAAACTTTGTGATATAACTATCAATAGACAAAATAAAATAAAAAACTATAAACTCCTTACCTACCTTAGTTTTAAATTAAAAATGAAACAAAAACATAAACCTATGTATTCAAGAATTTTCCCACATAATTAAGAAACTCTTTGTATTTTTATGTAAATTTATAAATGATTGTACAAATACATTTTTATATTTCTATAATTTAAATTCTTGTTGCTAGTTGCTACCATATTTTTGACCTGGTCCTGCATTCAATGTCTGAGAGACAAAATTGTAAGGTTGTTAAATTATAAAAACGGAAAATAAATTGCCTATTGTTGTAGCCATTAACAAATAATAAAAGAATACTGAAAGTAATACTAGCATAGAATTTAAATCAGATGTAGAAAATCATTATCATCTTCAAAATCAAATAAAATGATAGAAATTATATAAAAATGTAGCCTGTCATATAGGTAGGAAGAATGTACTTGTCATAACATAACACATGTTTAAAAAAAAAAGTAAATTGGAACTGTTTGGACAACCCTACCACAGCATTGCACTAATGATAACCAAGCAATTTAAAACATGTAAAACAAGGTGCATTTAAATAAATAAGTAATTAGTTGATCTAAATCACATGAACATTTTATTTTATTGTTTACATGCTGATATGGGATCCGATTGTGAAATGTAAGTTTTTAGTATAATCGTTTTTAGTTAGATTATTTAATTTCGAAGTAAGATTTAGGTCATCATGGCTATTTAGTACTACTTTTGTGATAGTTAATCATCCCCAAGCACTCATCGGTGAGCACTCTCCATTCTTATTTCCGATTTCTAGAGATTACTTTTGTATGAACAGGGATTTATATCAAGTGAATCTCACCAAGTCCAGGGGACTGATAAGCATATTGTGCTTTTTAACTGTATGAGGCTATGAGCTATGACCTTCTGGCTGATGGGAATAATGAATATGCGAGTAGTTTCATTCATTTAGGCTCTATGGCACCATCTCGTTATTTTTCAGTTAGTTTAACATGCAGATTATTTAATCTTCCATGTATTATAAAAGGTGACATGTCTAAAAATGTCAAAAATGTACACATTTGTTAATCACTGTGCACATTTTGTCGAAATATTACTAATTATTCTGACTTCTTTGGACAAATACTTATTCCTATTTAATAGCTATCAAAGAGAGAATTACCTACAGTGAACGACAGGCACATTGTTCAATCATTATGTAAATCTGCTTTTATTATTTATTTATTTGACAGTATTTATTTACAATTACACATACTACAGTATTAGTATACACATTTAGTTTAAATAAATACCTTTATGATAAGTACCTATTAATTTCTTAAATCTCATCTCCAGGGTCACGCTCCAGCAGGCGGCTGTCTCCTGGCAATGTCCTGTGAATACCGTGTGATGATGAGTGGGAAATATAGCATAGGTCTGAACGAGACGGCGCTTGGTATTGTGGCTCCCAACTGGTTCATGCACACTATGGTCAACACTATACCACAGAGGCAAGCGGAGCTGGCCCTTACTACTGCTAAGATGTTCTCTGTTGATGAGGCTTTGAAGGTGATTTGAGATTAAATTTTTTTTAGGATTGTGGTATTTGTTTTCTAGATAATTTAAGACTACCAATTTCAACTTAATTCGACTAACGAAGCCATCCTTTGTGCGTTTTAAGGGTGTCAATAATTATCATAATTACTGTAATGAAACATTTGTTATCTTTTTAAAATAAAGAATATTCTCGATTTTGATACCATGTCACTTGAATAAGTACATGTAGGCCTAGGAAAGACGAAATATACATTCTTTTTTAATTTATCAGGTATATTCTTACAATAATTATGTTAAATAAATAAAAACTAGAACCCTACATTACACATTTTGCTATCAACAGATAAAAAAACTTAAGATTTAAAAAAACAGTGTCATAAAGTTTAACAATATTATTCCTTATCAATTTTCCCTTAATAGCCTAAATAAATTGTATGCCTACGTTATTTCCATTTCTATTTTGAAACCATGTCCTTTATAATTTTGATTGCTTCATTTATAATTATTGTAACTTGAGTACATCATTAACATATTTCAGGTTGGTCTAATCGACGAAACTGCATCAGATAAAGCAGATGCGGTCGCCAAATGCAAGCAATTTATCAAGAAGTTTGACAAGATTCCACCGTTAGCCCGTTTCCTAACCAAACAGAAGATTAGGGAAGCTCCATTAAAATGGATGATGGACAATCGTACCCAAGATACTCAAGAGTTCTTAATGTTTGTGGGCCATCCTAAAGTACAGAAATCTTTAGAAATGTACATACAGGCTTTGAAACAGAAGGGTGGCAAATGAATGTAGAACTATTAAAAGTAGAGGCGAATTAAACCTATACAGCGTCCTAGACAAGCACCTCATTAGGCGCCTGTAGGGACACCCACACACATATTCATGTAAATGCATGTACACGTTTATGTGTGTAGTTCGTCATATTACATGATTCCCACCGAACGATATTTTTGTATTAGCAGTCAGGAATTGTACCCTTATAAGATATCACGTACTGTGAATCAAACAATAAACTGTATTCTATTCATATTTTATTAACGTGTAATACAAAGACAATATAATTAATTCTCACTAAGTGTTAACGAACTATTATTCCTGCCCCTACATTGGTGACCCCGACGTGATGTTATGATGTTATGACAATATTTCGTCACAAAAGGTAGACAATATTTTTCTGAATAACCTAAACTAAAAACGAGTGTTCAAAGATTCCACAGATAAACAAAGACATAAGTTAGTATTCTTATCTTTTCTGTGGGCTTTTATCTTTGACAGCTCTATTATACTATCTACCCGTAACCTCAAATATTGACTAAGATAATAATGTCATTTTGAAAATAAATAAATATTACGAACATACACAAGTGGTATTTTTTGATGCAAAGAGATTCTTATAAGGGTACAATTCCTGACTGCTAATACAAAAATATCGTTCGGTGGGAATCATGTAATATGACGAACTACACACATAAACGTGTACATGCATTTACATGAATATGTGTGTGGGTGTCCCTACAGCGCCCTTAATATATTTGGCGACACGCGCGTTTCGCGGCGTCGCGGGTTCAATAACCTAGCGCTCTAGGCATTTGTCTAGTATGCATTAGGGATAATACGGCTCTGATTGAAAGTATTTTTTAATGTTTTTTTCCAAATTATACAACTAGACCTAATCATGTATGCCCTATATTGTAAGAATGAATGGCTAAGCTAAGCTTTAGTTGTTATACTCGTTTATTTTTTATTGTAAACAACTTGAAATGAATAAATGAAATTATTTACTGAGCGTGTTTCATCTAGTTTCTCAGAACACATCGTTACATTTATTAAGAAAAACTGGTTAAGAAACTCAACTGTAATGGTCGATACTATATCTATATAAACAGGAATGATTAGCATGAATGCATTTTCGTGGCTTGAATGATTCAAGGTTAACACGTTAACACAAAAAATTAAATAAGTGGTACCTGTTTATTTTGTGTTATCACGCTCATAAGATCATAATGAATTTAAAATATAATTATTATGTAGGTAATTAAAAGTAGTTAATTCTTATCAAAAAAACTATAAAATGGATATATTTTGCTGCAAACTTAAAAAAGTTGCATATAAGCCAAGCCACCGAGTGAGTTTGGAGTGTTCGTTGTAAAATGTTTCATTTACGGCGCATACCGAGGAGTATTGTGGCGTGTTCACGATGGAACTCTTCGCAAGTGACACCTTTAGTATCGATAGACGTGGACAATGAAGGAATAGCAACACTGCAGATGCAGAGACTACCGGTGAACAGTTTAAACCTGGAATTATTTCAGGCGATAAAAGATTCAGTCATTGAAGTTGAAAAAAATAAATGCAAAGGCTTGGTTTTCACGTCGGTGAGTGCCTACCTTAGATTAATATTTTTTAATTTACTTCAAATATTTTCATGAATGGGCAGCACTTATTTATTTATTTATTTATGTACACACATACAACATAAAGGACAACACATACATAAAATTAAAGTACAAAGGTACCACATATTCCTATAGGAATTTCTTCCTGTGGACCTGGAGCAGGAAAAGTAATAATAATATAATGACACAGTGTGTAGTAACAAATAGAAAATTGGGATAGTAAACAGACTTAAAACTAACAGATAAATAACCAAACAACTACATACAATATATAAATAAATACATACAAAATATAAACTATACATATAAATGAAGAAATTTACATATCAGGAGGAAAGGTAGTGTTCTCTCACTCGTTTTTTAATGATAGCGATAGACTCAGCGTCCCGAATGTTAGGCGGGAGCGCATTCCACAGTCGATGAACGGAAAAGGAGTAGGAATAGAAATCGGTATTATGGGGTTCGATTTTAAGATTAGATTTAAGGTGACTTACTTCCCAGGCAAGCATGAGTTATGATAGATAAATATAAATTGATGCACAAAGGGTAACAACTAACAACCACATACATGTCTATGAATTTTAACATTACCTACGACATACATAGGTAATGTTTCTGTGCAGAACTGCTGACGCATGAGAAAAGTAAACAATCTCAGAACATTTGTTTTTAACTTATAACATCACGCCTTTTATCCCCGAAGGAGTAGGCAGAGGTGCACATTATGGAACTTAATGCCACTGTACAATGTAACATCCACTTTTCACTATTTATGTTATGAGTCCCATGTAATAAGGGGTGAGCCTATTGCCATTTATCATAAAAACCCAGTAATACTTTGCCTGACCCGGGAATCGAACCCGAGCCCTATTACCCAGCAGTAGCACTTGCGACCACTCGGCTAACGAAGGCAGATTTTATCTATTAGTAGCTTAATTATAGATAGATGTCGCGGAGAACCTAACGGGTAACCGCCTAACCGGGGCTCCGGCTCGACGTGCAGGAGAAGGAACGGGGTGGTTTTTAGTCAGTAAGAGTCTGACACTCTCTTCCGCCTCACCCAGGCGGGAGCAGTCAAACGATGATTTTCCCCCCCCCTTAAAAAAAAATTATAGATAGTTATTTAAGAGTAACTGATTTATTAATCTTAGGGTAGCGTTATAATTTTAGGCAAGTCCAACGATATTTTCAGCGGGACTCGACCTAAATGAATTACACAAACCAGATGTAAAACGTATGACTAAGGCGAACGAGTCTTTTTTTGATGCCTTCATGAAATTGTTTGGGTCCGATGTTATTACTACAGTTGCGATCAATGTGAGTATTCAAGCCAAAGCATTTATTTAAATTAATCCTTAATAAGACACTTTTGAATCATCATCAGTGAGAATTTTGTCGATTATAATAGTACCTACCTACCCTATTATCCCATTCAGATTATCTGTTATCGAATATGTTAGTACGGTAAGGTGTTGTTAGCTAAGTACGTCACTACGTATTACCTTTGAAACCACTGTTTCAAAGGTCGAAATAAGTTCAAAAATTATGCTTCATCACTCCTTTATCTAATCTCAATAGTAGGTACTTTTAAGCGTAGGAGAGGAGAGCTATGCTTCGGTACGAATGGGCCGGCTCGACCGGTGTGAAACAACGCTTGCGTCGTGTTTCGTCGTGGGAGTGAGGTTACCAGAGACCCGATTCCATCGCTTTCCCAATCTCCCCAATCCCTTTGTAACGCCTTTGGTGTTTTGAGTGGCCATAGGCGGCATCGATAGCTTACTATCAGGTGATCCGTATAATATCGGTTCATCTGATATCAGGTTCGATGCGATATTGTCAAAGTTGGGAGATAGAAAGATGTTGTTGTTTGATGTTTGTTTGATCTATAAATACGGACTTAATAATACCTTAGGTAGATATTGTCCCCCAATCATCACTTTAGATAGTGCAGATATGAAATTAGCAGGTCCGTGATCATGTTTACTTTATATTGAGCAACTGTTAATTGTAGGTACGTTAACTCAGCAGTAACAACCTGCGACTACTTACTTTATTTCTAGGGTTACACAGCAGCCGGGGCCTTTATTCTGTGCCTGGCATTTGAGTACCGCGTTATGACGACTGGTAAGGCCGTCATGGGGTTTAATGACACAGCAATTGGTATCCCACCAGCTCCATGGATGGGTGAGCTGATGACCCGAGTGATGGGGCGTAGACACGCGGAGTTTGCACTCACTAGTTCATATATGTACTCGGCTGAGAAAGCTTTGCAGGTCTGTATGTTACCTTGCTAATAGAGTAAAACCCCTATGTAGAACCAAAGTCTCTCACAAGCTTAAGTCGATATTATAGGATTATTATTAAGGTCTATTTTACCATAATATGATGGAAAAATAAAATAAATATGTAATGAAGTACTTATTTAGTAATTTATTATTAGTAGGTATTAAAATTCGGTGATAAAGATAAAAGATAAAGATACTTTTATTTTGCAATTTGTAATGGACAGTAATATTCCTAGATTTCATAATTACTTAGTTAGATAGTTTTACTAATTGATATTCTTAGAGTTGCATAGTGGGTACAAAAAAGGGTTGAATATTTTTTCTTTAAATTGTATTTTCATCTTTTAATTTACTCAAAAGACAATTTTTATTTTCTTTAAACTTACTAATTTAGACATTTGACTTTATGCTTAGTTGTTTCTTGTACCTATGTATGGCTAAAAAAGATTACAAATTACTTTCTAGGTGGGTCTGGTGGATGAAGTAGCAGCAGATAAAGAAGACGCAATTAAGAAATGCAAGGCTTACATACGATTATACGACCAAATACCGGTGACTGCCCGAATTAAAACTAAACGCAACTTCAGACAAGACTACCTAAAGAAAATCGAACAAAACAAACAACAATACATAACTAACTGCATAAATACCGTATCAAGCGCCGAAGTTCAAAAGTTAATAGACACGTTTATGGAAAATTTAAAGAAGAAAAGGTCTGCTAAAGCTAATAAAGAGGCTTAAGTTTTATTAAAGTTCAGAAGTCGGCTTAAATGAAGTGGCGCTGAAGTCGCAAAAAGACGAGGGACCAAAGAATATAGCCACCAAGGTATTTTCTACGCGTTAGTGAATGACGAAGAACGACAAAAATTAAGATGAATGGGAGAAAAAAGTGGGTAGGTATCTACCACAAATTCTTTTGTTGATTAATAAAAAATTACTGAGAAAAGAGCATTTTTATTCGCAATTTTGCGTAAAATGTACCTATATTTCTATGTAAAATAGTGATGTTCAGTCAACTCTACTCTACTGTACCTACCTACTACGACCCCACACTAGCTGAGTTCAGGGACAAAATAAAACAATAATTTAGTGATCAAAGTAAAGTGATGGCATACTTATTCGTCTCTGAAAATCAAACCTAGCTAATAGCTATCTAGCGATTTATCGCCCCTGAAACGCTCTAAATAAAAAATTTCAAGAAAATCGATAAGTCCGATTCCGGGATCGTTAATATACTTACCTATTAAATAAATACGTATAAATAAATAAAAATAAATACGTATATTAGATACCTACTTAATATACGTATAAATGAGCACATAAATTATTCCTGTCTACAACATGCAACTCTATGTATTTAATTTTATAAAACGAACGGGTTTATAGGCTATTGTGCTGTCACCTACCTAATACATTTTATTTCTTTAACTAATTTTGTGTTAGTTGTGCACGCGGATGTGGCTTCGCTCGTACAATAAGAATTTATATTTAACTTCGCAAAGATAAAAAAAATTTAAAAATACATACGAATTTAACAATTTATTTATTCATATCTTGCGTCAAAGCAAATGAGTAGGTATGCTAGAATCGTTATATCTATTTGGCGATTGATTGTCTCTGCCTACCCTACCCCCAATGGGAGGCAGATCTTTTGCATATTATACCATTAACTATTGAACTAACTACGTTCTAGTTAGAAAATGTATCGCATTGCGCAATATTTTTCACCACATTTAAAATACAGCTGGGCTGTAAAATATGAATACAAACTATTGAAGGGAGCTCGATCGCGGTCCGCCATGTCATTGGTTGTAAGAATAATCAAGACCAATGATAGGCGAGAACGCGATCGAGCTCACTTCGAGACTTCGAATTGACTTATTGACATCTTACAGAATAGCCTAGCAGGTCAAGAAACTGAACTCATAAACAAACATACAATACATACCACGATATTCACAAATGACGTTCGATGTATGTAAATAATGTTTAGCATATGCTTTTTCGTGGCTTTAATCATTCAAGGTTAACACGTACCAACGGACTGTAGTAAAATAAATCGCTAAAAACGGTGGTGCCTATCTATTTTGATAATGTGTTATCTTGCGCTCAGTTCATAATGAAAATACATATTACTTAATTCTTATCAAAAAACTGTAAGACTGATATATTTTGCTGTAAAAATCAAAAAGTTGCATATAAGCCAAGCCACCGAGTAAGTTTGTAGTGTTCGTTGTAAAATGTTTCATTTACGGCGCATACCGAGGAGTATTGTGGCGTGTTCACGATGGAACTCTTCGCAAGTGACACCTTTAGTATCGATAGACGTGGACAATGAAGGAATAGCAATACTGCAGATGCAGAGACTACCGGTGAACAGTTTAAACCTGGAATTATTTCAGGCGATAAAAGATTCAGTCATTGAAGTTGAAAAAAATAAATGCAAAGGCTTGGTTTTCACGTCGGTAAGTACTTGGATAGAATTATCATTATTTATACAGTACCTGAAAATTTTCATAAATGGGAAGTACCATGATAATTAAATGACTAATGATCTTACATATAGATGTAAGATCATACTTAAATGATAGCATCTAAGTATGAAATCTAAAATTAGGTGCGACATAATGTTTCTGTGCTGGTGCTGCAGATGCTGACACTGTGAGAAAAATAAACAATCTCAGACCTAAATAATCTTTTATGTTTAATGCGTTAGGTACCTATTTATTTATTAGTTAATATCTAATACTATTAACTACACCGACGATATACCGAGTTATTGATTTACTAACTTTAAGTGTTATAATTTCAAATTCCAGGCAAGTCCAACGATATTTTCAGCGGGAATCGACCTAAATGAATTACACAAACCAGATGTAAAACGTTTGACTAAGATGAAGGAAACTCTTTTTGATGCCTTCATGAAAGTGTTTGGGTCGGACCTTATAACAACTGTTGCGATCAATGTGAGTATTTTCTCGCCATAATAGTACCTAAGTACGTACGTATCTATAAATGTAGGTACCCTGTTATCCCATTCAGACTATCTGATATTATCGAAATGTTTGTTCAGTAAGGGGTAGGTAGATAAGTACGTAGTAGTCACAAAGGTCGAAATAAGTTAAAAAATTATGCTTCATCACTCCTTTATCTAATCTCAAATGATGACACCAAAATAAGATTAGGTACACTTACATAAGTAGGTACACTACTCATAAAAAATATATCAACTTACAATGCCTCATTATTCGTAAAACTTTGAATTTTAGAGGGTAGCGTGCATGCACCTTCTGTGGTCTATCTATAGCTATTGTCTTTCCGCTGCATGGATCCTCGTGCTCGACCACGATATTGTCAAAATTGGGAGATAGGAAGATGTTTTTTTATTGGTAATGGGTAGATATTTATTGTTGAGCAACCATAAAGTGTAAAACCCAAGAGTAACAATCTTCGACCTTTATTTCTAGGGTTACACAGCAGCCGGGGCCTTTATTCTGTGCCTTGCATTTGAATACCGCGTAATGACGACTGGTAAGGCCGTCATGGGGTTGAATGACACAGCAGTTGGTATCCCACCAGCTCCATGGATGGGTGAGCTGATGACTCGAGTGATGGGTCCTAGACACGCGGAGTTTGCACTCATTAGCTCATATATGTACTCGGCTGAGAAAGCTTTGCAGGTATGATATTCAGTGCAGTTTGTTTATATTTCTTATATCATATGTTATATCTTTGATATATTTTTATTTATTAATTAATTTACTAGCTTTTACCCGCGGCTTTGCTCGCGTCACAAAAGGATAAAAAGTAGCCTATGTGGCATATAAGTACCAATACACACAGCGCCATCTATACCAATACTTTTGTATTCCCTCGGGAATATCAATTTTTCCGGGATAAAAAGTACCCTATTATTTAATCCGGACTTCTAACTTTACGTCTGCAAAAATTCAAAGCAATCGCTTAAGTAGTTACGACGTGAAAGCGGAACAAACAAACATACAAACAAACTCACTTTCCGATTTATAATATTACCTAGTAAGGATTAAAACTAATATATTTTTAAAGTAATACCTAATAAATTACCTACCCACGTCGTTATTTCGATTTAATGTTAAATTTTTTGCTAATTACAATATTAACATAAAATTCTTATTACTTTCCAGGTGGGTCTGGTGGATGAAGCAGCAGCAGATAAAGAAGACGCAATAGAGAAATGCAAGGCTTACATACGATTATACGACCAAATACCGGTGACTGCCCGAATTAACACTAAACGCAACTTCAGACAAGACTACCTAAAGAAAATCGAACAAAATAAACAACAATACACAGCTAACTTCGTAAACACTATATCAAGCGCGGAAGTTCAAAAGTTAATGGATACTTTCATGGAAAATTTAAAGAAGAAAAAGTCTGCTAAATCTAATAAATCTGCTTAAGTTTTGTTAAAGTTCAAAAGCTATAGTTTACTTAAATAAAGTGGCGCTGAAGTCGCAAAAAGACGCGGGACCACACACGGGAGGAATATAGACACTTCGATCAACAATAACAACTTGCTTTTGTTGATCGAAGTATAGACACAAAGTGCTCGCAGGAGCGAGTGCCTATTAAAATAACTTAAATTTTTTGTATACCTATTAAAAAAATTACTGAGAATAGATTGTTTTTAGTCGCAATTTGATGTGAAATAGTTTATGATACTATATCGACTCCTACTACGACCCCACACTAAATTGGAATAGGACTAAATTGAAATGAAAAATTATCAAGAACTTAGATCAAAGTAAGGTATGCCGAGTACAATATAGAATGTTCAAATATAAACCAATAACATTATGATAAATACATTTAATAATAGTGTTAAAAATCTTCTCCCAACAAGGCCACAGCATCAGGATCTACAGTATCGGTTAGTGCCATGTGCATGTCCGCCCACTCCTCGCGCTGGTTGTCTATGAAGTAGTTAATCTCCAGGATTCTGTCCCTGTTTCGTTTTATTTCATTGCTGTGGAGAAAATAACATTGTCAATGGCCCAATCACTTTCAAATTGGTCAGTTGGATTTCGGAAGCTAACTGAATCTAACTGCTCTAGAACAGAGTAGTTAGATACCTTACCTAGAGGTTACCTTTATCAGCTTACCTCCTTCTCCGATCCGTACTTTCGTTTCTATGATTGTATCACATTCGTGCATTCAGATAAACACACACGCTGGTTAAAAATACCTACCTAGCCTAATCCCCATCTAGCCTTCTTCAAGAGTGTACCCAATCCTAAATATCACCATATCATTATGGTTAGGTTAAGTTGTTAGGTTCACCATCAAAACCTCCTAAATTGGCCCTCCAACCCTATGTAATGAATGAATGAACACTTTAACACTCACTCATTAGTTCCTTGGACGAGGTCTTCACGCCAGGCATTAGCACGGGACGTGAGCAGATCTTCCCGTGCATCTATGAAGCGCATGTGAGTGTCCGATGATGCAGCCACGAGGTTCATCAAGAGGTCGCGATCCATCATTACCTGTGAATATGTAGGTACATAGAGCATAGGTATGCTTTATTACTTTTTTGCATAAACTCAATCAAGTTTAGCTCTCATGATAACAAATGGTCACCTGGTCAAATATGTGATAGATGATAACTTTAGGTGCATATATGTTTATTATAAACCTTTTTGAAATGTAAGTAGTAACGTGTATTGTGTAGGACACTATAAATATTATCTAGTTTAGTCCACTTTAGCAAAGTACCTACCTTATACCTACCCATTTAAAAATGGCAAAATGACTTCAAACAAAGAATGGCACGGCTCATTTAAAATAACATAAAAACCTTCAAGTACTATGGTGCCACTCACATCGAAAAGTTCAGGCGACGCATCTCCCAGCATGATCTTGTTTCCGAGGTATTTAGAAAGCACCTCAAACTGTCGCGTGGACCATACGCCCTCGTGCTCACGCCACGATCCGAACGCCATGCGAGACACCTCCAGCAACTTCGTCACCATTTCCGTCATATTCACTGAGAATTGGACGCGAGAGTCCTGGGCGGAGCCGAAGACAGAGTTGTTAGGTACGAAATATAATTCCTAAGTTTTTGTTTTTGATAAGAAAAAAAGACTTCTGCTGAAAGCCAGTCCGATTTTAGGAGGCAGCCCTTTATGAATTTGTTTGGTGAAGAAATTAGAACAACGAATCTGATCAACCCCAAAAATGTATTAGTCCATTTTGTAACTGTCTAGTCTAGTACTAGGAAAAAGGTATTGTTAATCGTTTTCCACCAGATATATATCACGTAATTACTCGAGAGTGACTAGACACCTAGATTAGGCACTAATTCTCAATTCCTTACCTCGCATTGTTCAAACAGCTGCATCTCAGTAGTCATGAGGCTCTTCCACAGCTCATACAGCAGCTCATGGTATGATTCCCCAATCTCCAACAGCATCGGTTCCATCTGCTCCAAGCTGATCTGTTTCGTCGTGAACTTGTTGCTAATTTCTGCGACATGAGCCATTATCGGCTTCTTCTTAGCTTGGAACTCTTCTAACACTCTGACGGAATTAATTTAATGTAGGTAAACAAATAGAAATGTCATGGAAACCAGTCCGATTCCGAGATATGATCACCTATCGAAATGAACCACAAATAAACTATTAAATAAAACGAATGTAAAAAAAAGAAAACAACAAAAATTATAACCACAACAAATATTAGGCGTCACAGTACTCGTCCGTCCGCATCACTATCACCGGGGAACGTTCCCAGAACACTGGCAGCATTGCCACGATTGAATTGATATCCAATCATCATTTCCAAAACCTTATTGCCACTAAAATATCATTACCTATACCCCTTATGGTCATTCCAAGGTTACCTGTTAGCAGATGTTCTGGTACTTACTTCTTACTTTTCGCGACACTGTCCTCGAGAGCACTATCTACGAGGTTCTTAAACAGTTTGATTTCGTGTTGTCTGTCCTTGTATGCTTCTTGGGCAAATTCTACCAGATTAGCCATCGTTTCTACGTAGTTTTCTCTATATCTGTAAATGAATGAACCTGTAATAAGTAAGAGAGCTGATGGATTTGCAAGATGTCTTCTGAAATAACGAGGTATAAAATCACCAATCCGACTGCTATTTAATTTAGGACTAAATGCTTTGTATGTACTGAAAGAAAAATCTTACTGATCATAATACGCTTGAAGTTCTCCACCAAAGCTGAGAAGTATCTGTCCGTCAGGGTCCTTTTCAAACATGGTTTCTATGAGTTCAGGTCCACTGAGGTATTCCACGAAGGACATGGCGTAGAACGTGACTTTTGCATCGTACTCCTCTTTAGCTATCCTCTCCTGTTCCGTCTTCTCATCCGCTTCATCCATTTTCCGTAAAAGACCTCTGCAATTAAGCATCAATGAGTGTAACGACCAACGAACAGGCGAATCACCTGATGGTAATCAACAACAAAGGATTTACCTAAGGACTTACCTGAACATTGCTCTCCCGTTCTCCCTCTCTTCTTCAGTAACAATCTTATAGTCCAGGTAGGTGACCCTCGAAAGAGCTGCTTTCAAGAACTGGTAGGACATGGGATCGTCGCAGCATGGGTTTCCTTTGAAACTTACCGAGCGTAATTTACGAAATCTGCGAAGGTACGCCATCTTGAAAACAAAAAAATATTAGGCAAGCATTCTTCTTGTATAGGTAATGGAAATGTAGGTACCTATATTTTAACTGTGGTTGGGTACGATGTCCGAGTCAGGCAAATGTCAACGGATTCGATTTTCGAAATTCTGAAGTTGTGAAATGGTGTTCACAGATGTATGAATATCTTCGCCCTTATTGCACGGTACTCATATCTCGTGATTATTTAGATAATGGTCCACTTATCCCAGTCGGAGTCGCGGAGAACCTAACGGGTAACCGGGGCTCCGGCTCGACGTGCAGGAGAAGGAACGGGGTGGTTTTTAGTCAGTAAGAGTCTGACACTCCCTCCCGCCTCACCCAGGCGGGGGCAGTCATTCGATGATTTTCCCCCCTTAAAAAAAAAAAAAAAAAAAATCCCAGTCTAAAACTTCAACCAACCTCCTTAAAATCTTCTATCTTATTGTCTCCAATGCTGAATACGAGAAGATTTTCTAGCGCGTCCAAGTTTTCCAGTTTCCGTATTTTATTATGGAACAATGTCAACACTTCTAAATTGACTAATGCATCCAAATTCTCGATCATTTCAATCTTATTGAAGGATAGGTCAAGCTCATTGAGTCCTGTGAGTAGTTCTAAATGTTCTATTTTCTCAATTAAATTGTGAGCTAAAGTAAGCTTTCTTAAAGACTTTAGCATCCAGAGATGATCGATTCTTAGTATTTTTTGGAATTCAAGTCTCACTTCTTGAGCTTCATCTAGATGTACACCTTCTTCAGCAAAAAGTCTACCAGCCTCTTCGGTTGGACCTAATTAGAAAATGTAGGGTTTTTTTTATTTCCGATAAGATTTGAAATGATTAACTAGGTAAGTATCAATATTATATCTACATAGTAGGTAAAGGCAAAAACAATAATCATGATCATATAAAAATAAAAACCGGTTCCTTCGCTTACCATTTTCTAAAATACATCGAATGAGCATAGCATTATCGATTACACCCGGTTCTACATCCGGGTGGATAATAAGACTATTCAAAGATCGCTTCGGTGGCATCGAATCTTGATCCAATGTGTTCATTTTTATAAGATTTCTATAAACAAAGCGTAAATCAAAGATTGCCTGCTTATTGATGTAAATAATATTTTTATTTCTGAGGTTGCTATAGTAACTGACAATTTAATCAAAATTTATTTAATGTTGTTTAGCCTTTTAGAAAGAAAAATAAACAAAACAATAAAATTTATTTTTTTGTACATTACAGTAAGCAGTTTTAAATAATTTTAAATTTTGCCGCTTTTTTAAAAATCACATTTCTAATGTCTTAGTACGTTGATATTTTGTGCATTTTATACATTGATTTGATACTTTAAATCATAGACCTCTTTAAATATAAATAATTAAAAGAGGAATTCTGGGATACGTGTATTTTAGAGAGCGTTTTCAATTTGTACAAGTTAATTTTTAGTTTTCTTGTGCAATTTTATGTGTATTTTCCCTAATGATCGATATTTTTAATTTATAAATATTTCTGAACGAAATTTATTAAATTTGACAGATACTGCGCGTATATTTTATCTGTGCATTGCGTTTTTGGTGACAAGTGAAATCGGTGAAATCATTTTGATAAATACGTGATTAATTTCCAAAGATGTCTTTCTTTGGTGTAGGAAATCCCTTTTCTACGCCGGTAGGGCAAAAAATAGGTAAGGATTCATTTTGTATAACCTCCTTTTATCATCACTTTCTAAAATATAAAAATACCGTACCCTATGTTCCATTTCTTTTTGTTGCGCACTAGAAGATCTCAATTTCTCTTTGTTGTGGTGTCACGGTAAATAAATGTTAGGCAATTTTATTGAAAGTACTTTATGAACATAGTTGTTGTCATTTTCTTTTGTACGCTGTACCATAAGAAGTTGGTGTTAATTGCTTTGACCCTTCGTATTACGATTTGAAATATTGTTTTAGAACAAGCTACAGATGGATCCTTACCGTCGGAGAACTGGGCCCTTAATATGGAAATCTGTGATATTGTGAACAGTAGCACAGATGGGCCTAAAGATGCCATAAAGGCTATAAGAAAGAGGTTGACACAGAGTGCTGGGAAGAACTACACAATTGTGATGCACACTCTGACTGTGCTTGAGACCTGTGTAAAGAACTGTGGCAAGTCTTTCCATGTCCAGGCTTGCAACAAGGAGTTTATATCTGAATTGGTAAGTGGAGTATCAATAATAATATCTATTCATAATATCATAGGCTTATAATCAAATAAAAACTCTCTTTTTATCATCCGGTAGCGACTGTCAAAACAAGAATACACAGTGATTACATGTTATCACAAAATCTGTTTACCTATGCCTTTGTATGCATTTGATAAGTGCTTGATATAGAAACCTATAGAACAATAACAATAAGCAGGCAAACTGATTCATACTTATAGAAGTCATTAAATAAATGTAAGTACAGGAAAACTCGAAATAAATGACTATATACCCTCTCTTACTCAATGTTAGGATTTTACGTTTGGCTTTGTTTCATCTTGGTAATTCTTTTAATGAGAATTTTGAACATTAAATTGTTCTAATTTGCATTTTAACAATAATTGTTCATAATTAATATTTCTTATAAGGATTGCTTAGGAATTATTCCCATTAACCTGTGAACTGTCGGAACAGATCTATGTGAGACACACTGTGTTTTCTATTGTGTCTCATATATTGACAGATATGAAGTATGAACCTCATGTCTATACATATTTAAATGAATAAAGGAACTCGAATTTTATGTAGATATAGGTAGGTAGCTACATGTAAACAGGTATATAAATACTTTAGATTAGCAGGTGAACACTAACACACTGATATCTCACAAACTAATGACATGAGTCATTCCACATAAATATTTCAACTTTATAGTTCAACTGATACCAATGTTTATCTCGAAGGTTAATCTTGAATGATGCTGTTTTTGGTATTTGAGAGGAGACTGTAAGATGATGAATGAAATATCTATAATTAGGTACTCCCATGTGATTTCACCTGCTGCTCGGCTCCTATTGGGCATAGTGTGATGTTTTATAGCTTATAGCCTTCCTAGATAAATGGACTATCCAACACGAAAAAAAATATTCAAATTGGACCAGTAGTACCAGAGTTTAGTGTGTTCAAATAAAACAAACAAACTCGTCAGCTTTATATAATAATGTAAGATGTAAGATATAAAAGTGAAGTCAAAGTGATGTAAAATGGAATTCAGTAAATGGGTAAATCTAAGAGATTCATAAAATTAATAATTATACCATTCATTTACTTTTTCAAATAAACACAATAAAATATTATTAAAATAGCAGTCATACATACCTAAATTTGTCAAATTATCATATTTACATTAAAATCAGTCATACTTAAATAATTTTTTTTATAATTAATTTAATTCAAATTCATATTGTTATAGTAAGTAATTACAGTAAGTAATAATTATAGTAAGTAATTACTATAACAATATGAATTTTAATTGAATCTACTTTTTTACTATGTATAGTGTAATACACATTAGTATAATAATTCAGTAAAATAAATTCAGTTCACTAGTCATAAAATCTATACCAAACTGTAAAACATTCTGCTACAACAACCTTCATTAGCAGATGTGTAAATAATAAATACATACACCTCATATTTTATGCATTCTGTTATAACTACAAAGTAACACAAATGTCTTAACCCAGTAAATAAATAAAAGGAATTGCAAAATCAGTTAAATATCCTTGGTCTTAAAAATATTACTAGCCTTCCGTAATCTTACAATTTTTTACAACTTATACACAACTATAAATTAAGTTCAAAGTAATCATATGATACAGTACCTATTCAATAGGTAGGTACTGTGTCAAATCATATGATTTTTTTATAATCTGCCCAACAGTAACTTCATTTACTCAAAAGTAATAAAATGTGGGCTGGATCTTTTCTGCTTAACAGAGTCGAAATTTTTACTGGTGAAAACTGCCTCGTTCAGTAGTTTTTGTGTTTTGTAAGCCTGTATATACATATGTTTGTTCTTTATTAACTCAAAAACTAATTAACAAATTGCAAGGCCGTAAAAAGTAAAGTAAATGCATGAAATTTGGCATAGAGATTTCTATTAATCTGCTACTTTTATCCTGGAAATGAAAACAAAAGTTCCGGCAGAAGTTAATTTAGGTATTCATAAATGTATCAGTTGACATGATGCCAATTACTATGGCACTGTACTGTATTATATTCCTCTCGGTTTCCTGTGCTCATAGGTTCCTATGAGTCAATTGCTAATTATGATTCATAGCTCCTAACCTACCTTATATACATATGTGTGTGTTATGACTGCAATTTTATGCACTATGAAACTACGTTTATTATTAGTTTGTTTACATACAAGGTATAGTAGTTATGTAATCATAATATCACGCCTTTTATCTCCGAAGGGGTAGGCAGAGGTGCACATTTACGACACTTAACGCCACTGTACATTGTAAGATTGTAACACGCATTTTCCCTATTTATGTTATGAGTCCCATGTAATAAGGGGTAAGCCTATCAGCCTATCGCCTAGCAGCGGAGTCTGCTCCGTGCTACTACTGAGAATTTTTTTAAAATCCAGTAATACTGTGCCCGACCTGGGAATTGAACCCGAGACCCCTTGCCCGGCAGTCGCACTTGAAACCACTCGGCCAACAAGGCATTCATTTATGTATTTAATGTGTTATATTAGATGTACAGGATATAGATGGTAATGGTTTAGGATGTCAAATGTAGCCTTTTATTCAAATTACTAGCTACTCCCGTTTCACCCGCTCTGCTCGGCTCTTATTGATCGTAGCGTGATGTTTTTAGGCCTATAGTCTTCCTCGATAAATGGACTATCCAACAGAAAAATATTTTTTCGCGGCGATGTCGCACAGCCTACTTATCTAATTTGTTTTGAAAACAAAGTAGTTAGAACAAAACGAGATTTCACAATATTATTTAACATAATTATGTGACTTTAAACAGCTAATCTACTGTGACATAAAGTTACCATTAACATCTTTCTACATAAATACATTCATACATATATTTGTTAACATCAGTTAACGCTATATGTTAGCAAATGAAATACTGCAGTGTTGCAATATTTATTGGTTCTCTACACCTGTTCAAGTTGCTACCTATTTGATGTCAAGACACCATATTATTGTTTGTTATATATTCTGATTATCAGTAGGATATCTCACAAAAAATAACTTGTTATTGGCCTCCAAACTATACATGTCATATTATCAATGTGCATATATTATCAAAACTAGTTTAATTAATGTTTAACGGTTTATCTCCTCCATAAAGTATTAACGGAAAATACAATATTGAAAAATATATGTAGGTTATAAGGATATTTTAATTTTACACTGTTTATTTTTCAATCTGCTTTAGGAAAAAATATTACATACTATATCCTTCTATTATCATCCTGTGTTGATACAATAAATTACTTAAAACTTAGATTTTAAAGTCTATTTTAGTTTAGCATGGTTTTCATTTTACTTTTTTTCCTAGGTAAAACTCATTGGTCCCAAGAATGACCCTCCAACAGTGGTGCAAGAGAAGGTGCTCAGTCTAATCCAATGTTGGGCAGATGCTTTCCAGAACCAGCCTGATTTACAGGTAAATTATAAAAGCACCCTTATCTTTATTTGTGTAACTAGCTGAGCCGGCAAACTTCGTACCGACTGCAACTTTTTCTCGCCTTTTAAACCTTCCCTGGATTTTCGTGAACATTTCAAGACCAAAATCAGCCAAATCGGTTCTCAGCCGTTCTCGAGTTTTAGCGACACTAACAAACGGAAATTCTTGTTTATTTATATAGATAGATAAGCTTGTTTTTGCAGGAAAGGAAACACCATAAGAAGTTGTTACTATGACGCAACCTGCTAGAAATGGGAGTCTATAGTCATATCGATTCCTATTTAAACCATCAGCAATTTGCTTGCAATCTTTCGCTTTGTCTCCATTCATCAATATATTCATGCGATCTTCGATTTATCGGTAGGAGTCGGAATTGTTGCCGTTTTTTGTCCCCGATCAATGTTAGTTAATCAAAGTTGTTCTATTGGTATGACCTTTAAAACAACCAATCCGTAAGACAATTCTCTGCGATCGCCCCTACATGAGTTTTCCAATAATTTATAAATGTCATATATTTGTCTTCAAAGGATACGTGTTATAAAAAAGACTGATACATATAAATTGCTATATTTTACACGTGCCTACCGTAATAAAGAGTATTCCCAATATGCTTGTTATATTGAGAGAAGGTCAAAACTTTCAATTGCGGCCGACTCGAAGCGGCTTCAATTGTATAGGTCATCGCTAGTCATCATCATCAGTTGTGTGTGGATATTACAATCAAATTGAATCAAATAGCAAATTCATGTGACCAGGAATTATGTAAGCGTTACCTACGCGATTTTTTCGTGAAATATTCTTTGTGATACTGTTTGAATTGAGATACTATTGTCCATTTTTTATTGTTCTTGATTAAGAACATTTGCAGATTTGCACCTACAACATCATAATTGATCTAGATTCCAACAACTTTGCTTTCTAATGAGTAAATGATAATAAAAACTAGAAAGTGTCTGTGTCCAGCAAAGACACTAACTCTCAAATGCTAAAGTATGAATTAAACATAAATGTAGAGTTATTATTTTTAACACAAGAGACTTAGCTATGAAATAGGACCATACCACATCGTACACTGAATGTTTTCTTGGTTCAATGCTCCAAACAAACAATCTCATTATATCTATCTACTAAAACAGCTTAGCGGTTAATCCAATTAAAGGGAAATACTCGGTTCACGCCTGATGTGTTTGTAATAGTAAGATACTAGTTTTATTCGTGGCTTTTCTCACTTTAATTTTCACTAAGTACCTTGTCAGCTAATTCCCATAGTAAAAATAATTCTTGAATTTCACGAAAACCACTTTTTCAAGATTATTTTTATTAAGAAATGCAATTAGCTATAATGATATCCCATTCAAGATTAAGCTGCATCTATCTATGTTCTAAGGTCCATCAAAATCAGTCCAGTAGTTTAGGCGAAAGTGTAACAAACATATTAACATTGATACTCACAAACACATTTCTAATGTGTTCAAACGCTTCTGACTTGTAAGTTAAAATTGTTTAACAAAATAAAACATTAGTTTAAATACGAGATAGCTATCATATCGCGTGCTTTAACTCAGTTAATGGATATAATTATTTACAAACACCGGCATGACACAACAATATTATAGTTTGCAGTGTCATATAACTCATATACTAATTTATGACTAAGCTTATTGAGGGCATTTGTCCCTCTGAAAATGGCACTTTGGACGATTATCAACGCATTAAATCCATGCCGTCGAAAGCATTTATCTATGCCATAGATAAAGCCTTGGATACATAGTTTGGTGTCTAAATGACACAATAATGTTCCGTTGAATGTCTGTAGGTTTATAGGCAGGTAACTGTGTAACAAAAAAAGGTTTTAGTTAGCTAAAATACCAGTCACAAGTCATAGTTGTTGTCGAAAGCTTTGTCCGCTTACATTTGATAGTTTATTTATACCAATATTGTCAGTAAAATTGGGTCAAATTGAAAATGGTGGATTCCCCGGTTTATCCAATACTGCTGCTCTAGTAGGCTAAGTAAATATCTTCGACGTGTACCTAAAATCTACTAAGTTATTCAGGTGTATGGTACCGAAGCGAACTTGTGCCTATTTTAGAGTGGTCGATACATTGTACATAGATTATTCTAGCAATGCACCTTCTCAGAACCAGTTGGAAATCAATAAACCGCAGTACATTTTATTACTGCGATGAACTCAAGTTTTACGTCATTTTATAGTAATAATAAATGTTTCAGGGCGTCGTACAAGTTTACACTGAATTGAGGACTAAAGGGGTGGAGTTTCCAATGACAGATTTAGACGCGATGGCTCCCATATTCACACCGCAAAGGGTATGTAAAATTTTACACTAAAATAATCTCTAATATTTGCCATATGAGTGTATTGTTATCTACTATTCGTCCCTTATCGGTTCACACTCGTACTATCACGATCCGAACGATAAATTATAACAAAATGAGTCATGTTTTGTATCATATTACGTAAAACTCCGAGCCACTAATCCTTCGAGGTGGATCTTAGGATATTGTTTTCTAGAAATATGTCAACACTTTGTGGACAAAGGTTATTTATTGATTATGATAAGGTCATCTACTATAAAATGCCATAAAGGGATTATTGTTTTCCAGCTGCATAAATATCCTTTAAGTTCGCGAGTCACAGCAACATGAGAGAAAAATAAATAGCATTTGTAATAACTAAGAAAACAAAATTATCTTGGTAGTTGTGAGTTGGATATTGAAATCGTCTGGCATCGATTTTATCGCTCGCATAAAATCAAGCTGCATTCTACGAAATGTAACAATAATGAATAAATAATTGATAACGATCTATATTTGTTACTGACGACCAGTTCACGATATACTCTCGTTCATTATAAATGAATAATTGGCCAGCCAAGCTTTAAAATATTGTGTAAAATCTTAAAGAGTGGTATTTTGAACTCTATTCACTAAATTATAAAGTTATTACTTGTTAAGTGACAATGAGTTTTATACAGAGCGTCCCGGACAGTGGTGAACCAATGATCGGGTCGCCCCAACGCTCAGCTATGCCGCAAACCTCGCCCAGCCGACCCACCCAGGAACAAATATCTGGAACCGTAAGTTATTTACATTTTCATATAACTATTATCATAATCTTAAGCAGATAATTAGATAGTTTATCAATACTTAGGTATAAAGTTCGATGTTTAAATAAAAACAAGGAAACTTGCCACTTGGATTATTATTCTTTATGTATCTCGAATTCTTTTTTACATTAATATTTTTATGAATTCAATTTACGGCGGACGGACGGTTTAGGGATTGTAGTTTAAAAACAAAAGGTTTAACACAGAATGCCTAGTCTCGTAGGTTGTCCCTTATGCCTTGTTTACAATATACTAGTATGATAGTCGAGTAGCGAATATTTAAAATTTCTCTCGCTTCTGTCCCAAAATCGAAGTCATTGTCAGCTTAAAGATACCTGCAGATAGAGTAGGAATAGTAATAGGTGATCCGTCTGCTCGTTAGCATCCAAATCCATAAAAATTGGACTTTATTCTGCCGTCTCGTACTAGAGTACACGAGCTCCAAACCACTTGATTCAAAGAGGTTGATTAACACAACCACAGATATAAGTACTTAAATACGGAGCTGTAACAACGTAGGAACTGGAAGTAGGAACTGGGTGATTTTAAGTCAGTACAGTCTGACTGACACAATACAGGAAAAAGCCATTGGTTGATTTTCCCCCTTAAAAAGACAGGTACTTAAATAAGCGTGTGCAAGTACTCATGTATAATTAATTTTCAAGTGCAATGAAACAATACTATTTAATGATTACGATCCATTACGTAGACTGATAAACCTTTGTTTAACAAATTATCAAAATGATATCTGTGTTTTAAAGTAGCTGCATGATTACAAACTCTTGAATACAAAGTGTAGGCTATTGACATTGCCTTCTATCAATCTAGACTTCAATTTTCAATATAAGTCCAATATTGTGTTAGCGGCTCGACGGTTAAATGTATGGTCCTAACTTTACCTGTTTTTATTCAATGTTTTTCTATTGAATGTTATATTTTCCTTATTGTCTATTTTTATATCTATGTATGTCATTTCTGTGGTTTATATTAAAGAGAAAATAAACAATACCGTTTCTGCAGTCGCGTAAAAAGAAGTAGTGTTAGTACTATATTCACTTTTAGGTAGTTATTAATTTGATAATGTCTAAGTTCCGTAAGTTTTTATAATAACTATCGTGAGACATACTAAACTAACTAAGAATCGCGGGTTACTCGTGCTTTTACTAGCTCTTTATATTACTAGCTCTACTAGTTTCGAACCACAGAGGGATTCTTCCTCATGAGAATTACCTCCCTCTGTTGTTCGAAACTAATAGAGTTTTTCTCAGTATATTTAGTCTTTCTAGATAGTGTAGATAGTATTCACAAAATTACCGCTATACACTAAACTGCTTATCTGAGATATCTTAGAATTCTTAGAAATATGGAGGTAGTTGACCGCTGCAGGAAACCAAAGCGACAAAGACAGGCGACGGCATTACATCCGTTTTGTATGGAAAAATATGAATACGAATGTGCGATGTTTTTCATATTAATGAGGTCTGTCTTTTATATCTTGATGATGTTGTATCTAAAAAGCTTTTAGCATTGACATTAATAGCACTAGGTCCATTTCCAACGAATTTCAATGACGAAATATTATTCCTAATCAAATATACTTACCTATTTAGACATAGAAAAAAGAAATTTGATCCATGTTGGATTTCCGAATTATTGTACATGACAGTATTGACATAAATGAAAAAATAATCTGCAGGGTACACCTGATACATTATTTGTATATTTGTTTGGATTCTTTTCTACGAAATTAACCTTATTTTATCTAGGATCTAATTTTTTTTTTGTGGCATAAGCCGATACTCCTGACCGGTACCAACCCCTGATGGTAAGCAATCGGCGTCACCCATGGACACTTGAAACGCCAGAGGCGTTAAAAGTGCGTTGAGGAAGGGGGGGGGGGTAATTGGGCCTCCGGTTATCTCACTCACACGACGAAACACAACGCAAGCGTTGCTTCACGTCGGTTTTCATTGAGGCCGTGGTATCACTCCGGTCGAGCCGGCTCATTCGTGCCGAAGCATGGCCTCTCCCACACTAAAGTTTCTGTCTAATATGTTTTATTTGCAACATCATTTTCCCGGTTGAGGGCTCTTCAAATCGATGGCTTATTTAATGATGGCAGTTTTCTATGTGGTCAACGACGCATTTGTGATGCGACTGGTATTCCACAATACCTATAGACTAGATAAATACAGCACCACAGGTATTACAAATGTATACTTGGGCTATCATCAAAGACATCACACAAGCCTTTGTTCCAAATATATATAAATATACTGTTACTATTAATTGTTACTCATTCGTATTGTCCATGTTCCAGGTGACCCTATCAGAGAGCCAGACCAACAAGTTGCGCGCCGACCTGGCGGTGGTGGAGGGCAACATGAACGTCATGAACGACATGTTGAACGAGCTCACCACGCAGCCACACACCGCGCACCACGACTCCGACATCGAACTGCTTAATGTAAGTAATATTACTTGTTACTCTTATTACAGTATTAACCTCTTGTTTGTCGGAACGTAGACCTACGCGAGACACAATGTGTGTTTCTATATCGACAGACAAGAGGTTAAGCTACTATTTACAAGCACAAAAGCATGTTTCAATTGAGCATGTGTGTTGGAATATTGCTCAAAATTAGGATGCTTATTTCGGGCATTTTTGTGAACAGACCATTCTATTTTTGAACATTTATAACACATTGGATGCTGTGTCGGACAATAATGTCCGACGGTAGCGGAGGATTGGCTTTTAACAGTTTTTGTCGCCAGTTAAAGGCTTAAGCATGCTCAATAGAACACCTTTTAACATGCTATTATAGAGCAATGAGCATGTGCAGCAGTACCTTTAAGGTTACTGGGTTATTTCTGAACAAGTTTAGTCGTTCTTTAACTAGGCAAAAGACAAAAAAGTAGTCCAACAAAATGGCATTCGACATGAATGAAGAGAGAAAAGGTTAATTGAGATATCTCCTTTTCATTTTCATTTTCATATTTAAACTAAAGTAAATTTAAATTGTATAACAGATGACTGCTGACGCATGTTCGAGTGATAAAATGACACAGAAATATTAATATATATGCTCTAGAGCTAGTTGTTCTTGATCTCTATCTAAAAAACTCTTAAGAAAAGCGTAGTATAGCAACGTTTAAACAAAATAGATCTAATATCGCATCTCAATCTTAATTCTCCAATGAACATAAAATCTTAGTAGTACCTACCTCTAGTAATAAAATACAAAGCGCTTCTTATACCTGTTCTGCGTTTTATCGTGCAAAGTTTTTTTTACTAAATAAATGCATAATAAGGAAACCTTTGTCGTCTCCTCCGTGTATAAATAACGCGCCAATGACAGATAAAACTTATCATCTATGAACGATGTCAAGGTTTCACGAATTACTGTAAAGTATAGGCTACTGGGTTCAAAGACTTCATTGAATTGATTTCACTTTTTATGAAGAACTGCAGTACAAGGATACTATTTTGTTTGATGTTTGTTTTTATAAAGGAAATAGCTACGGAAATGTTCACCTTGTTTGTCTGTTTATAAGGATGATTGTTGAGTAATCGACACGCTTGCTTGTTGTTGGGTATTTCTGTTTCAGAATTCAGCTGTAATAGCACTGTAATCTTTGATTTTGTCTGGATGTCGTATTAAAAAATACAAATGTATATAAAATAAATATAATAAATGTATATAAAATATTAACCATGTAGACAATTGAATCGGGAAATGTAACGTGCAATCGTTGGGCTTAAGGAAATATTGTTTAATATTTACAGACTTTACTCCGTCAATAAGAATTTTGTAGAAAAGTTTAATTTGTCTTTATATGTTTGCAGGAGTTGGCAGACACACTCCGCGCTATGCAGACTCGCGTGGCGGAGCTGATCGGGCGACTGGCGGGCGAGTCCCCGCTCACCGGGGAACTACTGCACGCCAACGACAGACTCAACAACCTACTGCTCCGGCACGGACGGTTCATTAACAACAGGTCAGTCGGTTGGAAACTACAAAGTAATATCAACCTTATTCTGGTACATTATGATAACGTTTGCCTAATCCCCTCGGAATCTAAGCTGAGAAGAAACTTCATGGTGGATAGCGATACGCGATTGGTCCATTAGAAAAATAAAACTTAAATGTGTCCTAATTTTTGCGCATTTAACACAATACAGCGCAATATGCCCAATAACACTAAATGACTTGTTTTACAGAAATGCCGCTACCGGCGGTGCTACGCCATCTGCCATTCTAGGCGCTGCCATGGGAGTACCTGGATCAAATGCTCCAACATCACGTTAGTATTCTTAAATTACTTTAAATAACTAGTAAATTTAAACTATTCAATGAATTTGCGCAAACTGTACTATGAACCGGCGAAAACTTCGCAAGTCTTTTGCTTGTCGTTGCTATTATACTAAAACGGTATAAGAAATGTTAATAAATGATGATACTTTTTTTTCAGCAAAGAAACCTGATGACGACGCTCTAATTGATCTCAGCGATGACGTACCTGATATTGCCAAATTGAGTAAGTAATCTACTATTGCGTCACACATGTTTAAATCATCCAAGTATTATATACTAAACTTTTCGATTAAAGTGCGTAAACTAATGTAGAGAGCAACCTGTATTAAGACATAATATTTTTTTTTATTTGAACAAATCACCAGAATACTGTTTTTTTTTAAATTCTGTCCTATACTAGAATTTTCTGTTGTGTCGTGGGAGCGTTTACAAACATATAAGGTCACGCAAACATGACCCCCAACCACCGCGCCAACCATGCAGTCGTTGCTTGTAAATTGTACATGAATTGTAAGTTTTATGTAGTTGCACTAACATTATTGTCTTATTCTCAGGTGTCCGTGACTCCCAGCCAGACAAGTCCCCGGGCAGCTCTAAGGACGAGTTCGACATGTTCGCGCAGTCACGGAACCTTACGTACGAGAACTCCAAGACTGGGTATGTTACATAATAAATGCCACTACATTGTTTAACTTTACGCTTACCTTATTTTACCGCAAAGTTTTATACTTTAAAATTGTGTGACTCGGTAGATTATGATAAGAAATCGAACATTGACATTGTGATTCATTAGCAACTCGGTGAATACTTGTCGCGGAAAACCTAACGGGTAACCGGGGCTCCGGCTCGACGTGCAGGAGAAGGGACGGGGTGGTTTTTAGTCAGTAAGAGTCTGACACTCCCTCCCGCCTCACCTAGGCTTGTGTGTAATTGGAGTGATTCGAGGATTTGCCCCCCTTAAAAAAAAACTCGGTGAATACATGAACTTTGTCCAGTAGCTATATTTTGTACTCCAAAGCCTTAGACAGTTTTTTTGTCATCAATTGATTTCTGATTTAGTTATTTTGTCATCAATTGATTTCTGATTTAGTTATTTTGTGTTTATTTAATTTTTTGTCGAATCATCATCATCAATCGAAGCAAAATTTTAACGGTTATCAAGACACTTAAAAAACGTGTTGAGAAGTTCCTCTGTAATAGGAAAATGGCTGTATGTCTTTACTAAAAACTACTTTATTACCGTCCACAGAGGCAGTAGTTACGCAGATAACTTGGAGGAGCAGTCCTCGGCCGGGCTGGCCTCCATCGCCAGCCAACGAGCCACGCAGGGACAACCACTTGTATGTACAACTACTACACTACTTTCACTCATTGTTATAGTTGTTTTATCTCACGATCTGACGAGCGCGGGTGAGCCATAGTTGTAGTAGTAGTGCGTGTAGACACGTGCGTGCGTCACCCGCGCGCACGCAGCGTGTCAATTGTCCGACACGGTGCGTGCGCGTACATGTACCCATGTACAAGTATGGCACCCGCGCTCGTGACTACATCTATACTTACTGAGTAGTCCTGTGTCCTTTGAATCTGTTCGTCCTTTTACTAATATATGTAGTTTTGTTGGTCTGTTGTGTGATCAATTTTACAATTTTATTGTAGTGTGTGTTTGAGGGATTTTAATTAGATTGCTACTAAACGAATTGGCTTTAAAACGAAGATTACAGGAAATGTTATTTTTTATCCTTATTACGTTTATTTAATTTTATTTTCAATACATACAGAATTTTATTTTATCTACAATTTTTGGTTCTTGTACTACTTATAATTTTATGTTTTTGTTTGTTTTGTATATAACAATTATTTTATGTTAACCTATTTCTGGAACATTCGACAGCCGTCGGGCATGGATGAAAGGGAGATCGATGAAATAGCGGCATGGTTAGCTCAAGAGAAGGTGTGTTTTATGATTTATTTTATTTTTTCATTTATTTTTAATTTTTACTAATGGAAAGACTCATTACTTGGTCATACATTTATGTATTATATTTATTAATCGCACTGATACACAATCATGCTTTCATGATAGCTAGGTAGGTTTTTTTAATACCTATATATTTTTATTGGGCAGTAGTGTACACAGATAATTTCAGGTGCTTGTTCAAGCTTAAATAATTACAAATGATAAATTCATATGGTTTATGATCCTAAGTGAATTACTACACTGCCTATGCGGTTTAAACACTTGCCTAGTGTGTTGGCACCACGCTATTATTTCAATTCGATAACACAAACGTTTGTATCAACATGCCTAGCCTAGTTACAGCACGACAATTGTACTTCAATCCTCTTTATAACAAAACGATAAAGAGTAAAATGTAATGTTTAAAACATTATAGAGGATTATTACATGAACAGCCTTATAGTACTGTGCTTTTGTGGCCTGACAGAAAAATCCTGCAAGGTTACCACTGTTTCTGTATAATAGTAATTTTAAAACCTTCCATTCAAATCTCCAGGCTGCATCAGAAGCAGCAGGTGGGCAAGAGAGCGTCACGAGCAGTGACTTCGACAAGTTCCTGGCGGAGCGCGCCGCCGCGGCCGACAGTCTCCCGCCGGCCAGCCAGGCGGCCGCCGCCCCCGCCAGTGGCAATGCCAGCGCGCCGCCCGCCATGCCAGCCGCACTAACCCCCCGCCACCGCCAAATCAACAAGGATGACCACGACTCCATGTTCGCGCTCTGATCCTCTCCCAACAACGCAGGTTTATCGTCATGTCTACAACCGTAGCTTACCTACTTATATCTTCTGAAACTGATCTATTTGATCTCGTATCATATTATTATTCCTTGATTTTCTGAAAGCTGATCTTGATGATGAAACGTGATTGGTTGGTTGGTTAGTTAGTCGAAAAACCGACCAATTGCATCACACTCGCCGTTCGACGTTGCGCGCGCTTTTGCTATGTATATTTATCCTATTTTTCTCTTGTTATTTCTATCTTTTTTTAGCTTTTCTTCTTGTGTTTTTTCCTTGTTGAGACTTGTTTTTTATAAGTTACATTCATTTTATTTTCTTATTGCTTTGATTTATATTGAAAAAGAGCTCGCAACGTCGTAATATTTTGGTTCTGATCTGTAGCCAATCGCAAACCGCAGTGTAAAAATAAATTAGTAACATGTATTACTTGAAGAGTGCAATAAACAAAAGGCTTTTATACAAAATAAAAACGGTAGTACATGCGTTTACCAATACTGTACGCTTTGCACACGAATGCATTGAATAAAATGGTCAGAATGACTTCTATACATACAGCCCGATATTCTAAATTGTATTGTAATTTGTACACTCAATATATTTATAGTATTTTGTAAGGTTGCGATTAATATATTCTCGACGCATCACTAGTTCGAAGTTTTCAACACTAGTAGAGCGCGATAGTTTCTCACGTTACTATGTATTTGTGGCGATAAATCTGTATACTTAGGTATTAGTATTTCTCGCTCGCCTGTCGACATCAGGGGGCCAATTCTCGATTTTCGCCATTTATCTCGAGTTCGACATTGTAAGTCTATCTCTATGTCTATCAAAAATATCTCTATCTCTACCAAAAAATGTCGAATTGCACAGAAATCCGTATTCTCAGTCAAAATAGAAACAAATGTCACGAAAATGTCGAGTCGAGTGAAGATAATGTTACCATTATGCAGAATCGCACGTTCAATTTTAGGTAGTTGTGAGTGAATGAATGATTTTGTCATAAAACGTTCACTAAACCTAATTATTTAAGTTAAAACGGAACGTTTAGTGCAAAAATATTCAGTTTGACAGGACAGTTCCAGTTGACTGTCTGTCAGTGTCACAATTTGGATCTGTAAGCGGTTGTTTCAAAACTTTTATAAGTTCATCATCACTCACTAGTGGGCTATTCTGTTGGACATTTTTATAATTTTCGTTTTAATATGCAGGGAGAGAAAAAATACCCTAGTGCCCAACAAAAACTATTACTAGTCCAACTTGTGGAAGCAGTTTTTGGTCTGTAAGGTTACTTTATGGAATACTTATAGACTAATAAAATTATGAAGCAGAATTATTTACCTTCGTTTTTAGGTCTATTTTTGTGGTATCCTGAATTACAGGAGCCAATAGGTCTATTAAAACTCTGATTAAATTTTTATTTAACTCGTCGAGTACCGGTTTTATAGACAACATCAACATCTCCAAGATAAAAATATTAATAAACTCGTCCATGTTTCAAGTTTCAAGCCCAATCGTGGGTACACAAATAAAAGACTGTTATTTACGCGAAGGTCGTCGTTTCAAGAAAACACAATACACAAATTGAAGAGTCTATATTGAATTTCCAATGTTCATACTTATAAGATGCCAAGCCGTATTTTACTTTAAAACGAAAGAAAAGAAAACACTGTACAATTCGAAACTCAACGAATTCACAGAAATGGCGTATCTCAGTATCTCTACAATCGACATGCCATCTCTACTGCTCAGAAGCACTCGACATGAACTCTAACGTTAGTCTTCGACAAATGTCGCATTCGACAACTCCAGAATAGCAACTTTTAAAATTTGACGAAAAAATGACGTCATTAGACATTTTTGTCGAGTTCGACATCATCTCTAAAGCCGAGAATTGGCCCCCTGTTGACGTTTAAAGTTGTTATTTTTGCATCGAAATGTATTTATACACCGCAATAATTTCTCGTAATATTGTCAATAAGTCACGTATTCGATATGCCGTTTGGTGCCTGGCTTTTATAGTTATAATTGAAATATTTTAAGCTGACTAACCGACCTCGTAAACTTACTAATGTTTCAAAAAATCTTAATATATTTCTTGTTATTCGGCGTTTTACTAACTTCTAAAGTATTGTAGGAACATCTTTTTCAACTTAAAATACTTCAATGAAAATAAACGGTTTTGTAACAGCGTGGTATTAAAAAGTATATAAATCTATTAAGTACATAACCGCGGCCGCGTCATTGACTATGTATTACACTAGAGTAAGGTAACATTAGGTAGATTTCTTTAATATATGAACGTATGTAGACTTCACTAGACCACGGGAGCATTTAATACAAGACCACTGGCGTTCGACATTATTGATGGATTTCTATTATGTAATTATTTATTACGGTTTCAATGTATTGGAATGATCGTCGAAGGGTCGAGATTGTGATATATAATATTGTTTGATATAATAGTATATCGTGGTTTTATTTACTAGATTTAGAGATTACTAAGAGTAAATCAAGATGTATTTGTATATTTAATTTAGTACCTGTCGTACAGCATTTTGATTTGTTTTTGTTGTTTAATGAAATTGGAAGGAGTAGAATACGAATCGATTTACAGAAACCAAGTATTTATTGTTTTATTGTTTATGTTAAATTACTGAAATGAATTTCGCACAGGTAAATTAAAGGTGAAGTTTTTAAGCCTTGACTAAATACAATCATGCACCTATGAACTTGAATTCAATTCTTGGTCCTTATTAACATACGTTTGCCAATCTTATGTATCTTCATATACACACCTGTACCTACAATGAGATGTTGTGAAAAATAACTATTACTAAGAACGTTATTGGGCCTAAAGGATCGCAAGGAACACGAGGCATTTATGAGTGCGAAGATTTCTTTCAGGTGCATCTATTGTGCTAGTATCTTATAGAAAAAATGGTTGTATTATACACCTGTAATGTAGAAATTTGCATAACTAATCACTTTGACACTAGTCTCGAGTTCAGTAAAACCATATTGTTGTTTCTTTTATTATAAATATCTTTTAAAACCATAGAATATTTTACTGAATGAACAAAAGTTACCCCAGAAATTAACCTGTATGTACCAAAGTGCTACCCGTTCACTAATGATATAATACATATTTAAATACAATGCCATTCCACATTTGTCTCAATTAAATGTTCTTTTGGTGTTAATGTGATAATTTAAAAGAACAAGCTTAATGTTAATTATTTAAAAAGAGTTATTTTATGTTGTAATCGTTGTATTTAAGATAATAAAAATAATTACCATATGTTTTCTGTGTTTTATTTTATTACTTACTACGAATTTTTTAATTACTTCCATTCCAACCGCAAATTCACTTCTGCCATACCCCTTAGAGGCCCTAAGGGGACTGCGCCGACTAATCGATAAACCTGAAAAAGCTAGCTTCTTTTGTAGCCGCCGCGCCGATTGGTTGAATGGGTCTTTATATTTAGTATTTACATATAAAATTGCCGTTACGTACGGAAGAATTTAAACGAATTTTTTTCATGTACATATTTATTATTTTTATTAATCGAAGTAATCACTCATACCATCAATGCATCTTTGCTAATGCAGTGGCAGTTTATTGATCTTCTTCTCTGTCGTTTCGCTCTTGGCAGTGTGCTCGTGATCACGTTGAGGCGGCCGTATTTGTGTTGGAGGCCGATACAGCTTTCCTTACGAACTCCCGCCGTCTCTCCTTGTTTGTGGATTGTCCCCAGTCTGACACTGGGTTTCCTGTTGCCGATTTGACTTGATCAGTCCAGCGTATAGGTGATCTGCCTCGTGATCTGGTTCCCTCTACTTTCCCCTGAACGACCAGCCACTCTATGGAGTTGTTATCACGACGGGAGACTGACGGATGACGAGTTCTCGGATATGGATACGTTGGTGCGGAACTCAGTCCACGATACACCAAGCATCTTCCTCCAGCACCACATCTCTAGAGCATCTATCTTCCCCGTTTTCAATTCACGTACTGTCCTCGTCTCTGCCGCGTAGAGAAAGATTGGAAATACCAGCGTTCGCATAAGTCTGACCTTAGTAGTTTTAGTGATGTTGCGATTCCTCCAAACTCTCTTCAGCTTCTCCACCGCAGTTCTGGCTATAGCCATGCGGCGCTTAACTTCATCCACGCAACCACCCCTGTTGGATATGAAGGCTCCGAGATATATATGTGTAACTTCTGGCGAATTGTCTTTGACGCGGTCCACGATTATTATTTTTGTTTTAGATTGGTTAATTTTCAATCCAAAGGCCCGGCTTACGTGATCCATTTTGCGAAGTAATTCCTGCATGAGATCCGCATTGGTTGCAAATAAGGTGGTATCATCTGCGTAGGTATCGCAAGTGAAATTTTATATCCACCCATGATGAGTGATTCGCATCACAAGCTCGGTATAAATATTAAAGAGCAAAGGCGAAATTATGCATCCCTGTCGCACACCCGCGCTTGGGTGAAAGCTATCGGAGAGGATATCATCTGTACGCACTGATGCTGTTCCCCCCTCGTAGAGTCCCCTGAGTAGATGCACAAGGTGTTGCGGTGTGCTGATATCCAGTAGTTCTCCATAGCGTCGGCCATTTCACCGAGTCGAACGCTTTTGACAAATCATCAAAGCATATGTATGTGGGCTTGTTGAATTCTAGTGCTTTTTAGATAATTTGACGAACGATGAGAATTTGCTCACGGGTACCCTTGCCCTTCACAAAACCGGCCTGTTCTGGTGCAATTTCTCTGGATACATATGCCTTCAGTCGTTTGTTAATAATATGTACCATTGTTTTACTGGCGTGTGTTATAAAAGGGCAATAAGTCGAAAGTTTCCACATTTTTTAGTCGAACCCTTTTTATGTAGCGTTGTGAAAACTGTGTAAGCCCACTCTGAAGGCCATTTCCCTGTCAGCCATATCTTGTTGCAGATGGTATGAAACATATGAACAGCGTACTCTCCCATTGCTCGGATAGTTTCGATTGGAATTTGATCTTTTCCTGTAGCTTTCCCATTCTTCAAATGTAAAATAGCGGCCAGCGGCTCTCACTTCCGATTCCAGAATACTTGGCTCTAGCATATCACTCGTGGGTTTGGTGGATGTGAAACTGCTACTGAGGAACGTCAAATGTCCTCAGTGTATTGATGCCCTTCTTAAAAAAACCAGCTGGACGTGAGGACAGGACAAATCTTTCAAGGCATTCTGTAATGCCTCACGGGTATTGAATATTTTCCGTTTCTGGAAGAATTAATAATCTGTAGGCGCAAGGTCTGGGGAGTAGAGCAGATGACGGAGAGGTTCTAACCCCAGTTCTGGCAACTTGGAGACCGTCTGCTGTGCAGTATGAGGTCGCGTTGTCGTGCAGGAGCAGCGGAGACGAGTGATTGACCAATGCTGGTTAGAAATATGCCAGCTCCTCCATCATTGTGTTCAGTTCTTTACAGTAGAAACCTGCAGTAATGCTCACCCCGTTTGGTAAGAAGCCGTGATGAATCACATCTGCGCTAGACCACCAAAGTGACCTTCACTTTTCTAGGGGTAAGTTGTTGTTTAGGGCATCGGCATTAGGTGATGAACCAGGATCCAACCAACTTGCTGAGCGCTTGCGCGGTTATCAAACTGAAACCATTTTCAATTGCTAGTAACAATGCGGTTCATAATTCCTTATTTGTATGTTGTTGAACAGTGCAAGGCACGTCTCGACGCTTACTTTGCGCTGGCGATCATTGAGTTCGTGGGACACCCATTTGTCTAGCATTCTTACCTTACCAATTAGACGTAAATGGACCTATTTAATTTATTTTGATTCTCGAAAGCTGCTGCTAAATCAGTCGTAGATTGTATATCATCAGCTTCCACAATCGCCTTTGTCGACCCGTCATCGGACGACCGCGAGGTTCTTTTTCCAGGTCGGAATATCCAGGACAGAAGGGGAGCAAACCAATCATAGGTGGTGCATTGGTTTGTAGTGTTAGCTCCGTAAACGTCCGTAGAATTCTTAGCCAAACAAAAATTATTTTGATTTGAAATGGCCATTACTGCAGGTAAAGACCTATTATGAATAAAGATTAATTAAGTATTTTTTAATGAGAACTTTCCCTTGTTAAAGAATAAGGACCGCCAGAATTACTTACAAGCAAGTGCTAATAATAATATAACATCCTGGGATCATTCTCAGAATAATTTAAAATAGGCCCTCTTCTGCTGCATCAAAGCTATTTCCACCCTTAAAGGTGTACCCTTAATTAGCACAACACCAGCCCCAAGGTGTCATCGAAAAATAACTTCGCTCGTTGAAATATGTTTGAAATTTTACAAATGGACCCCACCTCCGCCCAAGGTCATTCCCACCCCATCCCACAATTAGAAAAACCTTTTTACGGGGTAGGGGGGGTGTATAAAGGTGTATATTGCAAGATGTTTATGCGGTGTCAGACAAAACAGAAGAAATAAAATTCGTAAGATAGGTTTAATTTTGTTTATTTATCAATTTCTGTATCCACAATAGATACACAATTGCAGATTTGGCAAATACATTTATGAATATTTACATGTATAGACAGAATTACCAAATATCCGTAGAAAATTACATTTTCAAGATCTTCAATAACAATTATAATTATGAAAATAGCACTAAATACATTTGACAATGCAAGTACTTATGATTGAACTATTCAACATAACAATTTTAATAAAAAACGCTACAAAAATACAACTTAACGGCTTAAGATCCTGCTTAAGTAATTATACTTGTTGTGATGAATTAATGTACAAGTAAAATATAAAAATATCGCCAATGCTTCTTCAACAAAACACTTGTTCGATGTAACTAAAACTTGTACTAAGGAATGTGAAACATTATACCATTATGATACAGAAATTATAAATATGGTAATATTTATTTATTATACATAAACTATCGTTACGCTGCTGTTTATGCAAAATAAATTATGCTTTTAGAAAATAAATTAATTTCACTGGGCACTTGCACGAGATCCGGCCGCTCTGACGATACGCGTGTACAAACAGACAGAGTATTAGGTAATAAAATATCAAACAATACGTACTATTAACTTACTTCGTTCAAGTACAACCCTTAAAACAATTTAGAGAACAAGTCAACAGTCTAGCAAGTGAAATGCAAACATGTTAGTTTCAGTATAAAAGTAATAATTATAATCTATACAGTACTATACTATGGAAGTCTCATGAGAGTGTACGGGCCCCCAAGCGCTTATAACTCGTCTCTGGATGGCTGTTCGTCTTCTTCATCATCCTCGCTCTGCAAAGATAGATAAAAAACAATTAGGTATTTTCTATATTATCAACGATCGAACCAAAATAATCATAGGGTAAGCCATTATTGTTTTTAACGTCATGTCTATAATAATAATAATTGATTTCGTGACTATAATAATAGTAACTTAAAACATTAAATAATGACAATTAAAAAGCCTTAAAGATTTTACTTTGTACATTAATTTACATGATAAACGAGGAGGTTATCAGAACTACACGTAATCTTTTACTACGTGGCCAAAACTAAAGAGGACACGTCATATGAGTCGCGAGTGCGTATAAAAACCTTAGGTAAATAATAAAACAAATAATTACAAAGCGAATCGGACGGAAACAATTTAACTTAATTAAATTGGTTGGCAGCGAGTACTTAAAATTTCCAAGGACTTAAGTAGGCGATAAGCTCTGAATACTGATTAAGATTTATTTTATTGTTACTATGCAACTTGTTAATGGTTAAATCGTACTCAGTTTATTATACATACTCTAAGTACGGTTTATAAGTATATGTACATAGACATCCGTTTTTAAGTATAATAAAAATTAAACGTGTAATCTATACGGTCAATCTGCGTGACAAATAAACACATACATAAAAAATACATTCGTAATTTTTCATGTGTGTTGAATGGCACTACCATTTTAAAATCATATAGTCAACACAGGTCAATGGAGGACTTCTACGAATGTCCTCTGCTCCAACTAAGTGTCATGGGACATTGATGGTATTGGAACGAAGTTAAAAACTTTGATGGTAATTAATATATGAGCATGATTGATAACTTACCACACTGGGTGTAGGCTCGGCGCCTTCACCATCGGTCTCTACGAACTTGGTCATAGCTGCCAACGTCCTCTCGCCATTGTAGTCTTTCACCTGTGGAATAACAAATAAACAATCGTTAATAACATAACATAACATCACGCCTTTTATCCCCGAAGGGTAGGCAGAGTTGCACATTATACCACTGTACAATGTAACACCCACTTTTCACTATTTATGTTATGTGCCCCATGTAATAGGGGGTGAGCCTATTGCCATATACCGGGCACATTTTCAGACTCCGTGCTACTATTGAGAATATTTAAAAACCCACTAATAAATTTGCCCGACCCGGGAATCGAACCGGCTGCTTTGGGAATACTTTGGAAATCGAATGTCTGTATGAACACGAGTGTCTGTAATTGGAAAATGAATTGTGCCACGATAATGATTAGTATCGCATGAGCAACCGGTTTATGACCTGTATAAGTGGGTATGAAGTGAACAGTACAGATGTTAACGAGTAACATTTATGTCACAATTAGTGTCGCACTCTATACCTTTATAGTGTAACAAAATACCGAAAAATGTGTTTGCAGTTTCCCTAAACTTTGATCCTTTATTTTACAAATTAACTAGTATTTTTATTACCCGGCAATTGTCGAACAATTGTAAACTTAACCTAACTAAGTTACGAGGTGGGTCATAAAATAGCTATAAATAAAGTTAATTTTTGTACGTTATTTACAAACATTTCAACCAAGAGTACTTACTGAACATATTACTTTCGTATTATTTTATAGTCAAGTAATAATGTATGAACCGTGACGGACCAGTAATGTAATACCTTTACAATATACTTTACAAAATTGGAATTGCATGGTAAAACAGTATAAATAAATAAATGTACCATAATCGTAACTTAATGATATCCGTACGATCAAATTACTCGAGGAATAGTACAATGAAATATTATATCGATACAATAACCTTTTCTATGCAATACCAAAATCTTATGTAGCTGAGGATAAACTTATTGCTACCGGGTCCAAATCTAGACTCCGTGATATGATTGAGAAATTTTCAACACCCCAACAGTGGCACTAAACCATTTGAGGCCCGCGGCGAATTCATCGGATGGGCACTCTTCCCATAAAAAATAGAGAAGTTCAGATGAGAACCTCAGAACAGGGGTCCTGTCATTCCAGCACAGGATCTGATGCATTTTGCCCACTTGTCACCCTGTAGTTACGCAGTTACGCTACTACCGCTTAATATACTTCACCCGACCCGAGAATCGGAGCCAAAACCTATTTAACTCTACGCCCAACGAGGTTGTCGAGTACCAACGCGGTACATATTTACATTCGATAAAACAATAAGAACATGCGTGTCCAATCTACATGCATTAATCATGAGCTGTCAAGGTGACTATTGTTGTTGTTTGTATATTAAACATAATAAATAATATTACAGAGAAAGTCACCTCATTCGCTACAATCGTGTGCAGCGAAACGCATATATACTGACTAAAATAATTACGATACATAAATGTACCTAATTAAGGTTGATAAAGACATTTCTTATTCAAGTTGCAAGAATACATTATAGAACACTTCTAGACTTTTTTTTAAGGGGGGAAAATCATCGAATTACTGCTCCCGCCTGGGTGAGGCGGGAGGGAGTGTCAGACTCTTACTGACTAAAAACCACCCCGTTCCTTCTCCTGCACGTCGAGCCGGAGCCCCGGTTACCCGTTAGGTTCTCTGCGACCCGCGACACACTTCTAGACTAGACTCATAATTAGACCACGTAGTTTTTAAACGATTTCGAATGTAAACGAATTGAAATTCGTTCATCTATATATCGTCTACCTCGCGTTCATCCATAAGCAAGATGAGACTTTGAATATGTCCATTTGTACCTAACCCTTTATTTATACAGGTATTAAGGTTACATTGAGCATCTTTTTAATCGCATCTTTCAATAGTTGACCATACATTTCCTCCTGTATTCAGCAATTGACATGTTGTGGCTATTATGATAATGAACGAAAATGGAATTTTATATCTAGCTTCAGATCTTGTACTGACCTGGTTATCCTTAGTGTACAGTTTGATGGTGGGAAAGGAGGTAATCTTGGTGTGTTCCAGCTCGTTGGCGGTGGCGTCCATCTTGGCGATGACGACGTCATCGTCCTTCTCGAAGTGCTCTCCCAACTTGTCGTAGATAGGAGCCAACTGTTTGCAGTGACCGCACCTGTTGAGGGATTGGTTGAATTCATATTTTACATTTTTAGAGTAAAGCAAGATAGCTACATTAAACATGTAAGTGTTAATGCCGAACTAGAAATGGTATCATTTTAGAATTACGTTTGGTATTACAGCAATAAATTCTATCTTATGGATGTTGTTCACATAACTGGAGATAAGTGGGCTACATCTACTCCGTGGAAGATTAAAAGAAGTATATCAAATTTCCTAAAATATATACTAGACAAAATCCCTAAACATGTTAACAAGAAAAAGAGACGAGAAAACATTTCCATAATGGTGCAAATGATCAATTTCCAGGCCGCTGAGCAGTAACAAGTGAACAGTGACGTTTGACACAAGCGCATTAATTACGAATCACTGAATACGAACTAACGAGGCGAGAGAGAATGTGACGTAATGGCAAGGCGACAAATATCAAATAATAACTAAGTAGAAATGTCATTATGAGAAATGTCTGTGTCTAGTCTAGAGATTGACCTAGTAACGCGAACAAGAAACCCTAATGGGGGAAGATTACACGTTGACTATTACACCTTGGTACCAACCATGGCTATGGGATTTTTATGTAGTTAACTAGCGACCCGTCCCGGCTTCGCACGAGTACAATATGCATGTAATGTACGTACATATAAACCTGCCTTTAGAATCACTCTATCTATTTAAAAAAAACGCATCAAAATCCGTTGCGTAGTTTTAAAAATCTAAGCATACATAGGGACAGACAGACGGCGAATAGCGACTTTGTTTTATACTATGTAGTGATGATGGTCGGCGTTTGGCTACTATATTGCCTAATGGACTTGGAGCGCGCCTACCCATAAAAACCAACTCGGGCCTAAAGAAAAGATTGTGTAATTTGAAAAACAAAGAATTCATTGCCATCATTTCGCTTTAATCGTATTTAATAGGAAAGATGATAACGTAAGAATAAAAAAGGAATTTGCGTTGAAAGTTTAAGTCAGAATACGCAATACGCGAATTTACGCTCACTACAAAGTATCTGGGTTGTTCGCGCTCGGTATTAGGTATAGTATGTCTCGTTCTTGAACTCGACCTAGTAACACAAACAAGTAACCCCAACGCGGGTAATGGTTACACCGTGTGTACACAGCGGGTATCAATTGTCAATACGTGTTCGACACCATATTGAATTTTTACATCATTTGCCTACAAACTGATGATGCAATATCTATTGTTTAGATTAAATATCCTTTTAATCGCGCATCTGAATAAATAACATTTGTTGTAATGAAGTATTGAGTCATTAAACTGTCAAACACCAAGCGGTCACCGGTGACCGCGACCTATTGTTCTTTAATTGTGTCTATAAAACCGGTACTCGACGAGTTAAAACTATCTATTTATTCATTGTTACTTTAGCTTGTAGGTGAATCAAGATACATTTCGAATATAGGGCAACATTCATAACAATGTACCTAATGTAATCAATTACCTATATTTTCAATGTCTACGTGCAAATGTTATCGCGATAATGACACTTTCGTGTTATTTTATCGATCATTTATATCTTATTGATGTTTATATCTCTATTTTTGGTATTCCCTGTTTGATTAAATAACTAATTCCATTCGGTTTCACCGGCTGCTCGGCTCCTGTTAATTGTAGCGTGATGTTTTATAGCCGAAAACATTCCTCAATAAATGCACTGTCCAAAACAACAATATTTTTGCAAATCGAACCAGTTGTTTTGGAGAGTAACGCGTAAAACCAAACGAACTCTATAGCTTTACAATATTAATATAGAATAAGATAGATTTATATGAACTTACCATGGGGCATAGAATTCAACAAGGACCTTCTTGTTGTTGTCGAATACGACTTCATCGAAGTTGGTGGCGACGAGGGTCTTGACGGGTTTGGCGGCCCAGTCGGCGGGCAGGTCCTCGCTCAACAAGTGCTGTTTCAGGGTACCAGCGAAGAAGGACTGGATGAATTCCTGTGGACAAAGAGAAAAATGTTATTATGAGGATATTCGCAATCAGAATTGGACAAGGAAAATTGGATTGCGATGGGGATTTATTTGTAGTTTGTTACAGCTACAACAAAGTCATTTTTAATACATTTTCAGTAAGTTCAAAATTGAATTTTCCGTCAGTTTCTCTATCAATTATATTGGTTGCTCGATTCAAAATGTATAGAGCCGAACGAGTAAGAAACTCCATGAAAACTCATTAAAAAAATGTTTTATTAATTATCATCTTACAGTAAGCCTACTCATTGAATTAATGTAGTCGTACTAGTAGTACTTAAAAACAAAGACGTGGGTATAAAGGTACCTAGGTACTACCTATTTTAAAAGGCAACAGAATCCGTTAGTCAGTCCTTCAGTCATTGTGTTGTAATATAATTGCATAGCAATGCAACGCGTAGGATACCTATGCATTATGTCACGTTCTAGGTATGTATTCTAGTTGTGTGATTGTGTACAATTTATCAAGACAAACATGCCAATCTGTGAGTAGCGTGGCGAAGCTAGACATGAAAACCGTGACTTTAGGATTAATGATTTCAGTATTTCAGTTATTGTTGTTATTTCTGTAAATATTGTAGCTGTTATTTACTGTTTATTTGTATACAGTAACTGCATAGTCCATTTCTACAATAAAAATATAGTTAATCTACTTAATTAATGCATACATTTAAATAAAGTTTAATTTTGAACTTTGTATTATGAAAAAAAGAAAGTTCTAAACGACGTGTTGAAGCTGTTTTCAAAAGTTTTTTAAGCACTTGAAACAACTCCTCATTTGCTAAGTCACTTTCGAATACGATAGCTTTAAATCATTTTTCATAGCCTAAAGACGAGAAAGTTGTAGTTACATCTGTGATAATGCTTGAAGCACCCTTAAGACATGTTTGAACTTTAGACAGTTTATTACTCATGACAAGCAAGATTTTCTTAACACAATAATGATATTAACACGCTAGACATGTTAAAGTAAATCATGTTTAGTTCACGGCTCACTCTCATAACTGTTTAGCGAGGTAATTGGACTCATTTCAAGCTATGCTAGAGCTCATACTCATGAGCAGCAATATATCACAAAACAGTTACGAGAGTAAGCAGATAAACATAACATTGATTTTAACAAGATATATATCGGAAATCAATTACTTAACCATCGACAAAGATCGGTTTTAAAGAATTGTTACCATTAAAGGCGAATATTGAAATCAGTACATCTAGATAAGGCAATGCATAACTAATTTGATGAATTAGTATAATATGAATTACATTGTTTTAAACTTAGGCCGAATAACTTCTAATCAACCGTAATGTTTGACTAATTAGGAATGTAGACTAGTCGGTAATTGGGTTAAATATTATGGCATATTTATGTAATTATAAGTTTCTATTATTATGAACAATTTAAGAGATGTAATGCCCTTCGTTGTTTTATTTAGAATTCACGCTTCGAAATATTTTCTGCATAAGTCAGAAGTGAAAGGCTAAAAGATGAAACTAAATCCTACGACCACCTACGCACGCCTATACGTCTATACATTCCAATAATAACAATATTATTAAGTACATAATTGATAACTGGATACATCATTTTTATAGGATAGATAGACGGATCACCTGATGGCAGTGATCAGAGCCGCCCGCGGATAAAAGTAATGAAATTAACTTTCATAACAAATATGAATGCCGCGGTACCTAAGACCTAGAGAAAGATAAGAATATAATAATGATATGTGGACTTACCTCAATGGAGTTGGCAGAAAGTTCGTCGCTAGCGGGCTTGTATTTAGCCATGTCCTGTTCCAGGGCAATCAGACGGGCAGAGGGGATCTCCTCCTTCTTCATGCCGAAGAACTCCAGGATTCTGTAGGAGATAGAATATTTAGAAATAATAACTAGGTTTTTTTAAGAAGTTTTGCCACATGGAATAAGTATTCCTACGACTTCGCCTACATGTTACTTATATTTCTTTCGGGAAATATCGCGATAAATAGTACTACCTCAAACATATTTTCCAAGAGTAAAAGGGTTTTCAAATCGGTCTACTACTTTTGTAGCGTGTTCAATGCAATCAGTTTCTAGTTCGGTCTGATTTTATCGGGTTTGTGCGTACTATTGTTAATACAATAAGCATGCAGGTCACGGTAAGTAAATGAAATTACCATAGTTTAGTTACTACCTTTTTAGAAGAAAACGTTAATGAAATGCTCCTTTTCTTCAACTTCTCCTAAATTTTAAGGAACAACTAAGCTAAAATTGGTAAAATACATACATAACATCACGCCTTTTATCCCCAAAGGGGTAGGCAGAGGTGCACATTATGCTACTGTACAATGTAACACCCACTTTTCACTATTTATGTTATGAGTCCCATGTAATAGGGGGTGAGCCTATTACCATATACCGGGCACAATTCCAGGCTCCGTGCTACTACTGAGAATTTTTAAAAAACCCAGTATAACTTTGCCCGACCCGGGAATCGAACCCGAGACCCCTTGCCCGGCAGTCGAACTTGCGACCTCTCGGCCAACGAGGCAGTCAGATAGGTAAAACTTAACGACATTTTGACTTTCACCAACCTATAAATTACACCTAACAGGACAAGTAGGGGGTTAGTTTGGGTACTGGATCACACTAAGTAACTCTTATTTAAGAGATTGTTTAGGAGTGGTTGTCGAAAACCAGGCAAAAATGTTTCAACTGTAATTTATTCTCAGTCATTAACCTTATAATACCGTCGGGACGGTTTTATATTAGCTCTTAATAACTTTTTGAAGCCTTCATGAACTATAATGAAAAGTGCTTGGTCGTCCTTGACATTTCGTCTTGAAGTAAGGAAACACGTTTATCGGTTGGTGGGAATTGGAAGCAAGTATAAAGTTAAATGCTCACATCATTGTTAAATGCAATGTAAACTTGCAATGAAATTAATAGTGTAGAATTGACATTAATTAGTATAAATGTTATATCAACGAAATAGTAAGGGAAATGAAAGATTTCATAATTAGAATCATTAAGTAAAACCTTTTTTTATCTCGTCATAGACTCTAAACAATTCATTGAACTTCATAGAAACATGTACAGTTACATATACGCATGAATAGATAATGGTACAAACCTCTGGTGTTCATCTTCGTCAGCGTCAATGGCGACGGACATAACCCTGTCACGGTAGTTCTTGGCAACGGGCTTGAGTTCCTCAGTGTACTTGTCGAAATCGCCATTTTTCTACGAAAAGAAAAGTCTTATTAACTCTCAAAGGAACAAGTCTCCAATCTCAACCTCCAAGCAAAGTTCATCGCCCTCGGGGTCGTTGAACCCATCGTGTTTGCTCCGATATGTCGCTAGTGTGTATTTAGCTATTAACACGTTCAACTACCGTCTCGGTTTATTTGATTTTTTTGTAAATTCAAATCAATGCATGTTTATGCAATTTCGGTAGGGCAGGATTTGTGTAAAATCGATTTCGTGCGGTAACTAACTGGCCGTTTACTATTTCTAGCTAGGGTATTTATTGTTTATTGACTAACATTTAATAGTTTTACTTCTTTAACCTTGACAAAACTAATAACGCGAAATAAATTAAAAAAAACAACAATAAAAAATAAGTCCCACGATAATTATCACAATAAGAAGGTAACAGAACATTTAAATAAAGTTGCCTAGTAAATAGAGTAAACTTTGATTATCGGATGCGCATCGCCGATTGTTTAGCAGTGAAAGGCGAAAGTTCACGCCGGCGGGTCAGCGGGTCTAGTAAGAGTAAGTTCACTACATTTATGCGTGTGAAAGTACCGTGATGCTGTCCCACGATCCTTATTCAACCACTTTCAAGATCGCCGCAAATTATATAGCAAAAAATGACTTCAATGATTAATTTCTCAGTACCGTGCGTCACAATCACATTCTCTTTGGAGACAAGTCATCGATGTATGCCTTACGTGTCCGATCTGAACACCGGTGCCTCGTCAAAAACCGGTTTAGCCGACTAATAATAGCGAACTACCTATACCGTTTTTAAACGAATTTGAATGTCGCGATTCTCATCATTGTACAGAAGAATCTATCAAATAACAACCGCGAAATCAAGCGAGTTTGTAATAGTTATAGAATTGGATTCATCACATCAAATCAACATTTGAATAAAATAGTTACATACAGTTTAATTTGTAAAAACGGAATCTCTGTTATCTTGTGCACATCCTGTCTAACAATATTGCAACATTCTATATTTATGTGTAACATTTTATTAAAACCTATTTTATTTGGACCTTTTTTCGAGCTTCTTACCTTGGACAGGAACAAAAGGAGGTGGTATTTGATCTGACCACCGAAGATCTTGGAGGCAGTCTCGTGAGAGAACTCGACGATGGTGGGCATGCTCTGGACGAACACCCAGGTCTTGAACAGGTCCTCGTCGAATTTCTCACCGTCATACTTGACGCGGGGCTCTTCGAACTGGTGACAAAATAAGAACATAAGATATGTGCATACACGTAAACATACAGAATAAACATACTTTTTCCTGACAGGTTCGGTATAGACAGACATGTTGCCTTATTGACAAATCAAAGGTATAATTTAATGGAGTAAACAGGTAAATAACTAAATAAGGAAAACTGGAGTGCCAACTCAGAATCATGAACAAACTCATTTTGTTCAAATCATAAAAGTAAAACCTGTTGCTTAAATATTAATTTGATAACTTCTTATTGAAGATACCTACACTACAATATTAATTTATCAACCATCTTAATCTGTCAAACACCAAGCGGTCACCGGTGACCGCGACCTATTGTTCTTTAATTGTGTCTATAAAACCGGTACTCGACGAGTTAATAATGCTGGTACAAAAAAATATCGACGAAATATAGTTATTATTATATCAAGATTTATTTTTTGATTTCCTAAAACACCAAACCCACTATCTCTATTAACAAGAATTGAAACTTAAAAATACCCGAAATAAAGATTCTTATCATTTAAAATGGCACCAATAATTAAAAATCAAAGGTAGATAAATGATAAGGTTTGTGATAACTGGGCAAATGTGTCAATGTTATCAGTCACACATGAGTCTAAAATTGTTAAAGACTTAGACAATATGTGGATGCAATCACATCTTCTTTATCATAGTTTAGAGAGGCCAACAAACTTATTATCTGTAACCCAAATGGAGGACACTCCCAATCATCTACAACACTAATAATATGAGGTCTTATCATCAAGTTATTATGTCAGAAATAGCGGTTTAATATTAAACACAATTTGCTTGTATAGAGGCTAAGATTAATTAAGTATATGACTCTTTATAGGAGTATGTAGTATTTTTAATTTGATTTCATTGTAACAAGTGATTTTATAATTGCATCACTATACTAATAAATGACTACAAAATGTGCAAGTTACTTTATCCACCTACCCACATTTGCTGAAAATTTATAAAATAAACTTATGCCTATTAGACTTCTTTGAAATAAATAAATAACTAAATTCATGTATAGAAGTGAATAACAAGTATCTTAAAAGTAAAAATTAGTAGAAAGATACACTTACGTTCTTGAAGAGGACAACATCCTCATCTTCAGCTTCCAGCTCAGCAATGACTTTCGAGTCAGAAACAATGGCAAAGACCTGGTCATCAATGCCACTGGCTACACTCACGAAAGACTTAGCTTTAGGAGTATTTGAGTCAGAGAAGAAACCGAAGATGATGACATTGTTGGCACCAATGAGCTCCTTGGCTTGTTCAGCAGATGACACTTCAACAGCTGGAGGACCAGTCTTCTTCTTCAGCCATGTGATGATGTCATCAGCCTGGCGACCACCTGCCACAAAAATAAGAGTTGATTAATTTAATTCAGAACAGAATTTCATCACTAACTTACCAACAAGAATGTTACTTTTTCAATAAAATAACTCCAGTTGGAACCATATCAAGCATTGCGAATTCCAATCAGAATATTATGAGAATAATAAATTAACCATGACAAGTTAGTGCAAACATTAGATAAAGGGGTAATTCCAGTTAGTAATTATTTAAATAACATACCTGTGTAATCAATAGGGCTGCCGTTCCTGAAGAACTTCAGTGTCGGGTATCCTCTGACGCCGAAGCTCTCAGCGAGCTCTTGTTCTTGCGTGGCATCGACCTTAGCCAGCTTGATGGAGGACTCTTCGTCGGCCAATTTGGTGGCAGCCTTGGCGTATTCCGGAGCGAGGGACTTGCAGTGACCGCACCATGGCGCATCTGCAATTATCAAGAATGATTCACAAAGGCATTCAATACGTACCGGCATGAACGCAACCATGCCGACCCTCGTATCATTCACATTTTAAAGAAAATATGACTAACAAAGGGTCAATTTTTTAAATCCACATTCAAGAAAAGACAAAAGAATAACAGTAACCATTAATACTTACAGAATTCAACTAAAATGAAGTTGTTTGATGAGATTGCACCTTCGAAGTTGGATTTGCTCAACACGAGCACATTTTCTTCTGTGGGTATATCATCAGCCAAAGCGGCGCCCAAAAGGGCTATCGCCGTAAATAAGATAACTCTCATGTTGAAAAATACGGCACTTTACAAGCCTTCTCCGAAGACGAAACTTTACAAAATGCTGAAATAGTGCCACTTCATTCACTCACTCCCGTCTCACTTGACGTGGCAGCGTCGATCGTGTGTAGAGCGGTGATTGGTTAATACATATGACATTTTTAGAGTGACGATGGCAAAGGTAAATAACTAAACATCCTATTTTTTACACAAACAACAACTAAACGTAAATTATAAACAAACAGATTCTAATAAGAAAAAAATCTGAAAAAATAGTTTGTAATTCAACGCCATGCATCATGTCCATGGACATTTTGAAATGATCAGATCTAACTAAACATTCTTGATTAATTATCTAAATCACTAAATTATGCTTAAAAATCCAGAGAAGTTAATTTTTAGTCTATTTATAGTCTATTCATCATAATTTTATACGCTTTCATTAAAAGATTTTAATTTTTTTTATTTATTTCAGAACCATGCCAATCAAACAGCTGTTATGCGGACGAATTTTTCGACGCTTTATGTAAATAGTTGTTTTTGTTTTTTTTTTTTATAATTAATTTTAATCTTTAGTTGTATATAGGTATTTAATTTAGTAATATTTAGTTTTAATTTTTTTTAAGTAATAGTTAGTTTTTAATTTAAGTTTTTTATTTGAATAAAGAATAAACAGCTGTTCAGTTTTGAGATGTGTCAATGTCAATCTTATTCCACTCTGACAAATGTCAATACTGTCAACGCAAGAGTTACAAAACGTAAACAAACATAAAATTATTATAAATAATATTAAATAAAATAAAATGAATTTTAATTCAATAATATATAATAACAAAAGTTATTGTGAAGCTAAAACGTAAACTGATAATAAGTAACGGCTTCTCTGAACAAATTTGAAGAAGGTAATGTATCACTATTAATACAATCTAATGGATTGTTTCATTTCGGAATCGTACACTTTTAGGGAGTATGATATAATAGCTAGTAAGCTTCAGTATATTGCTTTTTCGCGTAAATTCGCCTGGCCTATCTCCTTTTAATTATAGATAGAAGATTTCCAAAACAAATTTTCTAATCCTTGTTCCCATGGACAAGGTTTTGTTAAGAATTATTTTGAAGTTATTGTAATTACCACATTAAATACGTGGGTGCTCTATGGTGGCATGGTTACGTACATAACCATCCTAAAGAAAACAAGAAACTGGACCTCAATAATATGTATCTATGTATGAATATGAATAAGTTCCAATAAGGAACATTATCATCATACTATTTCCCGCCCACGTGACCGTCATAAATAACAAACACGCCTAAAGCATAGTAAATTACAAAAGCTGGCATGCATACCACACTATTACAGATTTATTTTAGAAGTTTTAATATTGGACCGTTTCCAATTTTTGTACCAATGTCCTTCCTCATTAGCAGTGGCAAAAAGTCATCTTATTGTCTCTGGTAATTAATATTGAGTTTAATAAAATAAGGTCTGTTTAAATTTATTAAAAATTCAGTTTAAAATATTATTTAATTGTAAAATTATTAGATTCCATTGATATTTTGAAAGTAATTACATAATACAAGTGGAAATATTTTAAATTGTGTAGTATATTCTTGTGATGTGTGTGTGCAAAATTTGTGGCGTTGTCTATATATTTTAATATACTATGTGCATTTATCCATTCATGTTTATGTGAATAATTAATTTAAAAAATCTTAAAAATAAAATATATATCAATTTATGCAATATTGGAAGCGGTGCTATGAAGTTCAATATCAAGTTCAAGTTCAATATGTGGTTATTTCCAATTTTATTTTGATTAAATCTTGCATGATAATTTTAGTCAATTTGTTTCCAATATAAATATAATAGTAACAAATAATAATCATGAAGTCACTTTGTTATTAATGTCGTTGTAATTATATTAAAAATTTTTGAAAACAAATCTTGCACACCCCTACTGTAAAGTCAAATGTAAACACCATTTATAAAAGCATATAATAAATCCTGAATGAGTCACACTGCAACATGCACTACAAATTGCTTTCAAAATATTTACATTTTTCATTCATTTTACAAGCCATTCACACTTCACCTAGTAATAAAATGTTTTTAACATGCAAACTGCCACATTTTATTCAACAAACATAAATTTTGTGAGATTTGTTCATAAAACTGAATCCTGTTATGATTCCAGATGCCAGAACTGACGGTGACATCGGAGATATATGAGGAGTATGATTATAAAACTAAAATATCACCCAGCAGTGAAGGAAGTGAGTTTTAAACGATGACATTTTATTACTTTTTATGAATCACAGGTGATGTAAACTAATAAATTATTTTTTTCTGTGGTTTTGCTACCTGGTTGGCTCATGGATTAAATTTTCGCAGATTAGTTATAGGTATTGCCTTGCTTAATTTTCAATACCTACCTAAATACACTCACGCCTTTCTACGGGTCGTCATGGAGTAGACAGTAGTGGCGTAACTATACCGTCCGGGGCCCGTGGCATATTTATCGATTAAGACATTTACAAGAATAAATATCTTTATCTTTAGGTCTCCCATACCTAATAAACAATAGAAAAGTTCAGATGAAAACCTCTGAACCTCCCCTTCGAGCAGGGGTCTAGTGGCATTTTGCCAACCTGCCACCCTATAGTTATCCACTAGTAGGCAGATACACAGAGCCCCACTTAGTATGATACCTACATACTTCTCTTGCTTCAGTATTACAGACACTAGAAAAGACAAAACAGATCATTTGTAGTTGTGTGGGGTAGCGCAACTGTTATAGTCATGCATGGTGTTATTCCGACGTCAAATTACTCGTAAATGTATTATATTATAAGCATGCATTATATTTTTAATTCATACATTTTGCTGTCCACCCACCTAATAACACAAATTACACAAAATATGTGTAAGTATTTATTTAAATCGAATGTTTCTTTTGTTTTACAGATGTGATATCAGAGTTTCCATTCCTTTTGCCTAAAGCTGGAAGCAGCGCCACTTATGATGAGGATGATGACCTCGACATCGAGAGGCCACAGAAAGAAGTTATTAAAATTGGTTAGTTTTTCCAGATTATTAAGTTTATAAATTCGTCTATTGTACTAAAATATATCAAAAAATTATAGAAGAATTATATACTAGACTCCAATAATATTTTCTTCATTCTGTTTCAGAACACAGTTCCAAAACTAAAATCGCGCTAGTAGGCCTACAAGTATGGCGGGGCGCGTTCCTCCTCGGTGATTGGTTGATACACCTCGGTCTGAAGGGGGAACTGACCAATCGGAGCGTGTTGGAGCTCGGCGCGGGAACTGGACTCACCAGTTTTGTTGCCGCTTTGTATGCTAAGAAAGTTATTTGCACAGGTAAATTGGATTTGTGCACTTATTGCGTTTTGTGAAAACTTGATTTATGTACTTTACTTCTTATATTCTTCTGAATGTTTCCGTTTGCTCCAGCTTTATATGTATAGAATGTCCAAAATTTAGGGGGTCAGCCTATACCGGGCACAATTCTAGACTCTTTGTTATTACTGTCATTTTTTCGAAAAACCAAAAAGAAAAAGAAAATTCCTACCAATACCTCTTTGACCGACCCAGAAATCGAATCCGAGACATCCTGTTTTGTAGTCGCACTTGCGACCACTGCGGCGTTCTTTAAACTGTCTAGTACCAGTAAAACATTTAATATAATATTATACACTTAAATATTGCAACCAAATATTTCACTATTGTTTCAGATATCAACATGGGCGGTATACTAGACCTAATTAAACTAAATGCGAAGTATAACAAGAAATTATTAAAGTCACAATTCAAAGTAATGCCGCTGGACTTCACTGACACCGCGTGGAGCTCCGCCTTGTTGACTGAAGTCAAACAGGCGAGCATCATTCTTGCTGCTGATGGTATGCATTTATATTAAATTATAACTAAGCTAGCTTTTACCCGCGGCTTCGCTCTCGTCACAATAGGATAGAAAGTATCCCATGTGACATATACCAATACACACAGCGCCATCTATGCCAATACTTTTGTTTTCCCTCGGGAATATCAAATTTTTGGGGGATAAAAAGTACCCTATTATTTAATCCAGACTTCTAACTTTACGTCTGCAAAAATTCAAAGCCATCGGTTTAGTAGTTACGGCGTAAAAGCGGAACAAACAAACAAACAAACAAACTCACTTTCCGATTTATAATATTAGTAAGGATAGTAAGGATTCTGCCCGCGACCGTTCTCGTGGGATTAAACTGTGTTATTCCTGTTTCAAATTTCATTCCGATCCCTTAGTCATTTTGACGTGATTAACAGCTTGAATGCACCTATATGAGACAATAGAAAATACATTGTGTCTCGCGTGGATCCACGTTTAGACACAGGACGAGCTTAAGTAGCACATACACAAACTCACAAACTTTATTAGTAAGATAAGACTATATCTTAATAATACATTGTTTTCCTCTTATAATAACTTCTGATTCACTTTGTTGCGGGAACCAAGACAGTTATTCATGTCCCTTGGACGCGCCGGAGTTCAGTGTTCTGGTATTTTCATGGTTGTATCTACTGTAGATCCTGATTTACAGGAGTTGCAGTGGTTTTGGGAGGTAGGCTTGTCCCATTAAAAAATACTTTGTCCTATCCAAATCAAATCCGAGATCCCGATATTGACAGACAGATCTTATTACCTAGATGGCGTTAATGTAGTGTGAGGTCAATTTGTCCAATAACTAGCTGTCAAAAATTGAACCCAACGACTGCACATTAGCCATTAGCCAATTTATTCGAGAAGAGAATCAAGACTTCAAGAGAGACCTTTCCCTGGTCTAGCGATCATTGGGGTGACCTCACTCGCGTTAGCTTTTATTGAAACCATACAATTGACAAGACAGTCAAACTATTTCCATTGTTTTCAGTAATATACGACGACGATTTAACAGCAGCCTTCGTGTCAACAATACAGAAGATATTAAACACTGAGCCACCCAAAACGTTATACATGGTACTCGAAAAACGGTACGTGTTCACGATAGAGCACCTCGACTCCGTGGCGCCCTGTTACGAGACATTCCTCACTCTGCTAGACAAAGTCAAGACAGAAAACGCACATTCCACGTGGAACATACAACAACTACCTCTAGACTTCCCCAAGTATTTCACTTACGACCGTGTCAAAGATCTCGTTCTATGGAAAATCTCATCTACACCTAATTAAATTAAAGCTAAAAGACAATAAATATTATTTTGTGACAAAAACATAAGACTTTTATTAAAAAACCTTCGTAAAGTAGTATAACCTTTATTTCAATTTGGTTTCCCGAATAAAACACAATTCAGCGCTACAAAGTAAGCCTACGAATCAATCAGATTTCAAATAAATAAACGTGGGACAAAACGCTACTTAGTAAATTTAACATCTTACAAATAAATAATGTTGTGTATAAATATAAAACGTTTCAAATAACTTATACCATGTTTTTGGCGAACTTTCCTATTGACACTGCGTTAAATAGGTAATCTCACTAAAGACAAACTTTGAAATTACAATCTAGGCTTAAAATTATTTCTGTGTGGGCCAAAATTCGTTGTATTTTGTGAGGAAAGTTTTCCTTAGTTCGGAATTTCTCGCTTGTTGGTCCTTCTCCTTGCTCAGAGTCTCGACGCTTTGTCCCACGCACAGGTCGCCCGTGAAGTGAATGATCACCACTTGCGTATTAAATGTCACGTTTTTGTCCGGACTCTGCTTACTGTATGTGTGTGCTCCAAAATCCATTGCGAATGGTAGTGTAAGATGTTCTGCGAACAAATATATTGGATATTAGGTACAACGCCCCGTAGGTACATTATGGTTTTGGCACGTTCCCTAGAAAGTTACGTTATGTGTCGAAATCCTCACCGTTCATTAGTTTCTCATCCTCGTCAATGGAAGCTATTTCAAAACTTTCTTTCTCAATTTTTTTACTATATTAGGTGAGTATGAAAAAGTGAGTACCTTAACAAATGAGTACCTTAACACCTTGTACAAGAAGAATGGATGATTCATTAAATTAAAATGTTCTTAATAAACAGGAACCTAGGCATAGATCGCGGGACGATCTCCGGCCACCGTAAGCGCGGGCCTACGGATGGCGACCATGGGTAGCTCGCCGCCCGTCCAGAACCAGTCCCGAGCGTACGGCGCGTCGCGTTCAAAGGTCAAAGAGCCATCAGACCACCACGGATGGGGCCCAATAGGGCTGATGCCGATTCGGAGCCGCGGAAAACATAACGGGTTACTAGGGCTCCGGCTCAAAGTGCAGGAGTAGGAACGGGGTGGTATTTAGTCAGTAAAAGTCTGACACTTCCTCCCGCCTCATCCAGGCGGGAGAAGTAATTCGATGATCCCCCCCCCCCCCCTTGAAAATAGGCATGACAGACCAGGGTGCTTACTCTTGAATCCAATTCCGATCGATCGACATCGGTATTGTGAAATTTCGTACTCTTGAGTTGCAACACTAGCGCCCATAGCGTCCGTATTGCGTGGATATTGAATGAACTAAATGGTATTGAGTTTAGCTTTATTTTCCGTACTCTAAATACTATTAATAGCTACGATAGGATATTGTATAGTTTTGACATTTAATAATTATTGAGATTTTATTGGTTTGAAATTGCATTAGCATTGAGATTGGTTTCAAGAGTAAGCACCATGATTGTGATTAGGTAGGTACATGTATCTGTTACGTAGCCGTAGTTAGCTTTACCAGTATTGTATTCCTCGGTGCCCTGCACGGAGGAGTCCCCGGTGCACTCGGGTCCGCAGCGCCCGTCCTTGAGGATCCCCCGCATCGTCGTCAGCTTGCTTATTGCCTTCTCGCTGCTCTTGTTATTCTGCTCGTTCTTATGCTTGTCTATGTTGCGCAGAAACTTTTTCATCTAGAACAATGTAGCAATGGTCTAGAAATCGTATAGTCTACGGGATGTAACGTGCAGTTTCCAGCAGAGTCATCTATTTGAAAATATCACGTTAAAAAAATGTAGGAATTTTTCCACTCTAAATCATGCAGGACTGTGGACACGAACCCACCTTTTTCGGAAGACTGGAAGCGACTAACAAATAGGTAAGTAGATACCTATGCACATACATAGTCACTCACCGTCTTAGATATTTTCTTTGGTGGATCAGGATACGACATCTTTGGCTCCCCAGGATTACTTCCGACCACGTACAATGTATTTTTAGGTATGTCGAAGTCAGAATACACCGAAGCTTGTCCTTCGACGGGCTCCTTCTGACGCGACCCTGTCGAAGACTTACTGTTTGTCGGCATGTAAGACGACTTCTCTGCGTTATCCGATTGACACTTTTGTATTGTTGCCTTATTTTTGTTAGAGTTTTTTTGCTTTCTTTGAACAGGTGAATCATCTTCGTTCGAGAGGCTCTCTTCTGACGTCGAAGGGAACACTTCGTTGAGGCTCAGAACTTCCAAGTTGCACTCTTCGAGGTTCGTTGGGTTATCCACGTAGGCCACTTGACACAACTGGTCAGTTGAGTGTATACTTATGAACGACTTTTGACCAGAACACAAGGCACCTTCCTCGCTTGAGGGGGAGGGTTTCTTCGAAACAGTCACTGTAATGAACGTACAGTCATTAAATAAAAAAAACGATTTCTTGAGAGCAATTAATACAAATCACAATTCCTTATTAGGCCAGTGAAAAATAAGACACTTGTCAGTCCCCTGAACGTGTGGATGGATGGAGACATACATACCAGCGTAAGTGCAGCTCTCGGTGGCGTTACAACTTATAACTTCCCCTACAACAAACAATACATTGGATCACTTGACGTGTCGCGCGCGGCGTCACGCGCCACTCGCCACCGAACTTACCTTCGTCCTCATTTCTATCGGTTGCCGGAATGTCTGTTCTACTTTTATCAGATAATTTGTGTGCATTCCTCGAATGTGACATATTTAACAACAAATTTCAGTTTGTGAACTTTGTCAAATGGCTTTCCATTTTTCTCTTTATTTGGTTACCGTTGACAGTTCTAATTTTAATATTTTTTTCGGCTACGTGTTATTTGTGGGTATCTGAACTCTTTTTATAACCTCTTGAGTTTATTCTCAAGTGTAGTGTGGGTAGAGCACGGGTAGAGGGTAGATAGATCACGGCCACGATTTGTTCCGTGGACGAGAAAATGAAACGTGATATTTGAAAATAATTGTTATATTTCATTTCATCGTAAGTACAATTTACTGAACATATACTTAAAATGGAACAATATAAAAAATAACAAAATAGAGTGTCATTCAAATCAGCATTGGAAAATGGAATTATGTTAACATAACTAAAGTGTAAAAATATTGAGTGTTTATAGTATTTTATTATAACTATATAATAAAGTCGCAACAGTCTCTAGCATGGGGATATGATTACACCATGACGAGCTGATAAAATATGGACATGTAAATTGATTTCACTTAATTATAAGTTGTGAACACTTTGATGATTTACCTAAGATCATTTGTGTGAGAACCACGTCAGCGGAGCGTCGGCGTGAGACGAGAGTAAGGCATTGCAACCCTGCAGTCTTTGTAACAATACATGTCAAAACAAACATTTCACACAATTCTTCCGAAATTGTAACATCCAATTTATTTATATTTCAACTTCCAATTTCATTACGTCCTACTTAAATAATTATAAGCTAATCACTTTCAACAAATTACATTTTGATCTGTGTTATTTCTCGATCAGTCTGGTTTTGATAGCCCAGTCAAGTGTATATAGAACATCTGTCTATGTCTTGTATGTTCCTAAGCTCTATTTCTTTGAAGAGGAAGGCACTTCTTCAAATTAGAATCTGCTAATTATTGCGCATTATCCTACGTTAATGGAAACCTGTAACTTGACATCAAATTGTTAGCCTGATTATATTTTTGGTCTACTAATTCGTTAGCCTTATTAGGAATCACGGGATTTGCAGTTTAAACGTTTTCCCGAATTGTACGAGGCATTACATAAAACCTACGACAAAATGCGTTTGACTATAATTTATCTATTATAATGTTATATGAACTAGAATACTGTGGCAAGGTTCTCATAGCGTGCAGTCAGTCTAATGTGTGTGTGTCAGTGATACGTCACAGGTCGACGGCGACCTCATGAGATCTAACTTCATCAGAACAAGAGGAAAGTATAATACGTTATAATTTAGTAACTTAACTATTGTCATCCATTTCATGGACATCGACTTACAACTAAAACATTACCATACGGGGGCAGTAACGAAATCCTAGACATCTAATCACAAGAGACAATTTAGTTAAAATGGAGACTTTCACTTGATATGGCGTTAACATTAAAATTATGCATAAAACGTGAAAGACCAAAATTTGTTCTACCGATTCACACCTAGCTAGTGGACAGGCCGCCATTTCATCGGGGGCCAGCCTCGAGCGAACGAAGAAGTCTTTTACAGAGGAAGAAGTGAGCTATCGCTATACGGAGCTCTTTCTCTCGGAGATGGAGGACCGTTTGCGGCTGTGTATAGCGCCGGAGGACATCTTGCGCTTTGTGTCGGCGTGGCCGGGCGGGCCGGGCCGGCGGAGGGCGGCGGCGGGCGCTGCAGGCTGGCGGCGGCGGGCGGCGGGCGCTGCAGGCTGGACGTCTTGCGGCGCACGGCGGGCGACGCGTCGCCCAGCTTGCCGGCGGCGGCGGCCGGCTTGTGCTCGGGCGCGGCCGGCGCCGGCTGCTGCAGCCTGCCCACTAGCTGCCAGTGCTCGCGCGCCGCGCGGAGAGACTCGCGCATCTTTTCTTTGGCTTCGGCGTTGTCCGCCAGCATTTGGTTGAGCATTTGTACAGTCTGGTACAACGCGACGGGGCTCAGCAGCCCGAAGTCGTGCAGCGAACACATGTGCAAGACAAAGTTCCTGTACAGGTTCTTCTCCAGCAGCTCCTTGCCTCGCATCTGCAGGAACATTTGGCACGCAATGGGAATCTGGCAGTCGCCCACATAGTTGTACTTCATGACGTGAAGGTTCCACATCTTCATAAGTTCCTTCTCTCCTTCGTTGACGTCGGTGAACTCGTCGATCATCATCATTGTCTTCTGCTGCAGCCACAGCGGATCTGTCTCGCTCTCGGAGTCTATATCCAGCTCGTTCGGGTACACCGGCAGACAGGTGATTGTGTGGTGGTATAATCTGAAATAAACATTCACCAATTATAAGATTTTTTTGTGTCAGTTTCTCTTTTTGTCATCTCTTCAATAAACACAAACTGAAAACTAACCTGTTATGTCCTGTGAGATAAGGTCTTTGCGCATCGATTACATCAGCATCGTCGAGCTCCAGGAACTCTGCGAGGCTGTGCCTAGCGGGGCGGCGCCGTGCGCGTGCGCGCCAGACGAGGACATGTGTGAGCGCGGTGCGGCGGGTGGGCCCGGCGCGGGGCCCGGCCGCGCCGCCGGGGCCCGCCGACACGCCGGAGCGGCCCTGCGCCGCTATCAGGTCGTGCGGGGACCCTGTGTACGAGCCGTCGTACAACTCGTTGATTGATACATCGATGCGAGCGCCGCCCGGGATTGGCTGATAACAATAATGTTTGATTAATACGTATTAGCTATCTAATGTACATTGAATTAGATACTAAAAATATTTAAATCTGTCAGACTATTGAGATTTGCGCATCCGCAAACCAGTAAAAATATCGAATAAATGTACTTACAAAGTAAGTAAAGTTGAACCTAGAATGACACAGCTTGAGATGTTTGAGCAGTGAGTAGAGAGTGCCGCAGTCGAGTGAGCACCAAGGACAGTGGAGGTCGTCGCAGGCCTCCGTCTGTTGTCTCGAGTTGTTGTTGTACAGGAACTGGTAGATTATCTGCTGCCTCCTCGACTCACCATCGGCTGAGTCAGATTTTGTTTTATCCCCTGAAATATGGGAAATGAGGAATTTCTGATTTAATATATTCTAGCTAGATGGTTAGGTTAAAAGTAGGGCGAAAACAAATTAAAAAAAGGAATGATATACAAGATGAAAATCAAGACAGCTAACTAAAAAAAATTCAACTAAAGTTTCATACAAAAAAGTTTAAATAAAGGGTAGGATTTGAGTGAAACAAAATTAAAAAGCCCATGCTTGGACTAACATCAAATACTAAATCTACCTTCAGTACATTTTCTCATTTACCTTAATAATCTGTATACTCTATCATAATATTATGCATAATGTATTTGCTTTGCCCTCAAATTGTTTACAGGTCCAAAGTTGTAATGAAAACATACTAATCGTCACAATACTATACCATTTTTAATATCATTATTACTAGTTTTTGAAGTACTCTGTCTGTCCTTGTTGCTGGGGTCCTTCTTGCCATTCTCGTTGGTTTGCTGGTACAGCTTGGGTCGGTTCACCAGTCCATTGGTGGGCTCTTGACTCCAGCTCAGCTTCAATTTCAACAGTGGTCTAACTTTGAATATGTCGAACGGATTGCCTTCTGTCTGGAGATCATTTTCCTGCAAGATTTTTGAACAGTATGTGATTTCTGATACTTTACTCACATGTATTAAAATGGATAAAACTGTGTAAAAAGAGAATTTGTCAGGAGTATATTAAACCCTTCTATTCTCAATGACTGACAAACAATGTCAAGCTTTTATTATTATGTTCCTTGAGCAGCGTATTGAATGCAGTATTTCCCGAAATTCGCATGGAGCATAGATGAGAAAAACAGGATACACAGGATTATTTTTGTAACTTACATTAGGTATAGTTTCCCACTGTGCCATGAGAGCTTTGTGTGGCGACCTGGCGATGGTCCCGCTCCTTCCTCCCGGCGAGGCGTCATGCAGTACTAGGTCATACTCCCCATTGGTCAGGAGACACCGGTTATGTTTGTCGTACACTATTAGTTCACTCCCGTAAAACTTGGTCCATTTCCCATCACTAGACGAATTGAGATCCGATGATGATTTCAGACGTTTTGTGACTGGTTCTAAAAGTTAAAGGAATATATAAAAGATATAACACATACTTCTTACTAAACCCTATGTAATAGGAGGGGAGCCAATAGCCAATAACTGTACATCATATTAGATTATGTATCACTACTAGTTTTTGAAGTCGGGTCGGGTCGTGTTGGTCCGGAGGTTTAAGACGCCCGCTTCTCATGCATGGGTGTGGGTTCAAATCCTACCAATGGTAAGTATCAATGTGACTTTTTCATAGATATTCTAAGATTATTTAGACACCACTGACAAACAGTGAAGGACAACATCGTAAGGAAACCTGGGCTTATAATTTCTAATTATGAGTTTGAAATTGCTAACCCGCATTTAGCAAGCGTGGTGATTAATGCTCAAACCTTCTCCGGTTGCGAAGAGGCTTTGCTCAGCAGTGGGCATTTATAGGCTAATGACGATGCTAACTACTAGAACATTTCAAAATTGAAAATAAACTTTAATACTTTTATTTAACCAGGTGTCGAAACTGAGACCCCTTGATTGTAAATCTCACTCGTCGCGCTAGCTACAATGCTACCACTTGACTAAGAAGTCAGGCAACATGAATGATTCTATTTGATTAGCTATATTTCAATAATGATATAAAATATTCTGTTACATTAAGAACTCTAAAATCTACAACAGATTAAAAAACATTGACATGCTATCTATGCAACATTCACAGATAAAATACAGGAATTGGAGGAACAGAAAAAAAATGGGGATACTAAAAAATAAAAAACAAAACAAGCAATTACCATCACAGTCACCATTTGTAATTTCACTAGAACTTGCCGCACCATTCGCTGTACTGGATCCTGTTGCCCTGGTCACAGTAACCCGCAACATGAGCATGTAGGACTTTACGTTGGGACCTTGTGAAGGGCTAAAAGTGTCACTGGAGATGCTAACTGCAGAAGCCATGGCTGGTGGCTCCGATGTTGATGGGTTGAGTGGCACCGAGCAACTGCCAACCTGAGGAATTGTTGTTTAGTGACGTAAATCTTGAACTAATATTTGATTTTTACTTTCTACACAGTAGCAGCACAAAACAGTATTGTATGTATAAATTACTATAATTTATTATTAACTATTGAATATGCAGTTTACTATTAAATAAACAGATAACAACAACGCCACACCTTATGTAATCTATTTAAATACAAAGAATACTTCGAGTTAACTTTTTCTCAAACTAGGTCAGGGTTAGGAACTTAAACATGGCACATGATCAGTGTTCAATTGATAACATTACTTTAACATTCATGCAAATAAGCAATTTATAATGGAGAAACAATAATACGATAAATAATCCATAAAATAACACCCATATAATGTAGCACTCAGTTATTACCACATTTTTAATATTGGAATTGTGATTACATTCATGAATGTGATGTAAGCTAAAAAACTGTAAGTAAGTAGTCTTGTAGGAATAGGATTATAGCACAGTGTTCTGAGGGCTGAGCACGAATTTATTTAACGTTTAGAATAATCGAAACAAGTATGCATTCAGTATTCTCGATTAGTTAGTATGTTAGAGTTAGCCAATCAGAGCATCAAACATGTAGCTGTTTCGATTACTTTATACGCAAAACAAAATCATACTGACACCTCTATAGAATCATGGGATCATAATGGTGTGTTTACATCCATCACAGATTAGGTACATTATGGTACTTCATGTCTACATATTATTGAAACATTTTCCCTAAACAAAGCATAAGTAATGTCTGGTAAAGACAATGATACAAATAAATACTTAGTTAATTATTATGCAGTAAGTGAACCAGTGGTAAAGGTTAATAAGATGTTATCAGCACAACTTGTAGCGAAAGTAAAACTGATAACAGTATTGTCTTTTGTCATTTCTCTTTACATTAGTTGTATTGTAACTTGCAAATTATTGGTACTGATTAGATATTGTGTAGGATTTATGATACAAGTGCAGTATAAATAGATATTAGCACAGCTATAATAAATTATGAAGTATAGGCAGTAGGCTATAAACGATTAGTAACTTGATTTTGACATAGATTGCCAGTGTTTGACATGACTCCAATTTTGATACTCACAGAAACTTCAACAATAGCTGAAGAGCTTTCTTTCCTCTTTTTATGGCATATCTTAAGCAGCAGCGTCTCCACCTTGACCTGGTAGTCCCTCGGGTCATCCAAACTCTTATCGTAAAACCCTAGGAAGGTCAGTGTCATGTAACCTCCCAAACTATTTGGCTGAAGCTCTGTACTCTTTTTTAAAGTTATTTTTTCTAACAAACTATCCACTTTGAAACCTATACGGCTCTTGTTGCTTCTCGACATTCGTCTCTTCATGTACGACAGTGTTCTGTTTAGAAATATAGGCTAAAACAGAAAGGAGATTATCCGTATTAATGTTTTCATCACACAACTCCACAGAATACAAGTTTTTCTACATACCGATAGCATGTTTCGAGTCCGTAAGAATCTGTATATTTGTGTAGGCTCTGCAAAACAATTATGAATAAAAATTAATACAAAATTATTCACAGGAAATGCTCAGTTACTAAGCATCGGACTTGGTAACTTACTTTCAAATGCTTGCAAAAACAACTCATGGTCTGCTTGTAAATGGTCAATTTTGGAGCTTTTATTAGCTTCATTGTCTTTATCTCGCTTCTTAGGAGGCATTTTTAGGTTTTTATCTAAACTATTAGTGAAACCGCCAAGTTCATCGGTTCGTTGACTTGACAGCGTCAGGTTATGGGGTTCCCACCCTAAAGAAAAATGCTTAGATGATACGGTAATCCCAAAAATAGGGAAATTTTTTAGAACCGACGTTGAATAAAAAGGTTACAGAAATACCTAAAAAATATACATTTTTACTACTTTAAATTAATATAATTTGCTCTTAAAAAGCAGTTTATAATCCAAATTCAATTTATCTAATGAAATATTAAAGAAAACCGATTAAATTGCTCCAGAACGTTTTATTGTTTACTTTGGGATCAACTTATTTAAACTGTGTTCATGTTTTTCATAGAAATTACATCATTGAATATTTAATAGAGTAATTTTATTCATAAAATCAGGAGAATCTAAATTCATAATATGGTAACATCAAAACAAGTCATAGAGTAAAGATTTAGAGAAAACTTGCAAGTTTATTTATGGTAGTAATTGTTATTAACAATCTGAGAATGTCATTGTAATAATTTAATTTTGTCCAAAATTTGTGGTTTTTGAACGACACTTGTTATTTCATAATGACGTAAATGACGTCTATTTATTATTATGATGTTGTGATTTTTAAAAGCTTTTAGCAATATTACGTTAGGAAATATCATAGTTATACTGAATATGTTTCACAAACGAAGTACTAAACAATGCGTAAAGCGTGCAGTGTAAAAGGAGTGCTAAAAAAGCGACTGCGAATCATACAAAGGAGGGCTACCGAGAGAGGCTTAGATGGGGTGCTATTACAGCAATACGATTTTATTTGTAATTTTAGTGATGAAGTTGAAAATAAGAAATCTAATAAGAAGCTCATTGCCGTCATAGTGTCGGCATTTATCATATTAGTGCTGAGCGTTAGCTATGTCAACAGTATTTTAAGCGCTAGATGTCTGTTACCTAGTAATTACTTAGTGTGGGAGGCGACGCGGCCACTCGCCGATTGCGCCTATTGTGAGAATGTTACGAAACCAATTATATTGTGGAACGTCACGCGGCAAGAATTTGCTGTAAGATTATCTATTAATATACAAGTTTTTATTAGTAATGTTTCAATTACAGTATGGTACAGTGAGGCTTTTATTTCTTGCAGAATTATGCTTATACACCAGGACCTATAATCGTAAAAAATGCCATCAGACATTGGAGAGCGACCAAAGAGTTTAGTTTTAATTTGTTTAAGAGGCTGTATGAACAAACGGCAGGCAGCTATGAAAGCCTTGAGGAAGGATGCCAGTTTCTTAATTTTAAGACAGATCTGTTTAGTCTAAGGGAAGTTTTCAGCATGCCTGAAGCTAGAGTTAAGAATGAAGAGGGCCAAAAGCCTTGGTATGTTGGATGGTAAGTAAAGCTACGCTAGAAGTAAATAATAAAAAGAAAGAATAAAAGAATAAGAGAAAGAAAAAAAAGAATACATACATGTACTTAATATACCAATTGATACTTTAACCAACCCAGGAATGTGGCAGCCACATTTTCTCCCACATATTCAAAGAGGAAGTCTGTTGAATCCAATCTATACAGACAAATAAAATGGGAGTGTCTGTTTGTAATAATAGAGTAACTGCTTTTTTCCACATGCACATAGATATGCATATGAGGCATATACCAAAATGACACTTTTTACAATTTTTGTCTGTTTGTACTGGCTATCTCTGAAATGGATGGGCCGATTTTGGCGTGACTTCTATTGGCAGCAGCTTATATACTAAGGAGTAACAAAGGCTACTTTTGTATTGGAAAAATGTAGACAAAACTGCAGGCTCAGCTAGTCATCAATAAATTATTATAACATCAATATTTATTTTATTAATTTCAGGGGTAACTGCCATCCTGACATATTGGCTCAAGTCAGACAGTATTATGATATTCCACAATTTTTACCTGATGATGCTGAATTTCCAGCAACAGAAAATATATTTTTTGGATTTGAAATTGGAGCTGTGATGCATGTATGTTAGAATTTTTATTTCATTCATTATGGGAGTTCTCTACAGGATATAATTAACTTCTATATGGTTTTCCAGTTGGATTATATATCAAGACTGATGTGGCAGGGGCAGGTGCAAGGGAACAAGACATGGTTTGTGGCTCCTGTGCCCGAGTGTGATCATGTGTGTCATAAGTTTCAGTATTATGTTGAGCCTGGAGATGTGGGTGGGTAAAAACATTATTGTATGTCAATTAGAAAATGCTTACAGGAATAAAATAGAATGCATTCGTAAAAATTTGATTACCATAATATATAGATTAGAAAAACAAGAAGCTTGTTTCTAAAGTCACTTTTAAATGTTGTATTCCTGTTTTAGGAAATTAAAATAAATAATTAATTAGTCCATTTACTTTGTTTCAGTGTTATTGGATACGCGCATTTGGTACCACGCCACAACTATACCTAAGGGCCAATTTTCCTTGACAGTACAGTCAGAGTATGGATGAAATAATGCTGCTTTGCCAAGACTTAGTACAAAAGAAAGTGTTCTTTCACATATCAAGATGCCAAATTATACACATTTATTATTTATACAAGCTATTTTAAACTTTCGATATAATGCATTCAAGTGCCATTTTTGTAGTGCAACTATATTTAGCCATAAGTTTATGCAATATTTTGTTTTTTTATACTCTTGTAAACTATTTATTTTCTATCATGTGTTCTAGAAATATACTTTTTGGAAGTTTGTCGTTGTTTTCTTTATGAAATGTACCTAATTTAATTAGTCCTTATATGTACAGCAAGCAAGCTTATTGCAAATAGAACTATTACTTATAGATCTTGGCAATAAACCGATCTCCGGCTACCTACCTGCGTATTTAACGCAATTTTAATGAGAGCCAGATGTAGTGTTAATAAATAATGATGTAAAGCTAATTTGACATTTTCCCTTGGTGAAATTTGGCTCGATCCTCTTATTTCGTGTTAGTAGGTAAGTTAATTGACAATTCTAATGTCGCTTCAAAAAATCAACTATGTTCTTTTCCTCCTCCACAATGAGTGATTTGATTAAACAACCAGCTTCCCAATCGGTTTACGGAATTATGAACACCCCTAACTTTTTAGGAAACAAAACAATAAAAAGATTGCAGTATAGTAAACGGGGTCAATGTATCAATATCTCTATGTATATCTATGCAATATAACAAACAAAATAATATTCAAATCATTTTATTTTTCTAATTCTATGATCAAAAGTTTTAAGCGAGGAATTGGCTTGAGTAACAACATTGACATACAAATACATAATTTTAAAAACACACATCATGATTACACTTAACAGTGATTAGAGTAGTTGTGTGCTCAGTCCAATCCCTCCACTCAAGTGACATTGTAAAGTTCACATAAAGAGATCAGGTTTGAAACTCGGGGGACAATAAGCTCTCGAGGGGCGCTCGGGCATCTTATGATTACTACAGCAGTAATCTATGTACACTTGTACAGCTCATTGAACCCAAATGCGCGAAATGCAAACTTACAATAACAATAAATAATTTCCTTAATTTTGTTGACCAGATAGATGCCAGTTCGAATATGGACAATTTTAATTGACTTGGCATAATATGTATTTTTATCACAAATAAAAAAGTGGTACGATTACATTGTACCGATTGTAATGGACACATTAGATTAAAAATTTATATTGCAACTACCCAATCGGCTGATAGGAAGGTAGAGACAGCAATGGACAGAAGAGTCACGAATATTAATTAGAATAACTGCCAGACGCCGAGCACTGCATCCTTTATGGCTTCGATGTACTGTGCGGGCACCCAGTATACCCAATACCGCGATGCTTCTGTTGGACCTAGTTGTAGACCCTGCAACAATACATGATGACACATAAAAAATAATATAACAATCATAATTATATGAATTAAATAACAGTGCTGGAATAATACATACCATGATATGATATTCCTCATGTTCTTTGATTGGTTCTGATGTGATGCCTGTAAAATATATCACAGTTATTAATTAGTCACTAGTTTACAAGATTTGAAGTAGAATTTGTAAACTAGAGGATAATTTATTTTGTTTGAAGATACCACTTAGATAACAGAAATGAACAAGTTAAAGTATGAAATGTGAAAATTAAGTATGAAAACCATAACATTATTGTACATTGCTTTAGGACAGGCACTAATATGAACATTCTTACGAAGGATTGAACTTCATATACCATAAACATCTTTCAATAAAAAACCACTTACTTTTAATAGAAGCCATGGCAAGCTTCTCTGTGCGCTCCTTCGTGCCGATCCACAGCTGATCCTGTTCATGTTTGAATGTGAGCCGCACTTTACCTCCATGTTTGTTTAACATACCACTAAGGGGAACTGGTGGTAAGGGCTCCTGGAAACAGACAAAAAGGTGCATTTCTATAATATTAGCTAAAACAAATCTCAGAACAAATATTTCACATAATTAGAGTCTAAAGTTAAATAAAATGAACAAATAAACTACATCAGATCCATTATTTAATTTTAGTTTTATGTTTGGGACAGCAAACAGTTACATTATGAAAACCTAATTAACTAATGTTGTAATAAAACAAATGATAATTGGGACTACAAACACTATAATAGTGTAATAATGTTAAACCCGTAGTCCCATTAATTTTTGATATTATGTTGTTTTTACATCACTCTCATTGATATATTACGATATCAGATATGATTGACTGCACGGTTGGTGCAGTGGCTGGGCAACTGGCTCCTGCACAATGTGTCGCGGGTTGTTAAAGAATGTTGTTCCGGGTCTGGGTGTGATGTGTATGTGACTTTGTATGTTTGTAAATAAATGCACCCATAGGAGAAAATACTAGTCCACACTAGGATTTTCGAAATTTGGCAAATTTTTTTTTAAAAAGATGGAAGAAAAGAAAGAAAAATATAATGTATCAAAATTTGTAATGAATTTGAATTTGTTAATGTATCAAAAATTGTAAAAATTTAAAACTACACTTCAGAACAAGCGCCTTGCTTCTCTGACAGGCAGACAGACTGACAATTCAATTTTTTGTGCCTAATTAGGTATTAATCGAAATAAATGCTTATTAAGTAAACCACCACCAGCGCTGAGAAAAGTAAAATTAAAAAAACCTAAATAAATGTTAATTGATAGCAGTTTATAATTATCTATTTACAACCACAACAATTTCAGATAAGATTTAAATTGCAGCATGGTAATAATTGTAATATTATTTTATTTTATGTTCGAAAGTATGTGGTTTACCTTAACTCCCTTAATTCCAGGCATCACATCAGGAGGGATGCCCTTATCCAGAACTTTCCTGTGAATCTTCTGCATGCAAAGTGGCTCCTTACTTGACTGACTATTTGCTCTCTCTTCCGATAATTCCTAAAAAATGTAAACAAATAAATAACATATGGCTATGAGGTTATTTTCAGCAGAGCATTTAATTAATTGCATATCAGTTGTGTAATTATTGCATAAATGAAAATTATTTCAGTAATTTGTAAATTACTTTGTAATTAAGTGAAAGATGTTAAACATGTTTGTTTTAATTTTAATACCACAATGTTTTGGTAGCCATTGTTGTGATGTAGATGTAGCTACAATAATAATTACCTTTTGGGCACTCTTCACAGCCAGAATGTCATCCATTTTGGATCCAACAAGCATGACCTTTCCTCCTTTCTGGACGCCGGATTGTCGCAGTGTCATGTTGTCCTTGGCCATGCCCTTAATTATTAATTTCTGAGCTGATTGCGGCACGCCGCATATTCGCTCCAAATGTGCTTTTAAATCAACCACTGTGGCATCGTACGCGAAAGTAATGTCATGTTTGGCTTTATTAAAAACTACTGTAAATTCGATCTGTTCCGGAATCTCACATAATTCAGGTTCTGAGTCTTCAGTGGTCTCCGACGTGCATGCCGCACTCTCCGCGGGAGCTTCTATGTGTGCGCTCTCCAAAATACTCTTGTTTTCTGTCGATGACTTAGATGTGCCATTGGCTATTGAATTTGGATCTCGATTCTCTGTTGAGTCTCCCTTTTCTGATGCTAGAAAATAACATCAAAACGTGAGTTAGCAAAATTTCTAGAACAAAAGGTCTCCGTGTGTAGATTTACAAAGACTGTCAATCTGTATTTTTGGGCTAATAATGAACGAATGTATATTAATACTTACCGATATACTCCATAGTTTTATGTGAATTATCAGTCAGAAGGAATAAATTAACAAAAACGCTATTGTATCGTACTTGTTTTGAAAAAATAATTAAAATACAGCCGACTGGCTGACGTGAAGCAACAAATTTTTTGCACAGACTATATATTTTTTTTATGTTTTGTTGCGTTTGGAAACGTATCGATCGTTTCGTTACGCAGACATTCACGTTAGTCTAAATGATCTATAAGCAAACCAATGTTGCAATATGTAAATAATTGTTAAACCGTATTTTCACGATCCTATCCAAATTCTACCCCCACTTCATGATTAATAGCACTATAACTATTTAAAAAAAATGAAAACAACAAATAAATATAACAAGCTTTTAAAATTATAAATGAAAGTGAAAGATTGGGAACAATAGGAATATTGGGTAATACCATGTCATTTGCTGGAAATAAAGAAAAAAAAAAACGCTTTTGTTTGTGGTATTATTGTGTCAGAAGATTTCCGTTTCCATGGCGGCCAATTTGTAAACAATGATAGTAGTGCGCTAGTGCGCTCAATAAAATTATTTTTAATAGTTTGCGATACACAATCTACAGAAGCAATGAGTTTTAATATTGATGATCCTTTAGCTGGAATTCTAAGTGATGGTAGCGACGATAGTTTTTTTGATGATGACGTATTAGGAAAGAAAAAACCTGCAAGAAAGAAAAGCACACCGAACCTAGAAAAGAAGAGTACTTTGTTTGATTTAAAGGATACTGATAAGCCAAAACCTGTTGCCAGTACACTAGATAAGAAAGATTCAATATTCGACATTGATTCTAAAAAATCACCAACACCTTTTAAGAGAACTGTGTCAAAGGAATCTATAAAATTTTCCCAATCAGAACCAAAAGTAAAGGTAGGACTTGATAAATTAGATACAAACAAGTCTCCAGCAAAGTCTAAAGTGAGTACGAGTGCTGACAAACTTGACATACTCAATGAATTAGGTGGAACAAGAAAAGAGTCAGGTAAAACTATAGAAAAGGGGAAGAGCTCGCAATCTTTATTAGATGATATATTGGGGGGCCCTTCAGTGAAATCTGGTGGTTCTAGCCAGACATTACGGCCAGTCACAGCAGGAAAAAGTCAAGAATTCGATATTGATTCAATTTTAGGAAAAAGTGAAACCAAAACATCAGTTTCTAGTAAAAGTTTGCCTCAAAAACCACCTGTTAAAGATAACGTGAAAGAAGACAGAGAAGCTCCCGCTAAGAAATCTAAATCTGCAGAAGACTGGCTGGGTATATTTCAAGACAAAGATGACGGTAATGACGATTTGGAAGATGAAGCGGGTATGCCATCGTGGTTAGTGGGGGGTGATACAAAGAAGAAAAAGTCTGAAGATAAAAAATCTACTAAATCTGAACCCTTTAAAGAAAAACCTAAACCATCACCCCCGAAAGAAGAACGAACTGAACCAGATGAGCCACCTCCTGAGGTAAAAAAAGATAATGAAGCTGTAGAACAAATGGTTAAATTTAATCCTCCTTCAGCTCCGAATGTTCTTCAAGGCAGTACTGAGGACATCACGGCAGAAGGTGCTGCTTTGTACATGCAGCAACAAGAGTCTCAGATTATGGTGGCGCTGCAGCTGAAAGCACAGGAAGAGAAACTAGCGGCTATGCAAAGTGAGATATTTAAAATGTTTGGTGTATTGTAGGTACATTGGCCTAAACTTTGTATTACATAGGCCTCTCGGCCTATGTAGTATGTCATCTCTGTCATACTACTACTATTCGGTCAGATATCAGTCCGATGACTTTCACTTCTGCCCAGAGGCTTAATCTTTTTGTGTCTACTGATTGATACACAACTTATACTTAGTTTTTAACGTGTATTTATTCAAAAATAACAATGTTTAATTCTTCTCTCCCTTATATACTTGCCAGTGCGTCAGAAAGAGAGTCAGCGAGTACAACGCGAGGCAGCGCTTGCACAACATGCACAACTGGACGCCATGTTGCGACGACAAGCGGAGAACAGACAGCAGATGCAGTCCATCATAGCTGTTCATCAGGAGAGGATTACTCAGAGAATAAAGGTGAAATATTAAGTCTACACCGTTAAATTTAAATCGTTTTAATCCCTTGAAGGTTCGAACTAGTCCATGAACCACTATCGATTTGTAAAGATAAAATTAAAAAATAAAGTACTTTTTTGATCGCAAGCATAAGGTTATTGACTCGATCAACTGATGTTTGCGTAGGTAAACAAATAAATTGATTCCAAATTTTCCTTCATACTTTTACAGGCTTAGGACCGACATAACTGTACTAACGGTTCGCATTATTTATTCACTCATGCGAGAATTGATTCGAGTTATTAAAAAAAGTACTTTATTTTTTAATTTTATCTTTACAAATCGATAGTGTTTCATGGACCAGTTCGAACCTCCAAGGGATTAAAACGATTTAAATTTAACGGTGTATAGGCATAATCCATGATTTAGTGATATATTTTTTCTGGTCCAGATCTGTACATAGTTGTTTTGATGTTGACTTTAGATTTGTAAGATAGATTCACAAATTACCTTTAAATGCGACACGCTATAAATTGTTCTCTCTAGGCACTCCTAGGTTCAGAAAACACGGATAACGAGGATAACCCGAATTATTCAGAAGAATTCCATACAGCGGGAGATCACAAAGACCCACCACACTTGCGAGAAAAGAAACAGTTGCTACAGTTAGTGCAGTCCCTGCAGGAGAACCACGATAAGGAAATTGACCTTATGGAGACGTCCTACAGGTATTTATCATAATGTATCATGCTCCTAGAAGGAGAAAATAAATAGAAAACTTGTTATTGTTCTAAACTTCTAAGTACGTATATTTAGGTAGATTTATCTTCATCACTATTGTGAATTTCTCATTCGAAAGTACCTACTCAATTTCCAGATGTCATATCTCAGATTTACAAATGACTCACTTATAACTTACAAAGAAACCTGTTTTTAACGCTTAGATTGATACTTACAAACTAAAACTCTTTTAATAGGAGACAGCTAGCATTTTTAGAGGTATCTTTGACCCAATGTGAGGAAAGGATGAAAGAAGAGAGTGATAAATTGGTGAAATATTATTCAGAGAAGATAAATTGGTTGGAGGAACATCACCATCTGTTTAAGAAGTTGACAGAAGAAAACTTGAGCGAGTTATCTGAACGGCATAAGACGGAGAACGAAATGCTTAGACAACAGCATTTGGAGAACGTGAAGGTATTACAGGAACACCATGCTGCACTCATGGAGAATGTTAAGTAGGTATTCTAAACAATAATTTTGGCAATTAAAATCGTGACATTTATATTACCATTAGAAAATGGCAATATAGGTTGTTATACGCTGATTTACGAATATCACCTAATGTTGCTTCAATCGGGTTCGGTTTTATGAAGATAAATGAAAATACTTATAATTTTCAGAACCGCAGTTAAACAGGAACAAGTCTTGATTCAGGATTCAGCCAGCTTCTCATCCGATCTAAAGGAGTTAGTTGCAGATGTAAGGGAAAATAAAGTATTCTGTAAGGAACTTTTAGAGAAAGTGCAATCTTTGTCGGAAAATACTGAACGAAAATATGAGGGCAGTCTGCAAATAAGGGAAACACAAATAAACGGTAAGTTCACTAAGTAATATTAATTAAGTTTATTTGGCTTGAGAATGCATTTACATTGTTAATTGTTCTATTTCCTACAGAGATGTTACAACAATTAAAAAGTGAACGTGAAAATATAGATTCAGAGAAATCTGAAAATAGGGAAACAATTAAAATGCTCGAGGCGAGGCTGAAACAAATGACTTCGGTAATGTTTAAATTGCAGATAGATATGTAATTTTAGAATGACAAGTATCTCTGTTTCATTTATATTATTGCCTTTTAAAAGATGGTCGAAGAGGAGACAGCAGCTTTAAAACAGAAGAGAATGGAGTTTGAATTCGAAAAAGCAACATTTAACAAGCAGACTGAATTCGCTAAGAATGTTCTTAAGAAACAGGATGAAGAAATGAAGGTACGGTAAAATGAGAAACTTTTTATGAAAATGAAAGTAGTACTGTAAGCCCTGAAGATGACTTACAGAGAATTATTGTATAGATGCTGAGAGAAGACATCCAGAAAGAATATCAAGAGAAAATAACGAAAATAGATGAAGAGAAAGCTAAGGCAGTGAAGGAGAGTGCGGCATTAGCTAGGGAAAAGTCAACAATACAAAATTTGAAGCAAGAACTTGAAGTACGTATTAATTTCAATTTGAATCTTAAATTAAATATCTTAGCTTTGGGTTTCCAGCAGCAAATATCAAATGAGGGCTAGTGGGCAACATGCAGTGCTATATTTTCTTTCAGAAATTGAAAGCTGAACTTCAGGCTCAGTTAGAAGATGTATCTGAAGAGAGATCTAAATTGAACATAGACAAACAACAGTTGCATATGGAGGAACAACGAGTTATGGCTAAGTGAGTATGAATTTTAGTTTAAGTATCGTTAGACCATCTTCAGTTATTAAAATTAAAAAACATTCCAGAAGTCGAGATTTAGATCTTCTCGCAAAGTCTGCAATGGAAAAGCAGACGCACGCTGACAAAAAATACTCAGAAGCGGAATTTGTTCAGCGCAAGTATGAAGAAAGGATCAGACGGATTCAAGAGCACGTGGTTTCTCTGAACTCCAGAGAAAAGCATGTTGCTAGAGAAAAAGTTGCATTATCAAGAGAGAGACTACAACTCCATAATGAGAGAAAACAAATTGAGAGTAGACAACAATGTTCTTTATGCAAGTCTTCGCAAAACTTCCCACCGTATTATGAAGCAAGTTATGTTTTACCTGAATCTTTTATGAATATCCCAGTCACTAGGGATTTGAGGAGTTCCAATGCTACTAATGCCATGAATGCTATAGAAGAAGAAATGTCACACTTGATGGGAAGAAATTTGAACTTGCGTCATAGTGTTGGCATAGGAGATCTAAGTCATCATGTAGATGAAAGATACCAGAGTGATGAGAGGCAGTCGAAAACATTACAGTCTGATAATATGCAAGCTGATTCGGGGCCGTTTAAAGTAAGTACTAACACAATATTATTGTTTAAGTAGGAGTTTGAACATTGTTATTATCTATTTAAAATCAGGTCCTAAAATACTACCCTGTGAGACCCCTTACATAGAACTTTATTAATACAAACATTTTGTAGATGGTACGTTACTTAATGGTAATTATCTCTCATTCAAGGATTACATGGATCCAAAGTTCATGATGCTTCGTTTAGATGTTCAAAAGGTATTGAGTAATTTGGACCAGAATAAAAAGGGAGATGGAGATTTTGCAGTCGAAGATGAAATTGAAGATGAATGAAATAAAACGCCAATACCAAACACCACAGATGTTGCAAAATAAAAGACTGAATCTGTATTAATTGGTTTAATTTACTTTGATGACTGTTAAAGGACATCTTTTGTTGTTAGATTTATGAACAGTGTTATCAAAATGTACACAAATTCCTATATGGCTACATGCTAACTTATCTATAAATATTTCATTGTAAAAATATAGGTACATGATCTTTCTTACTAAATAATTATTGTTTTAGGTACTAGGGTATGCAGTTACACGTAATATACAACTATGAATACAGTTTTCGTATTAAATGGCTCCAATTATTACAATACACTGCTTCAAAGTCACTTTCAATTACATTGAGTACAACTTGTCGATGTTAAAACAATTTACCGTTAATTGAAAGTGAATTCTGAGCACCCGTAAATATATCGCGATGTTCATACATTTCTTATTCATATAAAACATTATATTTTATTCTACGCACCCAAGTATATCAATCGCACAGTCTTTCACAAAAATTGCTTTAAGTAGTTATACATTAATATCTTTATGGACGGCCTGGCCTTGTCGTTAAAGTATAATTTCATTATTTTCCCCTACTTTGCACAGATCTAATGTAATACTCCCAAATAAATTATACAGTACTTATTATTAACTGACAACTGCATTCGAAGCAAACGTCTGAGATAATAACAAGGAACAATATCTTCACTAAACTTTTAAAAATGCTTAACATAGTATTCTATACACAATATTTACAACTTACACGTAATCATTATATTGACACCTTTCTATACGACCTAGATATAAAGGATCCGCTACATATATAATTCAGTTTATAAAAGTATTAAATATAATTTCCAAGAAGAAGACTATACGGCTTTATAAAGAAAGCCATTTATAATAATTTTGTTGAATATCTTTCTTATCACAGTATTCAATATCAATCTACATCAAACCAATATAATTTCAAATGTTGATAAAGATAGAAATAAATTGTTAAAACATGTCCAAATAAATTGATTACCGATTGAAAATAACAAAGAATAAAAATGTCGTTACAGTTCTATGTTATGACCTGGTGTCACCCGGGGCTTTCTGATATTTGACTTCGAGTAACTGTGGGTAGTTCTCCACTATGGATAGTAGTATCCCGTCGATGTAGTTCCTCAGTTGAACGTTCACGTCTTGCTGTTCCTTTAAAGCTTTCTGCAACTGTAAAAAGAAAAATCTTATTGTGATGTCCCCAAGTTCATAGACTCAAGACTCAAAATATTCACACACAAGCTTGTGGTGTAAGGAACTATTGGTGCGCATGCAATGTTACTGTTGATTAATGGAAGTGTGAGGGCAAGCATGCATATAATAAAGTATGAAAAAGGTACAATCAGTCCCAAAAGTATACAGTAATTGTTACGAAGCATGCAAGTTAGCGTTATCTAAAGGTACAGACATGCACAGTTAGTAAAAGTTTCGTACCTTTTCCATCTCTATGCTGAGATCAGATTGTGTATCGTTACCATCGAGCTGCAAAAATGCATACATGACATATATAGGCAATTGTTCCGCAAACGAGTCAGTCAGGCTTCGTATGTAAGCAAAGCATCGCACAATATCTGATTGCGAATGTTATGGAGCCATATAACATGACGGTACTGAAATTTATGTGATTGGCGACATTTATAATGAACAAAGTGTAATTTAAGCCGAAAGCACAAATATATGGGTTTACATTAACCGATTAATCGATAGATTATCTAAGTAGTGGCACTAGTAACAATTTGTTTTTAGTTTCATTAGTTTGTGAAACTTATAACAATTTGTAAACAATGTCATCTAGTACTGACATTCAATCAGGTAATTTTTAGAGCCAGAATTCATCTGCAAAATGCATTAGGAATCTGAAGGAGAATATGAACTTTCAAATAAAAGCATGCCACGACATAATCGGAAAATATAAACTTGCTACGTTGATTTAAACAGGCAAATAAACTGATATTTAGATTAACGAAGATCAACTGAATCTGAAATATGAAGAAGGAAAGATCTCAAATTCCTTCTACATTTCGGAAATACATAAATCACAAATCAGAGAGACACAGACATAGAACATATTGAAATTAATGACTTTCGACATACGAAATATTGTATCCATGAAACCCAGAAAGCGTGTTCCGTGGGTACAAAGTGAATCAAGGCCCGGGAGTCCCAACATTGGTAACCGTCTCAGTATCGAGACTTCCAGCCCTATTTTAATCTATCCTCAGCATTTTATGCAGGAAGCAATGAACACATGTATTAAGGTAGTTAAAATGAATACGTTACCTCATCGTCACTCATCTGTGACAGTTCGTGTGCGAGGGAGTTGGTGCCCACGAGAGGGCCGCTTACTCCGTCCAGCAAACTGCGACCCTCCTCCACGCCGCGTGTCAAGATCTGCGCTTGTAACTCTTCTTGAGCTTCCGATAGAGCTGGAAGAAGAAAGGTAATATGAAGATAAACATGGATTTAAATATATTCAGTTTTCTTTAAAGATTTTGGGGGGTGGTATTAGATTTGTGAATAGACATCCAACTTCTAAATGCAGGTAGTAGCAGATGCCTATTAGAACTGACAAGCAATTAGAATAATAAGTAAGGACGGACGACGGTAAAAATTGCAATACAATATCTATTTGTGAAAAATAACCTAAATTTTATTTTGGTTTGGACGTCGCCTAGCCTTAGACTATATCCCCCAGATCGTAGATGTAGACTACGCATGTTATGTAGTACATAGTTCAATGAATTCATTAGTTCTATTTAAAATGTTTAAAATTAGCAACAAAAATATCAACACTAGCGTATTCTTTTAAAACTACTTGTCTGTCTCAAACAAGCAACACGTGGGTTGGCACGTTGTTTCAATTATTGGCGAACAATTTATCTGATACAATAGGTCCCTTGTCTAATTATCTTATTCAAGTGTACTTACTGGTTTCTATCGATTTACGATATAAGTACCTACTTGTTTTCCATACTATTTGTAACTGACAGATGTTTACTTAAGGTACATTTTGCATTGTTAAAATATAAGTGGGTAAAAGTTATCTATGTAAAATACGGAGATTTACTATATTGTATGAGAGTAATAACGTTCGTTTTGTATATCTGTAGATTAGGTATCTGAACATCAGATTTTATTCTTTGTTTTAGAGGTCGATCCAGATAAGTCATCGTCGTTTCCATTTTTATTTGTTTTCCCATTTGTTCGCTATCGATTCGATTTCTAAGTGAGAAATCCATTCAGAGTTCTTGGCAGGCGTTCCTATGACGTTATTCTATTATTAATTCTCAGAAGGAAGGTGCTACGTAACGTTTCCGACATATTTGTTGTTACTTGTGAAGCAATTCAGCTTCCGTCTTTTATTTGCTGAACAGTCGTTTAGAAATGTAGGCAATTAATGCTTTCATTGTTTATTGTAGACTAGAAACTTTTTTTTTTTTAAGGGGGGAAAATCATCGAATGACTGCTCCCGCCTGGGTGAGGCGGAAGGGAGTGTCAGACTCTTACTGACTAAAAACCACCCCGTTCCTTCTCCTGCACGTCGAGCCGGAGCCCCGGTTACCCGTTAGGTTCTCCGTGACGTAGACTAGAAACTAGAGTCTCGATTAGGACCTAGATTATTCCATTTGCAAAAATAATTATGGCCCCTATCAAGATAAATTTTTGCTTCTCACACCGCTGTGAATTCAAATAAGTAGGTACTTACATTTATTTTGTGTCCGAAGCAACGTCAGTTCCTTCCTGAGCTCGTCGAGGCGAGGGTCTGGTGGCGGTGGTGGAGCGTCTCTTAGCCTCTGAAGCTCCTGCCTGGCAGTAGCCAGTAGGCTATTAGCCGTAGCAGCAGCATCTCGTTCCCTTCGCTCAGCCTCACGAGCACTGCTAAGAGCTGCTGATAGTTCGGCCACTTGTTCCTGAGCCTCGCGATGCGCCCGCGCTGCAGCTTCTGCGTTTGCTCTCAATGTTTCAGCTACTCCACGGAGTCGTCCCACCTAGAATATAAATAAGACTTTGTTATTCCTTTTGGACGGTATTCTTTAGATGACCAATATTTTCATACTTGTTTTATATGCATTTATGTAGCTTGTAATAAAGAATTTGCATTGTACCTACTTACCTATATAGCGATGTATGTTATCAAAGATGCATAAAAGTAAATCGTAATCTTTGGATCTAACCTTTGCTACACCTATTGCAACATTCATAAATGGTGCGCAGACATGGAATATCGGCTTATCTTTGCATCAAACATAAATATTGAAAATAAAATAAATGTTTATTGTGCGACCTGGCCTACATTTTATTCACGAGTTGATTGAAATAGTCTAGTTTTGGTTTGAAACTTTATAATTGGGATAGTTTAAGAAATTGTTTTACTCTTACCAAAAGACGTTTACGTCAGAAACATACTGCTGACATTATTGATAATGATCATGTTTACACCGATCATATGAGTTTGCCAGTCATTCAACAGTTACTAAAACTTGAACAGTCTCAAATTCCCTTACCTCTTGTTTAAGTTCGGAAGCCTCTGCTTCAGCAGCACTCAGTCTGTCAGTGATGGCAGCTAGCTGCGTGTCGCGATCTCGTTCCACACGAGAAATAGCTTCACGACTGCGACGCTTCTCTTCCGCTATACTCTCCTCACACCGGCATTCAATCTGTGCATTACCGACATTTTTATTAACTTCTATAATAGTAAAAGAGGCTAATTAGATTGAAAATACTTGAAAGTTAGTATCATGGTAGGTTGTAGAAGGAATCTATATCTATGAAGTGTTTTGAAGGAGATACTCGAAAAGCCAAGGTAAAAACTCGAAGAGCTCTTAAATTGAAATGGAAAATACATATCTTAATGGAAGTTATTGATAGATAGATTATGTAAAACATTGTCCTACTTGAAGAAGTAGACACAGAATTATGATTTATAAATTAAGACAATAATGTACATGAAGACTAAAAGATTTGATTGAGATCCCTCTTACCTCTCGGATCTGTTCATCAAGCATGTGTACTCTAGCCTGCAGCACTGCGTTGTCGGCCTTCGCCCTCGCGTAGCGCTCGTCAGCCGTACTCTGAGTGTCAGCTAGAGATGTCACTTGCTGCTGGAGTAACTGCACCTGTCAAAAAAGAAAAACATTACTGTAATTTTGTTTATAAAATTTACAACGATGAAATCTTTTCCTAAAATCTAGTGAAAATAACTAGTTATTCAAGAAGAATTGATGTTTCTGCTTTTGTAGAAGAAGAGGTCTAAATGATATTCTCAATAAACACGAGTGAAAAAAGGGTAGTGAGACCCAGGGCCGCGCCGCCCCTGTGTGCGAAGTGTGCGGCGCACACAGGCGCCAAGACAATAGGGGCGCCGTGTCGCGCCACCACCTCTACTTGAATTATTTTTGTTACCTTAATTATTATATTTTTGGTAGTAGAGTATCGATAAGTAAGTAGGTACAATAGGCGCAACATAGGCCTTGTATACAACAAAACTTATATAACGCTTATTAAACAAGTCCCTCAATATTTATGTTTATTATTAATCACGTTTATGGTTTCATTTTACACTTAGGGTTTTAGTTTACATTGCTTACTTACGAGTTACAAGATCAACGTTAAAACGGCGGCAGATCTTTTGAACCACAGATAAAGTAGGTACCTACTAGTTATATTGAATCATAAAGGCGCCGACTTTGTATGAGTAAGTATGAGTGAGTTTGTGAACGCAACCCGATGCGATGCGTGCAAGGCTATAGGAGTAGGGTCACAGGGATTCCCCGATTTTAACGAACGAGAGCGTCAAGCTAAAACAAAACATTTGAACAATCATTTGATTGAAAGTGTGTGTAAGGTGTGCATTGAACTTTTTACTGACTTTAAAAAAAGGAGGAGGTACGTATGTTCGGCTGATTGTTTTTTTTTTTCAGTACTCCGCCATATGTGAACCGATTTCGAAAATTCTTGTTTTGTTTGAAAGGGTATACTCCCGAGATGGTCCCATTTCCATGAGGTCAGGATCTGATGATGGGACCCAAGGGAAACCAAGGGGAACTTTTGAAAATTCTATGGGCTAGTACTGCGTCTATTTTGTTTTTCAATTACGATTTTTAAACACTACAATTTGATAAGGGTCTGGATTTGACCTGATGATGGAGCCGACAGACAGTCGAGGGAACTCCTCAGCGGTTTATATTAACTACCTTGTGTTTGTACTAAATTAATCAAGCCCAAGCATAGGTAGTTAATAAAAACAGCTGAGGAGTTCTCTCGATTATCTGTCGGCTCCATCATCAGGTCGACTCCAGACCGTTATCAAATTGTAGTGTTTAAAAATCGTAATTGAAAAACATAATAGACTCATTACTCGCCCCTAAAATTTTCGAAAGTTCTCCTCGGTTCCTCTCGGTTTCCCTAGGATCCCATCATCCCATTCTGAGTTCATGGAAATGGGACCATTTCGAGAGTATACCCTTTTAAACAAAATAAGATTTTCGGAAATCGGTGTACAAATGGCGGAGTAATGTGCGAACAAACAAAAAATAATCAATCAGCCGAACATAGCACCTCCTGCTTTTTTTAAGTCGGTAAAAAAGAGGCGCTCCATCGATTCCGCACACAGGCGCTGCCGGGGGTCGGCGCGGCCCTGGTGAGACCTATAGTGGTGCAACCATGGCTGATAATAATAGAAATCAATTAACAATTACCACAATCTTTAAAGCAGTAGACGATAAGTCACCTTTTTAGGGTGATCCACTAGCCTTTACAGAAAGGTGTGTTTGAGTTACAAATATTTATTATCGTCTATCACCAGATAATAATAAGCAAACATCGAATTGGTTCGATATTGAGCGATAACGACCCGCAGTAAGCGTTTACTATGCACGCACTAGTGAACACCAAAGTTACCATAACAAGTTAGAGACGCATTTGAAATTGCGACCGTTGAATACAAATCGATTAGGATCTCTGGAGATTCATTGTGGTTTACAATCGTTATGTAAGGCAGGTCTGGTATTCGCATAGCTAACTATTGTTGCGTGCAAACTGACCACGATTAAAATAACTGGAATACCGCTCTAATCTCACTGTTAGATGTAAAATTAAAACTTTCGCGTGACCCATAATGTGCTCTTTATTAACGATTAGTTTTTACTATCGTAATTATGTGCATGTTGCGGACAAGTAGTCATCTGTTGACTATTTATTCTGTTTATATTCTGTTCTATTCATCACACATTGAATAAAGTAAGGTGTAATGCTTTGGGTCTATTGATTCATTAGTCTCATCAGTGCCAAGTTTTGTCAGGTGCTGGTAAACTATAAATATTATAATGCACGGCCTGGAAAACGACACTCGCGACATCTGCGTTGGTAGGTCTAGGTCGAGGTGACTAACGAATAAAATTAAACAGATGAGCAAATACGCGCTGCCCTACTGAAATACTACATGAGCTCATGAGAAAACTCATAAAGAAGCAAGATACGAAAGATATAAAATGAAAGCTCACCAGCGGAATCAGGTAATATAGGTGAATTAAAAATAGAGAAGAGCAATTACACAAGTAGTCCAAAGCAATTTTAAAGGTAATTCCGATAGGTGGTTACCGTCAACGCAAATCCCTGCGATTTTCCGAGTAGTCAACTGAAACCATGTCTAATTAAAGTCAGTTAATGGTAAGATCAGTCACAGCCGCTTATAATTATAAAATAACAAGTTAATTGATTTCTTGATCGAGTTCTTTGCGACTATATTGCGTTAAACTGGGTATGTGTCTTCCTTATTTTCTGCTGTTCACGGATTAATGCTAGCTATAATAATGATATTAAATTTTATTAAGATACGACGTTTTTCCTCTGCAATAAATAAATGTGAAGTTGAGCTTGCACGTTCGGTTCTATTTAAATTAGTTAGTAAAGAAAAAACCCAAATCGAGAATCTGTTTAATTTCTTAAACGATAGCCTGATATGTAGCAAACTCACAGTATACAATTAACATTGTAAGTGTGTCAAGGATCATACTATCGTAGATAAGTTTTTGGACATAATGTTTAGGAATTGTTCTTGCTTTATGATAAAGTACGTCAATGATCTTGATATTTTCAAGGACGTTATAAAGAGTATTTTTAGTCGACACTCTCTCGTGAGTTATTTATTTCTATGCCTTTTTGGTGCAAGTGTTTATGAATCGATGAATCAATTGATCAATAATCATTGAAGCGTTATTTAGGAGAGCAAAATTCAATCGGTTTGTTGAGCTCCACTGAACTGCAGTTAGTCACGAAGGAACTTCTGCTTCTTGTATGCATGTATTCACATTCCTACCCACTTGCAGCATTTAATGCATGGGCGAGTTCATTGTATCCGTAGTTAATCCATGGATATCAAACGGGTTAGCCTTATAGTTGACATTCTGATAGTAGGTGATTCTTTTTTCTGTCCGACACTGTATAAATCACAAGGACAAATATGTAGAATACAAAGTGAAATAAAGATTTACAAAAACGTATTTAATTCTGCACCACAACTTGACTTTCTTTTTGGGAAAGTCGTTAAAACTTTTGGTAAAGTCAAATTGTCGAATTCACAGATTTGTGCGAAGAGAGACGGTATGGAAACTATGGGGACATAAAATGACGTTTCTGATCCATGGGTTAATAACGAGGAGTTACATAGTATTAATAATGAATTTATAAAACTGCAGGCAGATGTGCACGAGGAAGAGATTGATCCAAACGTGTCCAGTGGTCGCATGAACGATGATGGCGCCTGACGTAAGCCGTTACATGACCAATAACTAACCTTAATAATAGAATGATGTCGAAACAATTTATTACAGGTAGTAGATACTAAAAGGAACATACTGTTTATAACGAGCTAAAAATATTGCGCACAGGAATGAAATTGTGCATTCCTTTTGTGAAAATCGTGAATGATTAGTACGTAGTTGCTGTTTTAATTGTGTCTTCTGTTCTAAGTGGTTGTTTGCAGTAACACTGAATTAGAAGCTAATGTCACTATAAATCTAAACCAACAGCTTAATAGTAGTCACTTAAAATCACGTCAGTTTTTAAGTAAGAGAGCAAGTACCTAAGTCAATACTTTATTTAATCCAAGTTATAAGGGCTGAATGATCACAAGCAAAATCAAGTTTTAATAATACTATCAACCTAGTCCTGCGTATACGGTCGGTTAAACTAGACCAAATAAATTATATTGATTATGCCCTAAATACAGCATTACATTGGCCTCCAAAGTCAATCACAATGAAACAACGAAACTAAATAGTACCTATTGCATGATTTTATTTTCATCCGAAGAAGATGCCTTCTAACCGTCCGATATGGAAATTTCGGGGAGGTCTAGATGTTCAGTAAAGGACGTCTTATGACTGTTATGATGACGATGAAGAAGATGGTAAAATAAAATAGTTTACAGCCTGCTTTCTTGCGTAACATGAGTCATGAAGAAGTGACTTATAAGTGGCGACTCATTGATACAATTTAATGGGCGACGTCCGTTGTGAACAAGACTTTTATTTGTTGTATATTTTATAGCTGGCTGGCACACTATCTGCTCTCTGAATCATCAGTCAAATACTCTTTTATGAGTATATTTTTTAATGTTCTTTATTTTAAAAAAATGTTTCAACAGATTTATGGCCCGATATTTATTTAAAAAACTGCACTTACCACAGAGTAAAAAACACCTGTCACATGGAATAAATAAATCGACCATTTTCCAAATTGTTGTCTTTACAAATCGATAATTGTTGACAAAAAAGTTATCAATGTATTTGTTATTTATTTGTAATTAATTCTAATTTTTCAGTAGTTAATCACAGCTATTCCTGACGTTTGTACTAATTAACATATTAACGTTTTCGCTATCCGTATTGTGTATTTTTTACATTGCGAATTTATAATTTATTTACAAGACTGTAAAAAGTGATGAAAAGCTTCATGGTTGTTAAACTGCAGTAAAATAAAAATGCTTGTAGATATTGAGTTATAAATAAAATATTGAGTTATATAAATAAATAACATAAAAGTAGTTATTTATAAAGTTAGTTTATTTTGCATCGACAAGTGTATGCAAAAAAATACACCACCGAAAACAAAAATA